ATTTACGGGCAAAAGTGAAGCTCTGTGTATTATGATTGGTTATTGCGAAACTTTTCAGTCTGTGATTATGGTGATTGTACAACAATTTCAAGTATACTTGGTTTCAAATGACATGATCTTCAAAAGGCAATTTTATTCTCCTAGGAAAAAATGTTACTTGTAACAAGAAGTAGTGTGGGATAAAGTGTGACTGTGTGAGTGATTGTGCCAGACGAGAAGAGAGAGGTTTCTCTTATCTAGCTATAAGATCATTTCATATTATAGTTGTGCCGTGTTTTACATTTTCTCTCTTTTACATGTTGTCCATAGACTACGGAGCAGTTATACATCATGAATTGAAAGATTGATAAATTACAAAAATGTTTCAGGCTATTTTCCTCAAGCTCTACTCCGGTCTTTTATGTACTGGATTTACTTCAAATTATGGTATATTTTACGAGGTTTACACATAACATTTAAAAGTTGCCTAACCAGGCTTGGAATGCTGATTTTACTCCAATCATATCAGGCTTTCAGGAGCAGTGTGCATTATTTTTCTTTACTGAATTCTATATAGATGTATTTGTTAAACACTTACCGTTTGTGTGGATGGATATGAGTCTCTAATGTTGCTGCTTGTTTTCCTTACTTCTCTGTAATTGAATCCCGTTATCAGGTTTCTTCAACTGTGCAAGTGCAAATGAAAACCAACCATTTTATAGCAACTTGCTGGAATGTTAATTAAAACTGATAAACTCTTTAGCATATATAATTCATTTGAGTAGCCAACACTTCAATTAAAGAAAAAAGTAAATCTATATCAGCGTTTACCATATAAGGTTGAAAAGTCGTTTCAGTATAATCGTTGTCCGTTACTATCATATCATAAGTTAAGCTTCTAGAAGAAAATGTGTCACTAAAATGTTGTTTGTATGTAAAAACAGTGATAATATGAACTTTCAAAAACTCAGAAAGAATGTTCACACGCAATTAAAAAATGAAATCTGAATGTGCGAAGTCAGAAATTGGAGATATCTTACTTCCTATTTCATGTGGGCATCTTCACTCTCCTAAAATTAGTGAAACTCATTTGTTCCGTATTTGTAATCTTAAATTTTAACCATGCAAATGGGGCATTTTACTGTTACAATTTAATTAGCAGAGCAATATTTTAAAGCGATATTGTGATTAATATTGAGTGAATCCGATTTCATTTGAGGCTTATTTAATGCTTTTCGTAGATTGAAAAGATTACGGAAATCTCAAATTTCAATTAAGTGAAGATCCGCCAAGTCACTCGCACGCGTAGGTCGTAGGATATTTTCTAGACGCCAATACTACACATGTTTTACTCTTACATTCTACAATGCATGTGTGGGTATCTTCTTGTGTATATATCAGTTTGCCTCAGGGTCACTGACTAACCTATAAGCTATATTCCAGGCACCATGGTAACGCAACCACTTGTTACTGCGTAGTTACCTTCTTTGTCATAGCGATGAAATTATAAATTCGCAAAAACGTTTCTAGAGAGAACATACAGAGAGTGTTGTCCTGTTTAATACAAACTTTCAATAATCGAATTAATGAAATTGTGCGGTGTTTTGGGATGTTTACGTTTCCTAGTAAAGGCGCTGTGAACTCTATCGTAGTTGGCATATTGTTATAGCGTCTCCCAGCTTAACGAAACTGTATAACTTATATACGACAAGAGCAGAACCCTTTTTTTCAAGTGCGACCAAAAGCGTTGTAGCTCGGAATGCCAAGGTAGAGCTCACACGCCTAGTATGTAAGATACACCTAACATCTCATATGACGGTGTTTTAATGTTTGAAAATGACTTCAATAATTCTCATCATTCGCTAGTGTGACGGGATCTTGAGGTTCTGGGTCTACAAACTATAGATCCAAGGAAGACCTGCGTTTTTGCTCTCCAGACGAAGAGTCTTTGGTCGAAACGTCGAATTTCTTGCACACTTTTCACTTTTCATGTAGGCTATGAAATCACACTAAGGTACCTTTCATGAGGCTTTGTTTCGTGACGGCATTGAGTGGTTTGGAAGATCAATTCAAAGTGTTAAATTCAACGATAACTTTTGCACATTAGATCTTCTTACATGCATATATATCGGTTATAATGGCAACCACTTGCCAGGAAAGAAAAACAGAGCAAGGATTTCGTGCGAATATTTCTCGAAGTTTCTCGTAACTGTGTGTGAAAATGCCTGCATGAGGGGGACACCAATTACCTTTGTGGTTTCCTACCCTTGAATGATGATCAAAAGACACTCTTGCATCAACTAACGTCTGAGAGAGGCTTATTGTGTTAGGGTTGATGTAATTAGGAAAACAAATCCATTCTTATATACAATTCCGCTGCATTCATTAACTATGTCGCCTGCTGGAATATCGTGTATATAGTGAGTATATCAAGTACATGATTTATTAATAGTCTTTTTTTTCTTTGATAACATTATTATTATAGCACTTTAATTTATAAATAAATATTTGGTAATTATGTGTAAAAGATATTCTAATTATAGTAGTTTTTATTTAGTAGCTTTTATTTAGTAGCTTTTATTATAGCTGCTATTTTAATACAGCCATGGATCCATCATCTATATATGGCAAAAATACAAATTATTAAAGAAATCGATAAAAATCAAATTGCAACGAAAACGACAATAAAATTCTTGAAAGATAACATACATCCTTTCCCCGATGTTATGGAATAGAATGAACTAACTTTCCAAAACATCTGAAGGCAGAACTGAGAAAAAGGCACACCCATGCATCAATTTCTGATAGGATTCAGTAATAGACTGAATATCAACGGAATATACGAACTATATGAGGACTGAGAATTTTGACTAAGGTGTTTTAGTACTGTGTTATATATAGAATCACTCGTTTTATCTTATAGAAAGTTACACATTTATTTTCAAGATGTAGCTATAAATGAATATTTTAATCAAGAAACAACAATGGACTTCCCGGCACTATGGTTCTTGACTGTTGTTCTTCCAGTAGTTACGATACAGACGAAATGCATGGGATAATGTTTAGTAAGTTGGTAAATGAAATTATGCCTTTCTCACAACGCGGATATGTCGTGGTAAAGTACCTACTTAAATCTACTTAAAATTGTGAAAGGAATCTTATTATATGCTATGAAAACTATTCAGTGACAATTAAATATTATATTCTTCCTTTTCCAAGTGAGCGCGCCGAATTTTTAATATGTTTGTATTATCATCGTTGGTATGGAGCCAACTTGGTGAGGCCATTGACGCACTTAATATTATCATGCCTCTGCCTAACTTCCCGCAACACGTACGTTAGCGAGTCTTTCGACCACGATTGTATGAAGCTATGCGCGGATGGGGCTTTCTCTTTATAAGTCTGAAGCACTGATTATATAAGCATGAATCGAGATAATGTATACATTGAGAACTGGTTAAAAAAATAGGTGATTTGGAGCACTGAAATGACTGTTCGATAGATCAAATTCATAACTTAAAGTCTTCAATAGTGAGCTTAAGCAAGTGACGTTTTTGACATCACAAACGGCATGAGTAACGCCAAAAGACTGGGTCAAGAATTGTGATTGGTGAAAAATAAAAACTTTACTTCCGGTCAACGTACGTGTTGTCAAAAACGTCACTTGCTTAAGCTCACTAATGTCTGTATTATACAGCGCCAGTTTGCCGTCCTGGTTTGTACGTTTTTGCCCCTGAGGCGTCGCGATGATTTTTTAAACACTAAACAATAGCACAACGACATTCCTCTACAAACTACGTCTTTGTTTAAATGTAGTTCGGTCTTTCCAGATCATCTCCATGATTTTAATGAAATTACTAATTCACCACGGTAACGAATTGCTTCGCAGTTTAATAAACTTTTCTTCGGGATTGTTCGAGAATGAATTTTTGTTGAAAAATTAGCGACAATCATTGCCATTTAGCTGATATTATCAATATGAAAGGAAGCAAGAGTCCTGGGAAAAAATTGTTCATAATAGTTAACCGGTTTTCAAAAGTTTCAGCGAGTTTTTGAAAAGATTTTCTTTATTAGTATTATATAAGAATTTTGTTCCCCCAACGTTGTCACTTGACACGAGTGCTTGTAGATTTTCTTTATTGAAATACTGGATGAATTTCTAGACGAAGGTGGGGCAGGTTAGTGGTTCACAGCAGAGGTCCACGGCCGAGAGGGCTTTGCTGGGGACGGTCGACTACAAGTGGTCAATTCTGGTGCTCAAATATAAAGTCGTGTGAAATTATAAATCTCTGGAACCAGAGTGAAAACATGAACCCCTCCTGGATATTAGTCCAGCATATGTGGGTCAAGCCGTCAGGAAGTTGAATCAAAACTCGTTTATTGATATTTTCATATATAAAAGCAAGCACGTGATCAATACAGTTGCTCAGTCAGTTAAATTGTAGCGGCTGAGAGGGACGTGCGTGTGATCACGGTCGTGTGACTTACAACCTAGTAAGGAAGAAGTTAAGAGCTGCCTCATTATGATAGACAATGACCAGAAAACTGACTGCTAATAGGCCATTTGTTTAAACACACAGATATCGCTTTAAGGATATCCGCGTGTGGGTGGATTGACAAAGACTCAAGTGGAGCACTGGGGTAGCATTTTAAGAATGAGAGGTGTCATCGAGTGAGCTTTTAAATGCAATAGTTTTGACCATCACGAAGGTAGACAGTATTTTTTAACCGCAAAACGTTTTTTATATTGTGCCTAGACATTAGAGTACCAAATCGACTTCATGATACTCAATTTAAGCGTCTGTGTACGAACTGCGGTTTATCAACCTCTTGGACTTGAAGGTTTAGCTTTTTGACTTTTGCGCAATGTTTCTCATTCCAGATGAGTCGGTCGAGCCCATCGAACGCGTAAAGGGCTAAGGGTCTCCCTAACTACTAATTGAGGCGTGGCCCTAGGTAACACTTCTTCTTATTCATTAGTTAGCATTAATTAGCGAACATCTTGTTGGCAAAACATCTTGTTGGGTCGGGGAGAGACGTTTTACAAGGTTATTTGAACTTATTTCAACAAATCCAGGCCTGTAGGACAACCAATTATGCATCTTTTTCAGGTCGTGGCGTCTCAGCAACATTCAGTTCATTGCGTCGAAGACAATTTGTTATGTAACACATTGTTCAGCGTATAACATTTTGGACCGAACACTACGATGAAAACTAGTTAAAAACAGACTATAAACTCACTAAAGCCAGTGAAAACTGAAAAGATAAGGTACTTCTTTTTCACTTATATTCTAGCGACGTAATACGTTATATCACGACACATTCCGAGTCCCGACGAGTCGACGACATTAGCATGCAGGAAGTTTATTTCGAAGTTATTGGAATGGAGGTGATATAAATTATAAAGTTCTCATCAAAATAGATTGTTGGCTAATACCTAATTTTCTGTGATAAATCTACTTAAATATGGCTAAAGAAGATACACAGCAGAATCGTTATGGCTATCAAGAAACACTGGTGAGTTTAAGGAAATAGATTGATAGATTTTGCAAAACCTTAGGACGGTAAAGTACCAACATCTTTTACGTATATATTTCAAAAATGCAAATAGTAATAATATCTCCAGGGTCGTGTCATCTTGTATCTCATAAACCATTACATAGCTTTTATATATTACGTGATTTGATAATGAGTCTGTTATTCCTCAAAGTGCTCAATGTGTGTGTTTTTGTAGTTTTTTTTAAATAAACAAAAGTACTGTAAATATAAACATAAATATAGTTTTTTGTGTACTGTACTATTGAATTATTTGTTCTGATAATCGGTATATATTTAATACTGCAAATACTTGTATTGTCCATTACTGTTTGAGATGAACGATTATAATTCAAATTATAATTCCTTATTTATATTAAAGGCTTATATGCCACACTAATTCTTTATTTTCCTCATATTTCTTTTGCCATATGATACAAGTGAAAGTGATATAATGTTGGACAATGTGAATTTATAGTTGATATTATCTTTCTAGTAACCTGCAAATAAATAAGATTTATAGTGTTTTAGCACATCTGATTTATCTTTTTTACATGCAGATGTATGGCACCCATACAACACAGGAATTACAAGAATATGCCAAAAGTTTTGCAGCAGAGTTACGTAATCAAAGTACTTCTCAAGATGAAGCAGTAACTGAACCAAGTGAAGATAATTTTCAATCATACAGTCCTTCACGATGGGGGAAAATGATAAGTCAGTGACATATAATTTCTACTTGGAAACATGTAAAGTTCTTGTCAATTGTTAAATTATTGTATTTTTTTTAGGGCAATGTAAAAGAATTTTGAAGCCAGTTCAAGAAAAATTCGACAGTGACTGGTTATTTTTATTGATTTTGGGAATTATAGTTGCTCTCATTAGTTTTGGCTTGGATTTCTCAATTGACAAATGTCAACAAGGTACTTCATATTGTAGATCATAATCTGAATCAAGTTATCACTGGCTGACAAATATTACCTGCCATTAACACATTAAACAAAAGAGTTATTAAAAAAGTTCATCAATGATTTGTTCATTCCACCTAAACAAGATATGCTATAATAAAGGCCTAAACCATTTGACAGAGACTCTTGATACTGATGCCCAAACAAAGGGTTTTTAGTCAGATCGATTGACAAAGTTTCTAATATGCAAATGTTATGGGTTTTTTACAGTGGATTTTTTCATGTTATAAGGACTATGTTCTTTTATTATGTTGATATCTTCTTTTTAGCTCATTTGTGGCTATATTCCCATGCAACAGACAATATTTTTGGTCAATATTTGATCTGGGTTCTCTTCCCAGTTTGTTTGATTTTTTTCTCTGTTGGTTTCACACATCTTGTTTCCCCTCATGCTATTGGTGAGTACAATATCTTTGAGTATTCCTTCTTTGGCAAATATTGGAACAAAGCAAGGGACCAGCACTCATAGAAATATTGATCTGAAACAATAAATGTTGATCTGTGTTTTGTGTATTCTAAGGTTCTGGCATTCCTGAGATGAAGACTATTTTACGTGGTACAATTTTGAAGCGTTATCTGTCGATACCAACATTGATTGCCAAAGTGGTAGGTTTATTCATCTTGAAAACTGCAAACTCAATGTTAATGAATATCATAGTCTAATTGATAACCATTGAAAAAAGCTGAATACTTTCTCACTTCAGTCATTCTTTTAAAGGTTGGTCTGACAGCTTCACTTGGTAGTGGTATCCCAATAGGAAAAGAGGTGAGAGATGTTATTGTTTAAAGCAATTTACTTAATCAAGTAGAAGCATTGATATCATCCTCTTGGGATTCCTAGGGTCCTTTCGTTCATATTGCCTGTATTGTTGCAAGAGCACTTGGAAAATTTGTTACCTCATTTCAAGGAATATTTATGGTAACTGTGTATATTTATATGTGTTTTTATTACACAAGAGGAAAACATTTATTAGGTCGTACTTTGGGTTTCAAACACTTGTTCATTGTAATCCTCTTTGCAGAATGAATCTCGTAATACGGAAATTCTTGCTGCAGCTTGTGCTCTGGGTGTTTCAAGTTGCTTTGCTTCACCAATTGGAGGTAATGTACATGCAGTATACCACTGTGATTCTTAGTGGAGTACATGGAGCTGTTACCAACACCTCTTTGGGTGACCCGAATTTTCAGAGCCCAAATGCCAAGATGACAAACCTCCCCTGGAAAGTTTATTAATGCTGTTGTTGTTGAAAATGACAGTTTTATTTTTGTAGGAGTATTGTTCAGTATTGAAGTAACAAGTACATATTTTGCTGTGAGGAATTACTGGCGTGGTTTCTTTGCTGCCGTTTGTGGTGCTTTTATGTTTAGTCTTCTCTCAGTGTGGGACAATGATGAAGGTGATTGGATTGTATGATTTCAATCCTAGTTATAGAGAGTTAGTGTTTGCATGAGTCATTATGATATATCTGCTTGTCTTACAGACACCATAACTGCGCTCTTCAAGACAAACTTTAGGATCGATTTTCCATTTGATACGGAGGAGTTTATTGCGTTTTCTCTGATTGGGTAAGATAGTTTGATGATTTGGGTAAGATAGTAAGATAGTTTCATGGTAAGATAGTTTGCGCGCGGGTTTATACTTTACCTGTGTGTAGTCAAAATAAACAAGTCTCATCTAACGAAAGGGTCTGTTCAACTAGGGTTGTCTGTGGATTTGGTGGAGCTCTTTTTGTGTATACACACAGGAAGATTGTGGATGTAAGACGACATCATCGTGAGAACGTCATATCAAGATTTCTTGAGAAAAGGTAAACGAACACTGTGTCTTTTCTCCGTATCGCAGCATCGCGTATAGTTGAAAGTGAGTTGTGGTTATGCCTCGTCAGTAGGAGTCCCAGCACAGGTGCTGTTTGAAGAGTGAACCGTATTCAGAAATTACTATGAATTTTCTTCTGTTTAGTCGATTTTTGTATCCTGTGATTGTCACTCTTCTGGTATCAACGCTGATGTTTCCAAAAGGACCTGGAAAGCTTGTAGCTGGGGAGGTAAAAGACAAATGAATGATGTGGAGTGTGATTTTGTGTGAGAAATGAATATTGATCCATCTCTCGTCGTTTTTAGTTGACACAAAAGGAAGCTATTGAAGAACTCTTCTCAAATACGACGTGGTCACTTGGTGATAGTGAAGACTCGGACGTTCCTAAAGAGACGTTGAAACATTGGAACGGAGCATTCGGGAATATTTACGTCACTTTAGTTTTCTTTATTGTCATTAAGGTAAAGTTTTCAGGAATTTTTTATGTTTTATGGAGTAAATAGCGGGATTAATGTTAGGAAGATTACGAATGGATGAAACAAAAGAGGAAGAAAGAGAGAAGAATTAGGAAATGGAAGATCAGTGAAATATTTTTTTGTCGTGAATTTTAGTTTATCATGACAGCCATTGCCATCACTCTGCCAGTTCCAGCAGGAATATTCTTTCCTGTTTTTGTCATCGGTAAGTTCTCGTGTTTCTTTTGTTCATATGTTTCAATAATTACATCTCATAAATTGCGTGTTTCACAATGTTAAGGTGCTGCGTTTGGTCGTCTTGTTGGTGAAGCTATGGCGACATGGTTTCCTGAAGGTATCCATGACAACGGACCTCAAGATGTCGCTAGTAAAATATTACCAGGAGGCTATGCGGTTGTTGGTGCGGCTGCAATGTCTGGTGCTGTCACTCATACCATATCTGTCTCTGTTATTGTGTTTGAACTAACTGGGCAGATTGCACATATATTACCTGTCATGGTAAGGGTCGTGGGATGTAAAAACATCAATTGCTTTCAGGATGAAAAAATATGATGAAAATAAAGATTTATCGTGGTTCATCTCAAGCATTAATGAAAGGCATAAATTGAGCATCGGTGAAATTCATGAAATTCTTGATTTTTCTAGGTCGCTGTTTTGATTGCTAATGGAATAGCCCAGTGGTTGCAGCCTTCAATTTACGACAGTATAATACAAATAAAGAAATTACCTTACCTTCCAGAGATTACAAACTCCAGGTATGGCTCATATTGCGCTCATTTTCCCAGCTAAAAACAACGTCCTAAAGTTCTGAGTTAATTCTTCAGACTTTACAAAGTGACTGTGGCGAATATTATGAAAACAGACTTGCAGTTTATAACGAGGAGGTCGACATATCGAGATCTGAAAGAGTTGTTAGAAAAGTCAAAATTAACGTCATTTCCACTGGTTGACACCAAAGGTAAAGATATTTATCAGCGCCGGAGTTGACTGAACCTGTTTCAAAATAGTGCTTCTCGTCAGTAATTCAAATGCAAATGAAACCTGTATTATAATATTTAGAGACAATGACTCTTCTCGGCTCCATCCGCCGTCCTCAACTACAAATGTTACTAACTCGATATCTGAGCAACACCAGACACAGTGGAAGTCGAGCAGAAAGTGAAGCAAGCTCACCACGGTCAACATCACCAACTCCTCTTCTTCCTGAGCGCAGGTAACTCTACTTCAGGTCTTTAGAAAACCCGCGAAATCGCGGTAATTGATGTATGAATGCGGCCACGTGACGGCTTGCAATGGTAGGTAGTCTAACTGGGGATCATTCTTGTTTTATATCAGGAGAGATGATGACGATCGTGCTCTATCAGATAGTGAAATTGAGGTTTGTATTGCAAAGAAATTCCAACATTTCTTTTTTCTGAGCTTTATTCAAGACGAAGGGCATGTCTGTTGGAGATGAATGAAGAAATAAAGAAGGTGGTGGAGTTGAATGAAAAGGATTTTAGAATGAAAGATGAGGGAATTGATAGCAGACGAAAATTATTGTTTCTGAATAAGAATCGTTTCCATTTCTTAGGTGAATTTACGTGATTCAACAATGCCAACATCATCAAGCAAGGGTTCTCTCTTTGAAAAACTTCCAGGTTTGTTGATGGTTAGTTTAATCAGGTTAAAACATGATTATCATTTAAGATCTCCCCAGTCACTCATATATGATGTTATCATGTATTTAGGTTCACAACAACTTCAACGTTTATTCTCAGGAAGTGGTTCTACCATAGACTCTGAGGTACATGCATATTGTGTAAATATATAAAATGACATAATTTTAAATGTATTTGCGTTTTTCAATGCAGGGGCGATCTGGAAGTCCTAGCTCCCAAAGAGAACCTATTTCACCTGAACAGGTTTGTTGCTCTGCATGTGCTGTTTTCTATCATTTTTTTGCTGTATTCAAACTTGTTTACCAATCATGTTTATTGTAAATATTATCTGCAGTATTTACAATGGGAAAACGAAGTACTAGACAAAGAGGTTGACTATGACTTATGTCAAATTGATCCAGCTCCATTCCAACTTGTAGAAAGAACATCACTACTTAAGGTAAACCTCACACTTCCATTAGCAATGCAAAATCAATGATCTTTATGAAATGGAAATTGGAATGTAACTCTGTTTAGGTGCACAAATTGTTTGCTTTGTTAAATCTCTCTCATGCCTATGTCACATCACTTGGTCGGCTTGTTGGAGTGGTTGCTCTTACTGAGGTATGTCTAGTGATCCTTTAGAACAATAGGATAAGCCTTGGATGAGAGGGTGAGGAGATTCAGTTTCATTTGTTTTATATTCTGCTTCGTCATCATAGGTTCGGCAAACTGTTGAAGGACACGAGACACATGAGGAAATGCATCGAAATCATCATGCAGTTTCATAACTTCATAAGGCAGATATTACCAGCTACAGAGTCGAGGTTTTTTGACAAAATTTTATTGCAGACATCGTATTACACAAGTGCATTGATATTACACAGCTACACAAAAAATATGGAGAATAAATACAAGTGGATGGGTGGATGTTAATTGGCAAAGAGAAAGCTCATTAATCAGCGTACACTAGGCCTATCACTATGAATGGCTTAGTGACTGACAACCAACACCAATTCACAAATATCAACATTGATACACCACTAATTGATTGACAGTTGATCAACTAATTTAACAATCTATGTATTTTCACATGAGATTAATGCATTTTGTAAATAGGCCATAAGTTATTCCAAATTGAATTCATGACCAAAAAGTAATGTTAACTGTTAAAGTAGTTTTGTATGTAGGAAAAGATGTTTAAAACAATACAAATTAAATGAGTGATGTCCAGCATTATTTTATAACTCAATAAGAAATATGCTACAAAGTATGCTCAAATTGAAATATTGTAGTTGTTCCATTCAATCTGTGAAGAGGTTGGTTATTGTTCCATTACATCATTCAAACTAAAACAAAGTGTTTATTTATACAAAATATGGTGGCTTTTTCACATTGATTCCTGATTCTGCAAGAGCTGGCTTCAGGTCCTCCATTGTCAATGTGTAATGCTTGTCCTAGTAAAAGTGAAGAGTAATGAAAAACAGTTCATCAGTTGAGGTACCATTTTGAATAATACCAAACAATAGTACAATATCACTCACTTTGCCAGATTTCCTGGAGCTTTGTACAGATCCTCGCATCTTACAATGTTGTAGGGCATCATTGGCAATGTCAGACACGAATTTTTGGGCAGCGAGGGAAATTAGTCTAACCCTTAAAAAGAAAGAAAATGACCGCTATTTATATTAACATATTTTTATATGTGGTTTCTTTATAAATAGCTTTGTGTACTTACAGTCGAGGATCAGTTGTCTCAAATCCAGATCTGTTTAAATAGTACGATGTTACTGCATCGGGTATCTAAGATTTTAAACAAATATATGAGACCAGAACATATAAACTCGAAAGATTTCGATAAATCGCGAAGGACACCGAAGGTATTTAATAAAGAAAGGTTACCGTTGGAGTGTAGTCATCTAAATGATGTAAAAAGTCGGCGATAGTTACACCCTCTGCTTTCTGTTTGAAATCTCCGGTTGATTCTTTGGCAACTGAAACAGTTGCTTTACTGGTGCCAGTGTTCGAGGGAACTTTTGTTGTCGTATTTGTTGCTGTTTGCGCGACTTTAGATGTTGAGGGCCGTGGAGTTTCAGCCATCTTGAATTTCAGTATTGGATACTTCATGTAAGGTAAGTATACAGATCATGGGTTGGGAAATATTTTTGGTGCATGCAGAATTTGAAGTTTATTGCGTTATAGTGAAACACTTTTAATACGTTTTTAGCTTATATTTAACAACAACCATAGTTTACAAAATCTCTTATTTATTAATTGTGGGAGATATGTCCTATCCTAGCCTTGAACAACGTGGAAAACATAGTTGGAAGTTGGAATAGAAATATGCAAAATATATTGCCTTTCATGAGACTGCAAAAGTATGCAAATCTGCCAAACTGGGTCGGATCGAGTCTAAAGCTTTTAAGCCTTTTTTTAGTGCTTCTCATGCGCCGAACGCATTTAAAACAATAGATAATTAATGAGAATACCTCATTATCTATTGTTGTTAATTCGCTCGGCACATGAGAAGCATGACGTTTGAAAACAGGCCTTACTGTTAAGTGTCATCAATGTATAAAGTGCATTGTCCGTTGGAATGTTTTTCGGGTAATAAAAGGACAGAAACTTCGAGGTGGAACTCAGACTTGTGATAATCTCGACGAAAAAAGGATCACTCGAAGAAATTTAGGGCGGAAAAGTTGGAGGAATATCGCTCAGGTAAATGCTCATGGTTGGTTAAAATAATCTGTTGGCTTGATCTTTCCATGGCTTGATCTTTCCATGGCTTCGCAAATCATCGCTATGTTGATTTCAATAGCCAGAAGACAATTAGCGACCGGACGAATACTTCTCACTGATTTTTACTGCTATATCTCGTATTGAAATATATCAAATGTGAAATTCAAGTGAGCTGTTAACTTGATTTTGTTTTTCCTTGCATTTCAGAAGGAACTACGGCGCCGAAAGATGGGAAAGACGAAACACAAGCGCTTGCTCGCTGCGGAATAATAGGTATTGTCCTATTAATATATGTGTATTTTGCATTTGTGACTTGAAAAAACACGTTTGCACTTTGTTTACGGACAGTGAAGGTGGACGAAACTAGAATAGTTTTGATATATAGAAATGAATTCGAGCTTTATGACTGTAACTAACTTTCCCGGCTAGCCTATTCGTTTTTGGGACAGGGTTGCCCAAAGGGAATGCTCGTTTTGAAAGGGAGAGACGGATTGAAACTCAATGCCTATATAATTATTTGTATTGGTATATGATTGTACTATGCTAGACTTCCCTGTCCTTTTGTTTTACCGAAGTTCTGTTTTTGTAGAACGAAACAATCGTAAAGAGATGTCGGACATGCCTTGGGACATTTATGCACGCAAATACAAAACTCGATTTCGACAATATGCATGAGTAAAAATTGCATGGAATTTGGCTTTTTTGACTGAGATATAAACTGAACACTCTTCTGTTTACCTCCTTCATTTTCAAGTTTTCCGCCTGTGCGTGATTTTTGCATGAAGTCTGGTCGTATCAAGCGCATGCGGAGTGAATACAAGTGATTCTGGGGCCCCAATCACTTGTGTTTTCTCCATCTTGACGACTATATAGTCCGGACAAAAATATCGCCCAGAGAGCGCCTAAAACATAAAAACATGAAATATGTATTTCTAGAAGGAGATGATAGTCCAGTGTTCTTGCTTTCTTGTACAAAAACGTACATGACATTTTGTATTAAAACGTGCATGACATTTTGTACAAACACGTGCATGACATTTTGTATTAAAACGTGCATGACATTTTGCACCAAAACGTGCATGACATTTTGTACCAAAACGTGCATGACATTTTGTATTAAAACGTGCATGACATTTTGTATTAAAACGTGCATGACATTTTGTACCAAAACGTGCATGACATTTTGTATTAAAACGTGCATGACAGTTTGTATTAAAACGTGCATGACATTTTGTATTAAAACGTGCATGACATTTTGTACAAACACGTGCATGACATTTTGTATTAAAACGTGCATGACATTTTGCACCAAAACGTGCATGACATTTTGTACCAAAACGTGCATGACATTTTGTATTAAAACGTGCATGACATTTTGTATTAAAACGTGCATGACATTTTGTACCAAAACGTGCATGACATTTTGTATTAAAACGTGCATGACATTTTGTATTAAAACGTGCATGACATTTTGTATTAAAACGTGCATGACATTTTGTACCAAAACGTGCATGACATTTTGTATTAAAACGTGCATGACAGTTTGTATTAAAACGTGCATGACATTTTGTATTTAAACGTGCATGACATTTTGTAATAAAACGTGCATGACATTTTGTATTCGCGTGCGCAATGCGAAGGCCACGAGTGACTGACGTTGGAGTGTTGGAGGTTCGGTATAATTTATCCTGAGTGCTTTATACATAAGTGACATTTCTCTCTTGGAAATTATTCATATCATACTTTTGTTGTCAGATGATGAAGGATCGTCGCAGGATCAGATGATGAAGGATCGTCGCAGGATCAGATGATGAAGGATCGTCGCAGGATCAGATGTTGAAGGATCGTCGCAGGATCAGATGATGAAGGATCGTCGCAGGATCAGATGTTGAAGGATCGTCGCAGGATCAGATGATGAAGGATCGTCGCAGGATCAGATGATGAAGGATCGTCGCAGGATCAGATGATGAAGGATCGTCGCAGGATCAGATGTTGGACGATGAGACAGTTATACAAGTGGAAGCTGGTTGAGGTATTATTACATACCATAGGTAGAATAATGCATGATTAATATAGTGCATGGTTTATTCCTGCTGGGTGGTCTAACCTAGTATATTCTTCACACATCAAGTGACTTTTCACCCTTTTCGACAATGCATGATAACAGGAAATTTCTCACAGCCCTTATGAGGGCGTTTTCGAGGTTCTCATAAAATATTCCTAGTTTTGTCACTTGCGTGTGAACGACTTAACAGCTGTGGAAGATGCATGATGGCTTTAAAGCGATGAAATGAAAGTGAAAAATGTATTAGCATGGCTGAAACGCGCGCAACAAGAAAATATTATCTAATTCGTATTGGCCTATAAATTTTAGATTAATACGAATGTAATCGCGAGTACTTATATGATTATATAAGTTTCTCTGTTCAGCCTTTAGCATAGTTGACGCGCGCGCAACGAGAAAATATTACTGAATTCGTATTGGCCTAATTTTTGCAAATAATTCGAATGTAATCGCGAGTATTTTATATCTTTTAAATACGTTCTTCTGTTCAGCCTTAGCAAGCGCGACACGCGCGCAACGAGAAAATATAAAATATCATCGAGTTCGTATTGGCCTGATTTTTGAAATAATTCGAAAGTAATCGCGAGTATTTATATGAGTATTCAGTAAATGCCGGCGTTCTTCTGTACATCCTTAGCATGGCTGACGCGCGCGCAACGAGAAAAGTATTATTGAATTCGTATTGGCCTAATTTTAGATTAATACGAAGGTAATCGCGAGTACTTATATGTTTATATAAGTGTCTCTGTTCAGATTTAATTTCGATCGTTTCGACCGTCCGTCAATGGCATAAAAAATTATATTTTTGGAATTATTGAAATTTAAAATGAAGAAAAAAAAAATGACAATTTGGTGTTTAGACACTAACACTCTTCTGTTTTCCTTGTCGGTATTAATTTTTCGGACAGCAATTTCTAAAAATCCGGTTTATCTCGAGCATGGAGGAAATAAACGTAATCTAACGATTTTGACCCATGATGAAGCTTGTAAAAGAAAAATATAACCCCTGTATTACATGATGTATTACATTGCACGATAACAGGACGTGTATGGTGGGGATATCTGGGGGTTAACTGTTGTAACCCTGTCGTCTAAAAAATGAACCCTTTAATAAAAACCTCTTTGTATTTTGACACACTTACTATGTTGTTTTATTCCTTGCACGCTCCACCGCCGAGACGCTGTCGAAGAAGAACGTTGAAAGAAGGCAATGAAAGACAAACTGAAGATATTTTGTTTACCAAAAGTAATTATCACGATGCAAAGCAAAAGGTGAGAAACATCATTGATTCTCTTGTAGTATATTACATATTGAGTAAGTTGATTGAGTAAGTTGATTAAGTTGCATGTTGAACCCAATTACGTTTATTTCCTCCGTGTTCGATCAACCTTAATCCAGAAAATATAAAAATGGTGCATGAGATGCATGTCTGGAAAGAAGAGTGTTATTGTCTACAACAGTTTGAGATAAAAAAGCATGCAAGTCGTGAATTTGAACAATGCCAAATTTCGTTGCCGATAACTGAAATAAATTTTGTTGCCATTGTCGGACAAAGCGCAATTTAATTTCTGAAAGCCTGGTGTTTTGCAAAAGACGATATGAAATGCGCGCTGCGCAGGTTAGACCACCAGCAGGATCGAATTGACGAAGCTCAAGAATTGAATAGCAATTCCTGGGACTCGCATGAACTTGAAACGGTCAACTATTTATAAGCAAAAACTGAGCTGTCGTTGCGGACGATTTCTAATGAAAATAACAAAATTCGGACCGCCGGTCAGGTAACCTGAAATTCAGGTTACCTTTGGAGGGTTTTTCTCCGGGCACTCCGGTTTCCCTCCTTTTCGTTTGGCTTTGAAAAACAGTGTCCATGTCTGGGGCCAAACCAAAACGTGTTCGTTAATAGTGATAAAAACGCGTGTGTGGCTTCTGGGTTCAATTCCCAGAACACTGTCCGGTGTGAGTTCACTTTCTCATCGTGAGCAATTTCTACAAAAATTGTACTTAAATAGCTCAGTAGTTTGCGACAAATAAGCATGTTCAGGCGTAAGAAGCATTAAGAAATTGTGGGCACCTGCTTCCAGGGCCACTTTTAGTTAATAAACTGAAAGGCAGCTAAAAGTATGTACTAGTAGGGACAGTTTGATCGCCAAAGTTGCAAGGACACCACTAGTGTGGTTTATATTTATGCTCTACAGAAAGATTTTGGCACCTGTAAGCGGGCACACGTAGGAAACAAAACGGGCACGATTTTAAAATGGTATATTTACAGCCACTTTTATCTCCTGTGCCCCCCGGTCCTCTGTCAACCCCCCCCCGGTTCCTATGCCCCTGTTCAGCCGCTTTGTTTAAACCTTGTTTAACAGTTTGGGAATATGTAGCCAATATATATCTCAAAGCAGTTGTGTGATTTGCGAAAACGCTGTTACATTTTCTGATATTTAGGAATCGGAAGTCAAAAGGATATGTCCACTTTCTCGCAATTTCCTGTTCTTGGTAGCCCTTGGTGCTTAAATATACAATATACTTCATTATATGTATTTAACGAAGACGAGTATTCTTTTCTACATCACAGTTACATCTTAAATATATCAGGTCTCAGATTCCGTCAGTGATTTGTTAACTGCAGTGCTGAAAATATTTGGTAAGTATAAACGTTAACTGAAGTATTTCTTTGAAACAGCTTTTCAAGATGTATAAATCATATAATGAAACTCTCTGTATAAAAAAATTAAAGAGAATTAAACTTAGCCGGTTTCCTCTACATCTAGTCTGTAAGAAATAATGCCAATTAAATGTGGTTTTAGTTGTTTGACTCTCTTTGCGATAGATTGTTCCTTTAAACTAAAAAGATATTTTAAAAAACAGTTCTACTACGATTTGGTTCCCGCGATAGAATTACGTGTATAGATTAACACAGTCATTAATGTTTTCTCATCCAAGCATGACTTCTTTCGTTGGTGATTAACGAGCCAAAGTGATCTGCATTATTCATTATATTTACCTTAATTTGTTTAGATTAAGTCAACTTGAATAATTGTAGTCGTACCACTTTGGGAAACATTTGCTACACTACGACAAGAGGATTGATTGTAAAACAAAGATTTACAATGTCGCATACTCTGACCTTTACCATTCTTTTTCATCTTCTGGGACTAGTCAACTGTAACCGACATAACAGCGTCATATACCAAGGTATTCTACAAATATTATTGTTGAAAATGAACAGATTACTTAGAATGTCTACTGTTGTTTATTCAGTATCAGACTGCTAACCCTGAGATAAGTTCACTATAAAGTACAAAACGTTTTAAATGTAAGAAAGAATACGAAGAAAGCCGTTGAACTCTGACTAAACTTTTTTGTTGAAAACGTCAAAACACTTTCTTGTATAATTATGTCTCACAAGCGACATAACGATTTAGGCGCATTTGAATCCGCGCTCCAACAGGAAATAGGATTTGCCTTTCAAACCTGAAACGGAGAAGTGAATAGCGGAGTAAATGTTAACTCACTTTGGTTCCCAGGAAAATATCATGAAATATTAACATATTCAATACACGGTAAACAAAGTTTCTCAACATTTAATTAACCTATGGACCTCGTTGAGAAGATTTTATAAACAAAGTTTTACCAGACCATATTTAGTTCATGTTTATAAAGTAATCTCGCATGTTATTGCTTTTTCATTAGAAGTAGTGAGTTTCAATCACTCAGCATATTGTTAGAGTTACTCACATGCAATAAGGTCAGTTTTCCTTAGAACAGTTTATTGACTTAGCATTCAGTTTGATCATTCAAGTGTTTCGATCGTCGTCCCACTTTAAGTAAACAATCGTCTAAAGCCAGTGTATATTTCATCAAACATTGCTTGTGAAAGTTGTATCCACAACAGATGTAAATTTTGAGCTGTCTGACTATAGTACCCAGGGTACACAATAACATACATCGGATAAAACGTACACAAACTGATGTCATTCATCACTATTGTATTGTCGCACAGACCTTAGAACTCCTATGTTATAAAGTTTTTGTTAAACTAAAGTAAAATCTGAACTCAAAGGCTGAGGTTCGTAGACAATCAATGTTAATTTGGAGGATAGTGATATAAAAAAGGTATTTCCGCGACATAGGTTTTCGGTGTCTTTCATGTTTTTATGACTCGCATAATGTTTGTGTGTTAACACCCATAAAAGTAATCACAATTTTAACGTTTTCTTTCTTTGATTAGAAAATTAATCCTATTGTTTTCCTAAGCTTTTTTCTTTATTTAATGTTCTTACACCTTCGGAAATGCTTTTTCAGCTAAATTGTGTGTTTAGTCTGACCCTGGCAAAATTGAAAACTTTTCCATCATAGCTAAAAACGTCATCAAATGTAAGATCATGCAGAAGTTGCAGTGAAATTGCACAGTATATAATTTCAAGTCACTAAATACTTTTATTCATACTTTATTTTACAGCTGTACCAAATGCTTTCTTCAAAGAATGTCTTTTTGAAATAAATAATTACCGTAAACTTCATGGCTCGCAGCCTCTACGGTGGAGCAGTGATTTACAGTATCATGCGCAAGAACGGGCAGACAAATTCTCCCAAGACGAGATTCTTCAAAATGAAATAGAAAGTTTGGACTTGGTTGGCCAAGGAGAGACCGTCTCGTATTACTCTCCGTCCAAGCAACTTTGCCGCACGTTTCCCTCATCTGGGGATTGCCATGCATGCCGGGAAACTATAGTAACTTGGTACAATGAGTCAAAATATTATAACTATAAAACTGGATATTCCGTTGATGGCACTAAACAAGTTTTAGATTTCACGCAAGTAAGTAAAGGAACCAGTGCGATTTGATTAAAACTATATTAGCAAGATGCCTTTCTAACAGGTTTGGATCTTGTTTGTCAACAGGTTATGACAATTATCGTCGTTGTTTTTATCAAATTAATTATAGAATGGTTTTTAGCCAAAAAAACGTGACCTCTGGTCGATGAAACAGACATGTAAATTAAACAAATTTGTGTTTTTTTTTCAGTTGGTGTGGAAAGATAGTGTAAAGGTTGGTCTAGCCACAGCCATCAGTCCTCGATACGGTACGATTATCGTGGCTCGCTACCACCCACGTGGAAATATTGGCTTCCTTGACGATTACGTCAGAAATGTCGCCCCGAAAGGTGAGAGACCTAGACACGAGTGCTGACATACAAATATGTAGATTAATGGGCTCGTTATTTTATCTCACAGGCATGAGTGGTAGTGATGGATTTGGTGGGAATGATCGTGATAATAGCCAAGGAGGTCCTCCGTGCCGAAAACTGAAAAAAAGAAAAGTAGGCGAAGGTGAGAGAATTCTTCGATTATTTAGAAAATGATATTTGGACTGTTCATGATATGAGCCTTCAGCCTTCGTCCAACCTCGATTCTCGGCTGCATTCCTAAATCCTAATCTCTTTTTGTTGTTGTATAGAATCATCAAAATGTAAAAACGAATATGAAAACGATATCTGTGATGTTTACGCGCGTATACCCAAATATTGCCAATATAGCGCCCACTTTATGAGAAAAAAGTGCGCAAAAAGCTGTGGAGTTTGTGAAACTGGTGAGTACTCGAGTCACTGAATTGAGGATTTCGTAATATTTCATTCACATGGGGACAATTTCCTTCCCCTCCCGAGAAAGAAGGGCAAACATTCACTGTGGTGGATTTAGCTGTGCTTGATCTGCTGTGTGGTCTTGCCAGTTTATTAAATCTTTTCTTCCTTTCTGTAGAGAAGAAACTTGAATTACGATGGGAAGTTGGTAAATGGCTTGAGGTAAAAAATATTTTGTTAAGTTTCCCAAGCAAAGCTTCTAGTTCTTTCTCTCATTCATTTTGTATTTCTTTAATATCAAGTGTCATGGAGGATTTCGAAGACGTTCCGTGAAGTGTTTCCACAAATCTAATGGTCATGATTTCCTTGTTAAAAACACATTCTGTCGCCACAAGTTGGGAAAGAAGCCCACAGAGTACAATGATTGCTTGTTTGGTGTCTAGTTTACACTGTCAAATCGTTCGAATATTTGTATTTCATCAAAGGATGTGACACTGCATCGTGTCTTTCGTTTCCTCAAGGACAGTCCAAGACAGAAAAACTTATGTTATGCTTACGTAGTGATACCTTTTAGGGTCTGAATACAAACATGAAACTGGATAACTTATTTATTTTGCCCGTATTTCATGTTTGGAATGTATTATATAAAATAACTCTCACAAGAATGGATGAAATTCCTGTTGTTCAAGTACGTTAGTCGCGCTGATTGACCCTCCAAGTATAGAGACGTTCGTGGTGATTGTGGAATTCATTTATTATACCTGTATTTATTGAAATAATTTGTTCTAATTACAATTAGTGTTGAAAAAGATAAACATCATTATGGCATATTCAATGTGTTTTCAGATTTTTCTATCTACTTGCAGTAAAATCTGCACTTATAGACGTTTGTTCCTGCTTAAATTATCGTTATCACCCGTCAGCATTCGGATGGATCCGGAAGAGATTCTTGATATCAATGTAGTGGATGGAAAATAAGTTAGTTCGGTCAAATTCAAGATGGCAGAAAGTGTGGGAAATGCGATTTCTATATTTCTTGGTCCAAATGGTACAATTTTTGCTGTAATTTCCGCAACTTTATTAGTTCTGTTAACTGCTGGTTAGTAATTCATATTTTATATTCCTCCAAACTGATATCAATGAAAAGCGTTGCTGTGAAATAGAAATATTGATAGTGCAGTCCCTAAACAATGAATCATCACTTCACTCAGTTCACTAATACCGAACAATACAATTAATACAATACAACTATTAATATTACAAGAGGCGATTCCTATCCTGGCTTTATTAAATAGTTATTGTAATATGATTCAGTGACAAAGAGTGTCTCTAAAGTAAAAATAAAATAATAGTTTTAGCGTGGATCATCGGAAGAAGTAAAAACAAGGGTAATACTGTGTTGCTTGTTGGTTTGTCTGATGCTGGGAAAACTCTCATCTTTATCAGGGTGAGTAAAATGCCTGAATGTCTCAAATCCACAGACAAATCCCTCGAATGATTCTTAATAATTATGATATTTTAGCTGATATTTAACAAGTTCCTTCCCACTCATACTTCCATCAAAGAAAACAAAGCGAACTATAAAGTAGAGCAGGTTTGTCAAGTTATGACAGTTGTTGATCAAATTTTATTGAAGCAGATATATTCACCAGGCAGTAATCTTAAAATTTCTTGGACTTCTGCAGGCTGAAGATGCAAAGTTCTTGGAATTGATAGATATTCCAGGAAATGAAAAATTACGAGGAAAGTTTTTAGATCAATTCAAAAGCCTTGCTAGGTAGGAAGGAATTGTTTATGATTTGGTAATTGAATTTCTTGTTTACTGAGTAGAAGCTAATATATGTGGTTGGTTGATTATATTCCAGGGGAATAATCTTTGTTGTGGACAGTGTCACCTTTACCAGAGAACTACATGCAGTTGCCGAGTAAGTGAATGTTGCAAAAAGGGACCTATGGACATCAGTTATACCGTAAAAATTACCATGATGATCTTTTTCCAGATGTTTATTTGATATTCTGAGCAACAAGATGTTTAATAAACTCTCAGTAAAAATTCTCATTGCTTGCAATAAACAAGGTGTTACTCAGCTTTGAAGTTTGTTGTTTTTGTATAAAGAGTTAATATATTGTTCTTCATCTTTTAGACCTCACCACTGCTAAGTCAATGAACGTTGTTAAATCCCAACTGGCCAAAGAAATGTAAGTTTTGTTTATTTTTTATTTCCTATGACAATAGTTGGATTCAACTTCATTCATGTCATAGCAATGTCTTTATGGAAATGTTCATTTTCACAGCAACACATTACGCAAGACACGGGCGGCAGCTGTGAAAGGTTTAGATGAACAATCCGTGGCTCATGATGAAGTTTTTGTTGGTCAGAAAGGAAAAGATTTTGACTTTGCTGATCTACGTGGAATGAAGGTTGAATTTATTGAATGTAATGCAAAGGAAGATGACAAAAGTGGTTTGAAAGATATCCTTGAGTGGATGAAGAAATTGATGTAAGGCACCAGTTTTCACAATCCTTCCTCTGGTGTATGTGATTTAGCAGATTTACTGGAGTTGCTGACAACAAAGGCAAGATCTGAAGTCATAGGTCAGGCAAAGAGTGAAACCTTGAAAAAACTTGGAATTTATCCAGATTTGGGGAATTCTCATTAGTGAGAATTGATAGTGGAATCCAGGAATACTCCAAAGAACAACTTTAAGATCGTTTTAAACACTGAAAACCTCTCATTTTGTGGGCAACTTTACTAAATTATGATAAGATTACATCATAGTGAGTGTTAAAAATTCAACAACGCAACGATCACCTAAGCCATGGTTGAACCAGGATGTGAGGAGATACGGATCAACGAAAGCATGTTCGATCTTCAACCCTCAGCCTAGCGATCCTATCATCTGACTGTTGAAGGTCGAACTTGCTAATGCCCCTCGTTTCACTGACAGTTATCGAAGTTAATAAAATCTTAAAACAAACTCTCGTATTCTTGTTTGACCAATGCTCGCTGCATTCATCGTTGAATATTAAAAATGGTAAAATCCTAGGTTGATATATTGATTAAAGGTTTCAGTTTCCAATCGACATAGGTCTCTCCATGTGAGCGACCTCTAGCCTCACGAAGAGACTGATACACTAACACGGAAACATCTTGCTTGGTTTTCCTAATATCTTTATACACACGTCATTGCTGGTGGGTTCGTAAACCCCATCCTTCATAAGTAGAATACATCCAAGAGTGCATTTTTGAAAGCCATTATGACACTAGAGAAAGACGTAAAAAAATCTTCGGATTACCTTAGTTTCACAGTGCAAGATTCACGCATTTATTTTTCGATACTGGTGTATTTTACCATACGTACCTCGCTACAAAAGCTGCTTATCCATCTAACGTCTAGTATGAAGAAAAAACTCGTGTTAAAACTGGGAACAGAAGTCAGAGACGTAATTACAAACATTTCCACACACCTTTCTCACCAGGGGGAGGTGGAAATTCTTCGTCTAAATGTAGAAAAGAGAGTCTGTGGTTAGTCCATGTGCAGTGGCCTTATTTCAGTCCTTTTGGACTGGAGGTCAGGCAAGTAGCGAGCGCTGTGTTTGTTATGGTTCTGGTAACAAGCATAGTGAGAGAAGTGAGAGAAGTGAGAAATTTAGATGTTAGTGTAGCGAAAATTACCTGAGAATTGATGTTCACTAATAATTGGCGGGTGAGGAAACGGTACGTTTGGAACAGACGTTCCTAAAAAAATGGTTAGAACATCGGATTAACGATTTCAATCGTCGCCAAAACAAGTTTAATTAGACCTCAGTCATCCATACCGCAAAATCCACACGAGAAAGGACAGTGTATCTTCATAAAATCTTTGTTGTAATTACAGTAATCGTCATATTTCGTTGCGTAAAATGTGCAGTTTTCTCTGAGGTCAAAACATCCATAATTTTCATATTCTATAAGGTAGATGATACCCAGATAAATGTCTGCAAACTTAAGTAGGATAATTGCCTTAAGGCTGTGACTGTTGCATGTTTTATCAACCCGATATTGAGATTTCAACAGCCAAGTTTAGGAACATCCGCTTCTCACGAAACCGCAGCTTATTAAAGACGCTGTTTTGAAACATAAAAATCCCTCTCTCTTATTCATATTATATTTAATACCTTCTCCTCCAGGTCCAAAGGGAGTCGGCTCTTTTGGAAAAGTGTCAAATGTTCTTATTTCCCTTTCACCTTTAATTACAAGAATGAATGAAACAATTTTCTGTTTGCGTGAATTGGCTCGTGTCAGTCAACTTACTTGTGGTCAATGGCGGCAAGGTGGTGGTTGTGTATGCTGCTTCAGCTGGTGATTCAGGCAACGGCACGTAATCTGTTAATAATTAAGACATTAAACTACAATGATTACACGTTCAATAAGAGTTTAACTATAACTGTTTTCCTTCATTCTTACCGCAATGTTTGCAAGATCTGGGACAATGGGTAAACATAAAAGCGTAGTGATATTCACAATATCCATCAAAGTTTGCAAAATATGCGCATTCTTGACGAGCATCTGAGCAACCTGGTTAGCATGAGATGAAGAAATTAATGAATAGTTTGAACTGAATTTTGTGGTGGACTACTTGTATTAACCTGCTTGCGGTCCGCTACCTCCATCCCTGGGTTTACTAGTTGTCTTTATTTCCTGAGGCCTTGTGGCAGTTGTCGGATCCGTAGACAGTCTTGTTGTTCCTCCATTGACTGTAGAGATATGGATGAAAGAAGAAGTTAGTAGATAAAATAAGTCTGTCTTGTTTTTCATAGGTTTCTACACTGCATATTGCATTTAAATCACATCACATCTATGAAAGAAACATACCACAAAATCGACAGCTGTAAGGACAGTGTATCAGCATGAAATATCTAGTGTACTGACAGTAACCAGGATAACCAGCGAACCTTGAGCATTCTTCTCTAAAGTCACGGCATCCATGAATGGATGTTGTTACTAAGAACATAAGATATATTAGAGGATGGATTCGTGCTTTCATGAAGTATTCGTTTAGTTTGTAGGGCATTCATGTTTATCTATACGATGAAAAATGTATTAAGTGTGTTGTTCATATTAAGGGTTTTGAATATGCGCGATAGATTTGTTGTAACTTACTGGGATCCGGAGGTCCACCGATTAATGGTTCTTCGGTGTTGGAAAGCTTGTGAGTGGTAACCGGAGGATTGGTTGTTGTCAGGGTCACTGTGGGATAACGTGTAGATTGCGAGCTCGTGGTAGGGTCTTTTCTAGGGGTTGTAATGGGGCTCTGAGTAGTAACCGGGACATTTGAGGTAACTCTTGGTCTCTCTGATGTCCCTACATATCGTCCGAATTTGAAGTCGTTACACAGGTCTCCATTGCAACATTGTTTTTCACAGTTAGTATGATGAGAAAACAAACATTGATACTCGCACATTTCTGGAGTTGCGCAATGTCGTCTAAATACCGTATTACCCGTCCTTGGATTACGGGCTCGATAAGAAATACAGCGGTCAAAGCCATGTTGTATATTACAGCCACGGACTATAACATTAGGACTGGTGATTGAACATCCTGGTTCTTCAACACTATCTTCATAATCAGTTACACATATATAACATCGTAGTGGGCCTGAAAATCATTACATCTTGTTATAAATCGTTGAAAAATTTGCTTTGCCTGGCCATGCTGGTAATTATTTGATGAACTTCTACACTATCGTCACTAGCTGTGTTTCCCACACTTATATATCATATCGTTAACCTTCTTCGTATACCCTAAGAGTTTTTGCAATTCCACTCTACATAATTAACAAGACTATCAGAACCCCTGTGTTCCTGTTGATAAATGTCAGTAATATTATTGACATGACATTTCATACTTTAATTACTCTATTGTTAAATATTGTTAAACCCCATGTATAGGATGCCCACAACAAAATCCGAAAAAATATACCTCTTAAATTTATTGAGCGGTCTCCTATAAATGTCTGTCTTGTGAGTATAGCAGGTGTTTTTTATGTATCATATTTGATGCAACACTTGGTATTCAACTTCAAACGTACAATTTAAATATTTGAACCATGTATTCACTGATATATAATCTTAAATAGCAAGTTTTGGCATGACTTTGAAACCGAGTGTACTAATATTGTATAGTTAAGCACAAACTCTGCAGGTGTGCAACAATGCACATTAATTAACTTAACCATGTCCGTTCTTTCAAAGATCATCTTCTATACATATGGTAATTTAAGTAAAATCTCACTGACACAACTGACACACTTACAAGAAGCGATTGTTTTGGGGGTATATAGAGATATCGTGTTTCGCTTCTGCCCAGTGATGTTATAGAGATATTTCAGATGAGTGATTATTATCTTGGTAATACGGAGGATGAACTGATAAGCTAGGGCGAATATACATTGTTTGCATAACTAACGAATGGAAAGATGTTATCATGATATCCCACAGACAACGCTCTTTTTTTACAGATGCAAGCCTAAACGAAAAACCCTCACGTTTTTTAATTTCTATCAGACTTTGAGGAACTGTAAATAAATGAAAAGATTAATCCCTAAAACTGATTCCATAATATGGAATTCTTGCTATCGAAAACAGCCAGTAGAAAAGATGTTTTCGAAAAGAGACATGCTAGGTTTAAAACCAGAGTACATTCTAACACAAAAATATGTTTTTACAAAAAAATAAATCTAATTATATAAGTTCTCGGTTGGGTTCATAGTGCCTTGGGGTTAACACCAAATTGGACAACAGTTGTCAGATGAATTGTGCAAATAAGATGACAGCAAATTATGATAGAGATTATACAAGTAGTTCAATATGGAATAGATCATATTTAAGATTTTGAACAAAAAGGCCTCCAGAGACCATATGGTACGATAGAAACAGATAGAATAATGGTATTTCGTTATTTCTTCAAAGATGCATGCTACAAGTAATGCTTTGAGTGAACATTGTTACTTTTACAACCAAAAGAATCACTCGCTTACTTCTTCATATGACAAACACATGCTTCATGTTGTCAGTATTGACACACGTGATTTCTGTGATAGTGCTAAGTTTTGATTCTTGGGATGTTTCGTATTGTATTCGTCCTATATTTAGCTCCAAAGTTATTTCTACAATCAGATGGTAGGAGATAACATTTGTCATTGGACTGGATTCAATATTGGATTATCCGCAAAGGACGCTGGACTTTAATCAATAACACCTCGACGCTAAGAATCATTAACTTTTCAGTTTATTTTAAAAACGTTTTCTAAGGGTTGAAAATCTATCATTTTTCAGTGAAGCCATTTTAAGCGATTTTCAGCACATAAAATTTACTCATTGAAACAAGTAATCTAAAGGTCAAACGATTAATAGCGCCCTTTTCCTTGTATGAAGTCATTTCTATGTCTGCCTCATAATAACTAAAACCTTATGTTTTCTTGCTCTCAGGGTAAATACATCGTTGAAACACAAACATTCAACAAATAATAAGATCGTGTATCAAAGCTACCGTGGTAATGTTTAGATCAAATTCATTGCAAAATTTACGCAGCTTAAATTGAATAGAATTACATGTTTAAATCTGCAGATTATATATCCCGACAAACATCTCCCCTATGTATCACGTAACATGCTATTAATGACGACGAAACCCCAGTGTAAGACATTTTAGAAATTTGATTCAACTTGACTATCTTCAAGCATATTCAGTGACAGTAAGCCACGATATGCCGGCTGCAGAATGCAGTTGAGATATTGGAGCGGAATATAAGCCGACAAATTCACATGCATAGAAAGATATGAACAGTTGTGACTAACACAACGCTATCTATCAATTGAAAGCTGCATAGGGTTGAAGAAGAGTAATTTTGACCATAGCAAACGCTAAATCTTTCACTACATGTATGTTATTGTTTTCAGCTTAATACCATCATAGCTTAAACCAAGAGTGGCCGGCTCTTATCCTGTTCTATCCAAAAAGTAATGCATCCAGACATACCATAATATTTAATATGTCGTTAGTATTTACTTACGTCTCTGCTGAGCAATGGTTGCTGTCACTCCAGTAAAAAGAACAAGCGTAATAACAAATGTTACGCTGTACATATTTGTCCCAGGTAAGTAACAGATATAGTCCTCTTGTACAAATATTTCAATGGCATAATATCAAATGTTTTTCACTGTCCCGAAGGCGTGGCTAGCCGCCATAGGTGATCATGTTAGAATGCGTCTTAAGACAAAAAGAGAAATCATTTTTAGAGTGCAATCTCATTAAAATGCCGTTCGCTGGCCAAAATCCTAAGAATGTTAGGCCACTTGGTTTTCAAGCCTTTGTATGAAGTTTAATTAAAAAACAACATATAGTTACTTTAAGATTGTATAGGTGAAATTAAAAAGAAGTGTTTTTGTAATATATCTATTGGGTTTATTTGCTGATCGATTGTCAATATTTCGTTGATAAGGCAATAGATTTTTATCAATACTGCAATATTTCATATGATATATAGGCCTCTCGTACTGATTTATTTATGCACGAACGAGTTGTTACAGCGAAGTAAGTTCGAACATCGCCATAAGAAAGACCAGAAAGTATATTCCACTACCCACTTCAATTCACCATCATTTGTTGCCAATACAATCAATACAAATGATACACACTTTTAATGACCCTTTGGTATTCAAAATATGTCAATGACAGTTTTTAAATCCTTACCCAATAGCATGCCGTGGCTCGGCATAGAGAATGTCTGACAAGTGACAACAGTCAATTTAAAATACTATCATTCAACTATTGGAGTTGTGTATGTGTATCCTGCTCAGTTGAATCCCTTCTGATATTTGGTTATATCAACGTGCACAGATTTAAAGCTCGCCTACTGATGTCGGTCGTGTTTATATAGTGTAGCTTGGGTAAACCAAATATCGCTAGTATTGTAATTTACGAAGGATATATATATGAAACTACGGGAGAATTGGAATGAGAACTGATGACTGAGCTCAGGTGGCCAACCATTCATATGTTAATTCTAGTATTCCTCCCACCTGTAGTCTAAAATCACCTAGCAAATATAAACAGTACTAAAGAATTGTAGTACCCCAGCATTGTCTTATTCATATACAACAAAGATAATGTATAATGTCTTATAATCCGTTTCTGTCAGCATTTAATAAAAAACAGCTTAGTTTTAATCTTGTTTGACTAAGATTGTCAAGGTGTTTTCAAGATGACTTTCGCCAACCAAACATCATGGGGTGGTCAATTTGTTTAATGCATGCAGTAGAAGCATAGAAAAAGAAGAAAGTAGAAATGAGTAATGAAAAGTATCTCGCTCCAAAATCTCGCTCATCTGCTAACCCATCCAGGGAGAAAATTTTTCTTTCTCTTCGGTTGAGTTTCCGACTTTGAATACACATTAAGAAGATGACATACTAGTAATCTCCTTGAAGCGGTTCAAGCTAGTTTTAGGAGGATGAAGACCCGTCCGGGAGACTACATTCTATCCAGCCACTCAGTGTAATCTGAGCCTGCGATTCCGGTTCTGACTGTGTTGCGCTGTTGCTATAAATAGTTCTCTCTCCCCATTCTTCTTCAAATTGCACTGATTCAGTCCCATTCTTCCTACCGTGGGAATAATTGCGACTTTACATTCCTTTCTCTGGTATGTGATCGTCTTCATTTGAGGCATAAACAAAAAATTTAAAATTGATTTGGTAGTTTTTCTTCACTTTTTTCGTGCGGGAGACAACTGAATCACAATGATAAAGATAATTGTGACATACGTCACATGTTTTGTGGCGATTTTGATGTTAGTTTTAGCGTTTGCGACTTCGCATTGGAATCAACACACAACAAGCCAAGCTGGATCTTTTGAAAACCAAGTTCACTATCATCATGAAGGATTGTTTGAAAGATGCTTCGAGGTTTACGAAAATGACACGTTCATCGAGAGTAAGAGTAATTGTTTGAATATCGATATTGAAGGTAAGTCTTGTTGATCCACTTTTTAATATGTTATAGTAAAACTTCGTTAGAAGTTTCAATTATAACATGGTACGTTCTAATATCAATTCTTTAACAAATTATATATGTAATAAAATAGTTCTTTATCTTATGAGAGTTTCTGTCCTTTTACAGCTTGGAATGTGATTGTTATGATTCTACTTGGAATTTCAATGTTGCTTTTTATCCTGGCATTTGTCTTTGCTGCTATTTATTCTTTCTACACACGACGCTCAAAGTATCCACTTGTAACAAACTGCAGTTTGATAGGTTTGGCAGGTAAGGTAATTGTTGTAGTTACATGATGATATGTGCGTAAATGTAAATCTTGACCATCGATCAATTCCAACCATTTCAGCGCTTGCCGCATTTATCGCCATGATGATTTACACATTTAAACTTTGGGAGAATGATGTCTTCTTCAGTTGGTCTTATGGATCTGGGTGGACAACTGTAGCTATGGCACTCATTGGTATTGTTCTTATTATGGCTGATCGATAAAGTGAACATCAGGACTATGGTTACCATTTAGTGCAAACTGGATATATTTTTCATAGCAAAAGTTGACCTTTTATGTTATTGTGTTGTACTATATTTGAAATGCAGTGAATAGTTTTGTAATATACATTTAACTTACAAGGTTATGCACTTAACCTACATTATTCCTCGTATAAACAAACTGAATAGTCCTGAGACCATATACACTAGATTCATACACTATTAGTTTACTTGCTATTCACCATGTGTTTGTGTGGTGATATACTGTGGTAATAACTACAGTATAATTGGCTGTGTCCATCTGGTTATAATCCAGTGTAACATGTAAGATAATGTCTCTACAAAGAGTCATGGCTTTGATATGGAATGTAATGTTTTCTTTCTAATAATATTTGAACACAAGATAACAAAAATTTGTCTAATTGTTATTTAAAATAACTAAATAAACTACACTTGCAATTACTTTTTACTTCTCAACTTATATTTTAACATATGACTTATTGTTGTATTAGCTATTTCATGTTCATCCATATTTTGACCAAAATAATCAATAAATTCCCCATCAGGATCAACAAGATACAATATAACAGAATGGTCAACCTGGAAGAAAACAAACCTCACTGAATCATTAATACTATAGTCAAGTGTATTTCACTTCAATGCTTAAGTAAAAATCAAGTAAAAATGATCAAGTAAAAATAAAAATCTAGACTTACAATATAATCATTGTCAGCATCAGCTGGCCCTGCACTGTAATATACTCTGTACACTTTACACGTTTCTTTGACTTGCTCTTCTGTGCCAGTTAAACCAATCAATCTTGGATGAAAGTCTGAAATAATGAGATACACTTTTGAGCATGTATTGTTTACAGGTTGGGTGGGGTACTGAATACTGTTGTCAAAAAATAAATCCTTTCAGTGATATTGTGCCAAAGATGTTGCAAAATAAACAGTAGCTGTAAATGCAGCCAACCAGCTAAAAGATTAAAATACCGTACTTATTCTTGAGCTACTTTGGAGAATAAGTTCAATTATTTTGTTACCTTGAATATATTCAGCAACTGTTTTGACATCATCCCGTGCAGGATCAACTGTGATGAATATTGGTAAAACTTTGTCTGGTACATCTTTTGTATTATCTAAATCAAAACAACATGTTTGTCACTAAGTACTAATCTGAGATGATAAGACTTTTTGGAAGAAAAGTATATACCTATTTTATCCAATGCATTTTGTAATTTTTCTAGTGTTTCAGGACAGACATCGGGGCAATGGGTGAAACCAAAATATAAGATTAACCAGTGACCAAAAAAGTCTTCATTTGTCACAGTTTTTCCTTCATGATTTACCAAGGTGAATGGCCCTCCAATTGCTGCTTTCCCAATTGATCTTTTCTTCTCTGCTTCCTGTTCTAATGAAATGAACACATTGCTTAGCAATTGATCCTATTTTTCTGGTTTAGACCTGATTAGTCAATATGAGTTGTCACTGATGAACTGTCTGATATAACTATAAATGCCTTAATCCAGTCTAAGTAGTTGGGCTAAAGAAATGGATCTGAAATGGTCCTATTGGTCCACTCAGTAAAAGTATTCAGAAGTTAACATACTCTTTTCCATTTCATCCTTTGCTTGTTTAACATAATATACAGCAGCACCACCAATAATAACAGTGACAACTAATCCAGTCCATCTAATGGGACCTCTTTTACTGCTTTCTTTAACAAAATCATATTTTCTTGGTGGTTCGTAAGACATTGCGCAGCATTGAAGCCTCTTTTGCCACCACAATGACTTAGTTTGATGTGGCTTGATTGAGAAAAAATATAAGCATCACAAAAATGATTTTTTATGGTTGATTATAAACAGTGGGATTCTTGGTAATGCAGAGTAGCTGGTGTTCCACTGGAGGTGGTGTGATAGAAGGTACTGTAGTACTGTAACTTTCAAATTGTACAAATGCAGATTAAACTATATCTACTTCTTTTTTATTCCACAATCCGCTGGGCTTTTCTATTATCAAAAAATATTGTACGTACAACATTCAAATGATTCAATTTGTTGTTGCATGATGCGATAACATGTATCCCACGTGAAACTCGAAATCCAGCTAAGGTATAAAGAGATAAAGAATTTACAAAATGTCAAAATACATCATTTAGAAATAAATAACATGTTTTGCAGCATTTTTTATACCTAAAGTTGTAATTTTGGCTGAGAATTTGGCAGAATTTGCCGCCATAATGACAACTAAATTTTTTACTTTAACAGTGTAAAGGGGGGGGGACACCATTAGTATATGAAATAAAAATTTAAATAATAATGCAAGATATGGTAAATATGATAGATTTTAATACAAAATCTAGATTGCAATAGCAATATATTAATATTGTAAACCTTCAGCTAAAAATTTTCGAGTGAGGAATATAATTTAAATAGGTTGTCATTGGTAATAAAACGCCATCCTCGTCCTCCCCCTGCTAAAGGTCACGACCAGTGGTCACGACAGAATTATGCAATCATGGCAACATGGCATGTTTATGTCAAAAACACAGACATTTTAAAATGTATATTGTATTGTTTTATTCTCCATATATTGCATATTTTATGTTTATGAGAGTTTTAGAGACATTTTAGCTATATTTTGAAGCAACCTGGGGTTTTTAGCCATCTTATAAAGCAGTTTTTGTCTTTAATATGGCAACTACGATTCAAGGTGACAAAGATATTTCTGTTGACGAAGAAAACGAGGCTGAATTGACTGACAAAAAAGATTTTGAAACAGTTTTTAACATTTTTGATGAACAGGATAGACCACGTAAGATTGAAAGTTCAAGTTCCACTGTGAGAATATGTTTGTATAAAGAATAATTAGTACTTTGGTCAAAGTACTTTTGACAGTTTTCCAAATTGTTTTCTTATCTATAAAATGTTTTTTTGTTCATCGTTCAATGTAAATATGGGCTCCCTAAACTGGGCAGAGGGAACTTTGATTAGGACAACCTTTGTATCCAGAGGTATTGAGTTTAAAGTTGTTTGAGTGATAATAACAAGACACTATTCTTCTGTATTAACATATTAGCTATATATCAAGAACATGAAAGTGATCCATTATCAGATTTTGAACACAATGTTATCAGATCTGTCAGTGATGAGGATACAGAGTCTTTAACTGGGTATGTGATTATTAGATAGCTGTTTTACCCTAAGATTGATTGTGCATTCTCTTTAAGCAATAAATACAAATTCACCCTCGCAGATCAACAGCCAATTTATCTAGCCTATAACTTGTCATGATTTGATCTTCATTTGATCAACAACCTTTACCTAAATAATATTGGAAGGATTTTTATATGGTAATTGAGATTTCTTTGTCTGGACATAGGAGTCTTGATGGTGTAACTGGAGGTGATGAATATGAACTAACTGGCGATGATACTGAATATTATTCTGATCCTGTTACAAAACAGACCAAGCAGGTACTGTAAATATCAACAGATCCTATTCTCTAAAGACCATATGTCTACTTTAGATGCCCAATTGGCTTCCACCAAACACATAATATTTGTTGTATTTTGTTATATTTTCAAGGAAAAATTACGTATGCTGGCTTTACGAAGGCATCTTGATCTTCTTAGTGAGCAAGTGTTGCAGAATGATTATCTTGTCAATCAATCAAGGTTAGTTTATTCACAATCTTGTCTGCTTATTTAAAGTTCAATGAGGTTAATATATTATATCCCAATAGAGAAGAGTTGACAAAATGCCAGGAGAATATCCAATCATTAGAAACTGAGATTAAGAAAATCACAACTGAAATTGAAGAACAAGACTCGAAGGAAAATAAGTATGGAGTATTTTAGTTTTACTTGATTACAACTAGTTCAATCAACTGATCTGATAATTTCTTATTAGGTTCTAATCAGCTTAGATTTATCTACCATGGTATTTTACTCTGTTTAATTAATGCCAGTTGCCTGTTGATGGTTGACAAAACTAATTTAGCTCTTGCAATATTTCAGAGCTGGAATATATCGTCTTAAGTCCCAGTATACAAAGCTCTGCAGTGAACTTGAGACTGAGCGGGAACTTGCAGCAGAAATCCGAGAAAGACTTGATAACGCTGAGTAAGTGATATTTTGAGGTTTTTTGGCTTTCAGATGAACCTATGAATGGTGTTGATGTCCCTTATTGTCCCTAGATACTCCCTTTCATTGGCCACAATGGAACAAAGTCGTTTTCTATTGGCTGGCGAGGAACTTGAGAAAGAGGAACAGTTGGAAATGAAGAATAAAGCTGAAGCAAGCGCTGGAAGGATTAGAAAAGAAAATATCACAGCAATGGCTGCTGATAAAAGAAGAAGAATTAGAGAGAAGTAAATATTTTCATTGCAAGATGATTTCTGCAATATTGGGAAATGTTTAATATTTGTTTTTTGAAATGATAGAGATCATATTATGGCTTTACGTGAGAGAGAAAGGAAACACCGACATGCCATAAACATGGCAAAAAGAAGCAGAGAACAAGCTTCAAAATTTTTAAAAGAAACAATGACCAGGTAGGAGAGTTATGAAATAAATCGCTGCTGAATACGTTGTGTGAATCCTGCCCTAGATAAATACATGATGATTGTAATCATGATGATTCATAGTCTCTGTGAACTGCAATTACTGCATACCATCTCATTTTCAATGGTGTGTAGTTGTTCCTAAATTCATACTTTATTCCTATGTTTGGTTGCTGTTTTAGGGTTCGTTTAAAAGAAGCTGAAGAGGAAGAGTTTCATCGTGTTGATATGGAGAACAGGATAAAGAATTTACTTAGTTTGAAAAATAATATTGAAAGTAACAAGGTATGTTTGAAGAGCGTGATCCAACTCTCATAACAAAGTTTATTCATGTTGGTGAATCGTGAAATTTAAGTCAAAAGAGTCGCAGGTTCGCTCTCCCTCCTCGCAGAAAATCATAACAAGGTTTGTCTTAACATTCGTCCATTAATTACTACAGGAAAGTCTTCGGGCTGTGGAAGCAAGACGCGCCTTCCTGAGAAATGAACAAGAACAACGCGAACAGGAAGAAAGAGATGAAATTGTAAACCAAGGATTGAATCCCGACGAAGTTTTAACAAGACGCAAGAGAATAAGACAATTCGAGAAAGATAAAGAGTAATTTCTTCGGTTGCTTGATTAAAATTTGTTTATTATTTTCCTCTCTTTCCCCTTATTACATTATTTCTATTCCAGGACGTTTGAGAAGAGACAAAGAGAAAGGCAGGTATAAATTGTTTCCTTCCTTTTCATCACTTTTCATAGTTTATTCTTGCCACATAATAATATCGTCGTTCATATGATTGATCGGAATCCAATGTCACTTGTGTTTGCTTCAGATTGAGATTGCGGATAAATTATTGCGTGAGGATAAGCAAATGAAGAAACGATATCAACAACAACCTCAACTTTGGCCAGAGAAACAACGAGACAGAAACAAGGTCAGTTGAAACACTAACGACGAGACTTTGTGTTGTCTTCACATTTACCATCGTCTTATCTTCTTCTTGATCTTTAGAGATTTGGACGTCGGAAGACGAAGCCAAAGTCTTTGAGAGTTTACAGCGGCTCATCCTCGATGGAGTACAGCGCAGATGCTGAAGATGCTGGGGTAATTGCGTGATCTTTTTATCTCAAGTTCTTCTTCTTCAGGATTATCCAGTGACATTGTTCTTTGCTTTATTCAAGGGAGCATTTGTACCAAGCAAACTCATTCCATTCTCCTCCGATGATGAAGATGAATTCTCGCCATTTGGTCACACAAGTCGTGATGAGGAAAAGGAAGGGTATGTAAACATTTAATTCTTTATCGCAACTTCTAATTCCTACTCAATTACATTCTAATTCATTTTTAAGTTGCAATTTTCAGTCCCATTTCTATTCTTTCATTCTCTTCTTATTCGATTCCTTCCATTCAGTGATTCTGATCACGAGGGTGAAGATTTAGCAGAGCCGGAATTTCGAGGATTGTGGGAAGATGAGAGAAACGAACCCAAGGTCCAGCGACAAACTGTTTTCTCATCTCAACCATTTTAAAACAAGTCTAAATTTTATACAAATAATGTTATTTTAGAATGGAGATAACTGTGAAACGAAACTAAAGTTTTCAGGCCATATTCCAAGTAAAACTGAACAGGTAAATCAAGGGCAAGTGGTAAAGAAAATATTTCGGTTTGAAATGCAACCGTTGATCAACTAACCGCATACTTTCTACGGTCATACAAGCCAACATCGCGGTGTTTGGTTGTAGAAGTTCAGCTGGTTGAGATATCCTGTGTTTTATTTTAGGAAATGATGGAACAAGCTTTGTTGAAGCAGAAGGAAAATATTGTTCAGAAACAAGTTGCTGTTGGAAGGGAATTTAAGGTTTGAAATTGATTGATTGTGGGGCAAACAACTTTTCTTTTATTTGATTGAGAAATTTCGTTGTTGTTTTACTCAGGGTCAAGCATTTTACAGTAAACCAGAAGTAATCATTTTCAAGGTATGTTTCAAATTATTCGTACGGTGGATCGTTGCTTGTCTCTGAGTTTCTTGAAACTATGGCACCTTATTTCTATAGGATTTCGATATTGGAAAGAGTTATCGTAAGAAGGTTGTCTTGACTAATGTATCGTACACGCAGAACTTCTGTAAATACCTTGGAATGTCCGCCCATCTCTTGGATTTTATTGATATAATGTAAGTAACGTTTTTTAAACATCTTGAATGGATTTAATGATTAAGATTAAAATTATTTTTGTTTCATTTCCTTGTTCGTTATGCTTTAGTTATGATCCACCTGGACCAATGTCTGCTGGCTTAACTTGTGATTTCACTGTCATATTTAAACCAATGGTACGAAGATTTATCATCGACATTTTCAAGTTCACTTTAAGCATCGTCGCTTGTACAAAATACTCTTTCCGTTGATCTTTTTTTCTCAGCTGACATCCAACATTAACAATGTCTTCTTTTTCCAGCTCAATGAAGATCTTGTTGGTCAAATTGATTTCCTAGCTCAAACTGGACCTTTCTCTGTAGCTGTGAAATGTTTTACGAAGAGATGTCAGGTGTGTGCGTGTGTGAACGTTCGTTCATTATCTTCGTCATGTCCTGTGTCATAGAGTGCATGACATTTGATGCTTTGTGATGTTTAGGTCAGCGTTGATAGAAACGAGATCAACTACGGCAGTCAAGTTATTGGTGAAACATGCAAGAAGACAATATTGTTGATCAATGATGGAGCTTTGTCTACCCAATTTCACGTAAAGAAACTCCAAGCTGTTGGTGAGCCGTCAGTTGATATCACGTTACCAGAGTCGGTAAGAACCATGCAGGGAGATTTACAAGAACAGCGCTCTCTCTTCCCCTGAGACAGCGCTCTCTCTTCCATTCACCTCCTTCCCTTTTCTGATTAAAAGAATATTGTCTTTTTAGGAGGGAGATTCGAACATCGCTGAAAGTCCGGAAACAACGAACGTTAAAGTATCGTTAAAGAGTAGGTTGTGATTAATTTCTTACATCATTTCCGATGTCCCGAGACTCATGCTCTTCGAGTTTGCGTTTTTGTCGAAAATCGAGTGTATATTGAACACGTGTTGGTCTTTATCATAGGCGGTGATGAAATGACTCAACACAGTGTTGACACACAACAAGACGCGACCTCTGAACAGAAAGATCCGGAACTGGGAAACCAGGAAAAACGCATACAAGGTTAATCTTCCGTCTACGTTTTCGTACTCGGTTCAGTTTTAACAACTCCAAATCATAATCCTCTACATCATATTCTAATATTCTAGATTCCGTGAATGAATGTGAATCACAAACTGAAACTGAACAAACAGATGAAGTTTTTGCTGTGGGCAAGGTATTGTGAAGCACCAAGAACTGATATAAATACCTCTAACTGGATAGTGCTATATAGTGCTCTCAACTTTGTAATAGTTAATGTATAATATCAGTGATCATTTCATCTTTGATTAGATTTCCTCTGGTGAGCTTCAGCCGTTCTCTTCAGTTCAACTTGAGATGATATTTGTGCCAGTGAAACCTGGAGATTGTAGTTGCTTGTTTGAAATAACTTTTGAAGATCCTGCATCACCTCCAGTAAGTCACAAAGTATGTCTGTCTGATGATAGACCTACGAAATTCATGGGGAATGCAGTAGACATTGTGCTAGGAAGTGCTCTCATAGAAGTTGCATTTGTCTTTTCGTTGAAATATTAACAGAGTTTTCATTGATTTAGATAGTTATTACTGCTCAAGGAACCGGGGTTGATGTGCCTGTTTGGGTTGATCGTGAGGTATATTGCAGTTCACTTTATCATTGTATACTGTTGAATAGACTAAGCAGGGTAGGATAGGATATAAGAGGATAGGATAGGACATAACGAGATGAGGCAAGTCAAGATAGTGACATTAAAGGGTGGAGTAGGACAGGACATGGCGAGTTGAGACAAGACAAAATGGGACAGTACTGGGAAGGACAGGATAAGACATAAAAGCACATATATCTCTGTTTATTACAGGTTATTAATCTGAAGATATGTATGTTTGATCGATTGTATCAAGACGCCATTGTTGTTAATAACAGGTAAGATACAAATACCCTTCTGACCTTATCTAAACCTGGATGGTCTCACTTTGAACATCTCAACCTTTGTTTTTCTCAGAGCAACGTCAGCGTTGAGACTAAAGTTTGAAGTATGTAAAGAATTAAAGAATCACTTGGAGTTACTACCAAAAACTGCTTATATCCAAGCACAGTCACAGTTCTCCGCTCAATTGAAATTCTTGCCCCGGTACGTTTTCTACGAGCGACAATATGATACGTTCATAGACGAACTATTTGAGGACTATCGTATTTATACCATGTGTCATTTTTGAAACAGGAAAACATTGCTTGAAGATTGTCCTGAATATTTTAACGCTGAAACTGGATTACTGGAGGCTCCGTTAATGATCAGAGTTGCTGAACAGGTACAGTACGTCGTGCTTTCGTAAAGTTTTTAGTCCATTACTAAAATTATTATGCAGTTGTTTTGATTTTTGTCACAAGAGTAACTCAGTTTTGATTGCACCAAACTGAGTTACATTGTTTGTGCAGTGACACTAGAGTAAAATCATTCTCCCTCCTGTATTGAGATAACACAGTTTAGAAATGGTGCGGCCTTCTTTCGCACGTTGTCTTCATGGTTCCTCAGAAAATTTTATTGGATAATTTATTATTCTTGTTTTTAGACTCGTCCAGTGCACTTCACCGTGCGTGCTATAATCACTCCGTCAGATATTGAGTTCAGTGTCTCCGAAGTGGATCTTGGTTATTGTACAACCGTAGAATCAGTACGTCAGACTATCACAATGACGAACAAGTCAATACTTGCTCAAATGTATGGGTTTTGTGGCGTACCCGAGGTATCAACTCTTCACTTCTATCAACCAGACTTTATACCAGTTCCATATCGATATCAATGATAACCTTAATTTCAAATCCTCACCAAACCCTGTTTTTTTCTAGTGTTTCGAAGTTCAGCCTAACGATGGTTTTGGGACGTTGCTTCCCTTGGAAAGTTTGGACATTGATATCATTTTTAGTGCCAAAAAAGCTCAGGTATTAAAGTTGTCATATCTGCAATAATTTATAGTAAATACATGAATCGCAGAGATAATCGCTGTTCCACCTGGGACGGAGGTTATAATCAGATGTAATTTCCACCGCAGGAATACAAATTGGACCTGGTGTGTAAAAATGGTATTGGAACGGAATACCGGATCTCGTGTAAGGGGACTGGTGTTTACCCACCGTTAGAGCTGTCCCAGTCCATCATATCATTCCGCGCAACAGCAGTTACAGACAGCTCCATAGCAAATCTGAAAGTGATCAACAGTCACACAGATAGCAATGAATTTACCCATGAAGTACCCCGTATTGGAAGGGGGCCTGTTGCCAAAGTTGGACCAACGACATTTGAATTTGTTGTCCCCAATGGTGCTCCAGTTACTATTTCTCCTGCAGTTGGGATGGTCATGCCCGGTCAGGTAATTTAACATGTGCCGTTTTTTGCCAGCTAAATCATGAATGAAGTTATCTTCTTTATCGATATGAACATGGGTTAATTCTTCTAAGATCACAAACTGGATTGTTAACTCTACTGCTGCATGTAGATATTAATACAGTCTTCTACATGTGTTTCACAGAGTTGTAATATTGAAGTGACATTTAGTCCAGAGCTCGAGGAATCAGATATTGTACAAGAGGCGTCTCGCATTGCGGAGAAGATTAAAGAAATTAAACGAAAGATGAGCGAAGAAAATGCAGCGAAGTCTGAAGATGTCGTTTCTCATGGAAAAAAACAAGGAACTAAAGTTGCGAAAAAGAGTGGAAAAGGTTCACCAAAACGAGGCCAGACTCCCGCAAATACACCTGGGATACGAAATCAGTCAACACCGAATAAACAAGATCGTAATAAAATATTTAAAGAAGGGTAAGAAAAAGTTGATTTTAACACGATACAGCGGCTTAGTTTAGTTTAGTTTAGTTTACTGCGTTGATAAATTTATAGTCTAAACACTTGTCGTTACAATATAATTCATCTTAACAGATCAGACGAATATTGTGCTGCAAAGTTGTCTCTTCTGAAGTGTTTTGAGAATAAATTATCAAGTTACGACATCCCGTGCTTTGTTGCCAGCGGTGAATCATCGGAGCCTGGGACGTTACCATATAACGCCCACAACACGTTGTATTTGAAAGTGCACTGTCCAGCGGTTAAACCACAGCTCGTGATTGTATCAAACTGTGGAAGATCATTTGTTGATTTTGGGCAAGTTTCTGTTGGTATGTAATCCTGTAATGAGTGCATAGTAGGCTGCTGTCCATGCATTGTGCATGTGAGGAAAAAATTATACGGAATCAAGTTAATTATAACTCATCTTTTCCTAGGTCAACGACTACTCAAAGACATCACGATCCAAAATATCTCCTCGAGTGCCTTGGAGCTTTCTTCATCCCTATTAGACCCTCATGGTCCTTTCATGCTCCTGAATGCAAACCGGACACTTGAACCCATGGAAACCCATTCGTCTGTTTTATCCTTCTCTCCTCAGTCTTCGCAAGAGGTGATTGATTTTTTTATTAAGTCTCTCATTGTCTTACTGTGACTTGCTGAGAATTATAACTTTGTGGGGAAACTTCAAGATTTTTTATCCTTTCGTAGTTCTACGAAGTTTTGGACTTCATTTGTGGTCGTTCGACACTTCATATTCGTCTCAAAGGCAAGGGTGTGAGACCTGTTGTTTCAAGCACTGTACAAAATAGTTTGATTGATTTTGGATATGTTGTGGTTCGTGATTCCTCTACGATGGCTTTCAAGGTATTAATAATATCTAGTGTTGTTGAACGAAGTGGAAATCAAGAAAAAAATAATTAGAATTATTGTCTTCCTAGTTGGAGAACAATTCTGAGTTATGTGTTTCCTTTAACCTCGCCTTGGCCTCCATGTCAAAATCCAGGAGATCCCAGCAACGAAATATCCTCCCATCAAGAGCCAAGGAACCTGTTATTGGTAAGATTACATACACGTGCTCAGTGGAATATACCAGTACATGCATGCATGCACAACTAATTCATGTAAAATGATTGTTGTGATGAATATTTTATTATAGGCTGCTCCAACTACAATGGCCAGATCGTGTTCGATTGTGTTCCAGCATGCGGAAATATAGAACCTGGAAAGTCGCAAGATATTACAGTGACATTTTCCGCTGACCATCCTAGTGATTGCTATGCGGATGAACTAAGCATTGAAATTAATAATGACGTGAGTGAAACAGTGCGCCTGCGCGCACGAGCTTCATCAGCATTGATGTATCTGCAAGGATGGGATGAGTTGCAAGTTAACGAAGAATCTCTGTCGGAGATCACTCCTGAACGAGAGGAAGGTAATCCTTGCAATCCATCCATTTCTTTTCCTTTAGGATAGATCTTCATCTACCTTCTGAGAATGCCTGGAAATCTTGATTATGTTTCATTCATTTTCTAGGTGATCCTATTCAAAAGGTTGTTCTATTGTTATTTAAAAGTCAGTCTAAACGAGGGCAGGCGTACAGTCCAGTGGAGCGTCGTATTGAAGTAGGATGTATAAAATCAACCTTACAAACTCGAAAGTCCTGTGAATTCGTCTTCGACAATCCCAAAGAATGCAACGAGAAGGGTTTCAGCTTCGATCCGATCAAATCAAGCGTGGAGGCTGGGCACAAGAAAGACATCATCTGTCGATGGCAGCCAACCGCTGATCAGGATCCAAGTACCGTGGTAAATTGTTGCACCATGATTACTGTGAAAGGTGAAGTGATGACGCAATATAAAGTATTACTGAGAGGTTTCATTGTTTCTGATGAATAAGGTCAGTTCATTTATAATATTTATATATGTATATAGTTTTCACGCTGACCTTCGTTTGTGACTGGAATTTGCGGGCAAAAGTTCAAATATGTGCGTAACGAGATATTTGCATGAGTTTGCTCCAGCCATGAAACTGAAAGTCACCGACATTAGATGCAATCATTCGTAAAATCGCAAGGAGCTTTTGAGCGCTGTTATAAATATGTATATGCTAAAGAAATCTATTATTTATTCAATGAAATTAAACAAAGTTTTCAAGAAAATCTTTTAAATCCTTGAATATTGATTATTATACACAAGAACATTGGGGGCTCTAACTGAATTTTTCTTAGCAAAACAGTTGAAATTCACTGTCATTTGAGAATATGTCGTCTTATGCAGAAACATCTGCCACAAAATAAACACGGCTTTTTTAAGCGTTTGTCCTTGAACGACAGTTGTAAGTATTAAGAAAAATATTTAGACTCTCTAAGAGCCGTCTGGTTATTCTCAAGTGGATTAGATAAAAAATTTAGTTCCTTTATGAATAAAGGTCGTTTTGAAAATATTATATAAGAAAACTTTCCAACTTTCAAAGTCCAGGTATATGTAGCTCAGTGCATTTGAGTTCGCAATTTAGTACCAGATTTATTTCAGGTTTTCGTGAATGTTATTGACGGATACGGCAAATTCGTCATTCTTTATTCCGTTGATCGGAACGTTTTCCTTAATATGATATAACATACCAGAGAATGGGTTCGAACACGCAAACGGACACACGCGTACGTCAGCTTCTTTCCTTTTCGGAAACACACGCCAAAATGTAGATTAAATTGAACTAATCTGGATAATGGCAGAATTATTTCATTTCTTTGTGTTAAACGATGCCTCCATTGGATGCATTTAAGCTGTGTTTGATTTACTTTTTTTTGAGGAATTCAAAATTCTTAAAAAACTTTGACATGGTTAGTGGGCTTGATTTTTTTGGATCCTCGTTTGGGTGCAGCCAGTAATCAGTTGTGACGTTCGAAGGCCATTCAAAGTATCCCCGCATAGAGAAATATAGAAGCAGACTTGTTTATACTAGCAATGGATTATACTTGTTGAGATTAAACCAAATGTATTGTCACAGCATAGTTTCAAATACCTTAGTGCTTTTTAAAGGCTTATAGACGATCTTCTGTGTAAGAGCTCTCGTAATTCTATTTCTATATTTGGCAATTTTTTAGCGCTCTTCAGTAAAAATTTCCTCACTTTAATCATGCCTTATACGTTGGGTAATGAAGAAAAGATTGTTTCATGATGTATTATACACATTTCGTTTTACTGCGGAGAAGTGTGGATAGGTTGACGAGACATTGACTAGACGAACCGTGGGAGACGGTTAGCTATAGAGTCACGCCATCCATCAAAGACTTTAGAAATTTCTTAACCAAACAGAAAGTATTTTTCAGTCAAATATTATTACGGGTCGTAAACAGTCCGAAGAAATGACGTAAATTTCTTATCTCTGCTGCGTTGAACTTGCTCAGAATTCATTTTCCGCTAATCTGATGTAATTGCGGCTGTATCTGAGGTCAACCACAAAACTTTCACTCAAATTGTTGATGATAGTAAGTATTTTCATTGCTATATAAGACGGCTGTTTTCTTTGCTTTCGGTCAGTTTTTGTTACGCGTTGTGTTCCTGCCTGCGTCGTGTCTGGGACAAGCGGTATTTAGCCTCGTTACCCTTGCCCAGGTGTTGTGAGAATTCTCCTTAAAACATAACATTCAATCGACCAGATGTTGAACATTTTACTAACTCCTCGCAATGAAAACCTTAAGTATGAATACAAGTGTAGATAAAAAACGGAACTAAGACTAACAATGTACACATGAACAAGCTAAAAGCGTGGAACACTCGCCAAACAACACGGCATTCCTTATAAGGATAACCTCGCTTTGAACTTTAAATAAAGTCGCGCAGTTCAGTTGTATTTATGAGGCCAGTGTGTCAACGCAGCCGGCGACAGGCGGCCGCTGGATTTTCCCTGAGCTATATTTATGTGGAACATCTGTCAGGTTAAGATTTGGAAGTAGCGAGAATCACCCGGAAGCGATGGTCCGTCAGTGTGTGAATGACGTCATCGTACTCGCTTACTGCCGTATTTGGCGAGATCTCTCGTGTTTACATGCAGAGCTAGCGGCGTGATACGGTCGTCGTTTGGCACGACATGAACATAGCGTGCGTATTTTACATTCTTCACGCTACTCTTTGCACAATTGTGACAAAACATAACTTCACATCTGACATGTCACGCGAAATGGCAAACTTTCCAGTCGTTTCCGTAGTAGTTTTAGTATGCTGACAATGTTTTTGTCGCAGTTGTTGTTGTATCTTTTTTTCGTTGTATGATTTCTTTCCTGCTGGCGTCGTTTTAGTTGTCATTGTTGTTTCCCGGGGTTATAGTTTGAAGTGAAGAATACAAAGAAAACTTTGACGTTTCCAACAATCTTCCTTCGTCTGGAAGCTGGTAGGCGTCACACACACAGTTTTCTTTGTATTTTCCATCATTCAGCAGTATTTTGAAGACACTGCCTTTACTGGCAAGGACGAGGGGTCCAAAGTACTTCCCGGGGATGGTTTCCTGAGTACTGGATGATCCTAACTCATAAAATCTAGAAGGAGTAATTCAGAATTTTTGCAGGGAATGACGACAGATTGGTTTTGCAAATTCATATTGAACTTGTAGTACCAACCAACGTTCATTCTATGGTCTTTTTTCGTCGTTGAGATGAAGTAGAGATAAAATCCTTGTAGTGTTTATTGCCGTGAGAAACTGGCGCCAATAACTCCATCGGTTTATCACGATTCCCATTACCATAGCAACGGCGATACGTGAACCCTCATAATAAGACAATTAACATTCTTGGCATTCCTGTGGCGAAGCACGAGGCATGTCCGAAGATGGACATCAAGCCATCAGTCGCCACTTCCTGACTTCCGTCGCTATCACTAAAGAGACTCTTTTACTTTTCGTATCTTCCGTCTAGAAAGAAATATTCTTCGACTTCGTTTTCTTTGTTTTGACAACAGTACTCAAAGGTACAAGTGAACAAAAAATCTGAAATATTTGAAAATGTGATCAGGAACATGCTTTGAAATAGTTAAATTTCTAACGCAATCATCATCAGATATAAACCCTTTCCACAATATTTACAACGAAAGATGATATTGAGACTACTTCTATTTTTACCTTGGGAAAAAGTTAACACCAGGTTGTTAATATCAGAATCGAATGTGACGTATATTTGAACATATCAAATATGGCTTGAAATTGCTCGCTGTGTGATCGCGAATAGCATCAGTTTGCGCAATCTTGATATTAGTTGATCTTCACAATACGGTGTAAGCGCGATCAAGTGTACTTAAGCTAATATTGTATGACGATGGCGTTTATTACGATTTAAGAAATTACCTCAAACCCAGAGTATGCAATTCCCACATGAAATCCGTCAAACCCAAAGAAGATGCGCATAACGCGTGGATGAAGAAGGGGCTAGCGAGGTGACGAACCACGCTGTCCTTCAAGTGTTTTCCTACATCTTCATTTCAACTGTCATACAGAGATTAAAAGAGACTAGAGTCGTTTCAATGCATTTCCTTCAAAAATGATATGAAACACAAACAAATCCACCTACGGCTTATTGTTGTGGTTGGATATGAAAAGCCCGTTTATAGAAAAATCTCCGTAAATGAGCAAATTATACAATAGAGAAGCGGCAAAATCAGTTTTAAGGTCTAGGGTTTGAAAAGGACTTTGCCTAACATGTTGTACTCGTTTCTGGTATTGGTTTCGGTATTTGTGATATTTCTTATTTAAATTTATATTTCAATGTTTGCTATTGTTCGTAAGACGTAAACAACATTCATATCAAGACCTATAATCGGGTGCATTTGCCGTGTGTTGTTATTTTCGCTCCGGATAGTATGTCTGATATTTCAACAACGCGTCGCTCGCATGCCTTGGTTGTTGTGCGTTCCCACACGCTGCGCGCTGATTGGCTGCAATCCTAAATTATTCATGGCTTCGCTTGCTGACGTCAAGACACTTATTTAATGCTACGGCCCTGACGGCGTTTTCGCCCACAAATTACTCCGCGTCGTATGACGTTCAAGAAGATAGCGCCAAGATATGCCTGCCAGCTTGTCCAACGAGGAAATTTATAAAACTCTCTGACGGCATTTGGAAGACCGCAAAGCGAACAGCGTACGGAACGAGCGGAGAGGAAATGAGTGAATGTCAAGAAGTAGTGACTGGAGTATATTCTCGAAGTAATATAGAGAGCGCTGCTGCTACTGACGGCATTAATAAGACCGGCTCCTCAGAAATGAACTCTGATATTACAAATGGGAATGTATTTAAGAACGCCGATTCGTTCCGTCTGCAGTCGTTTGAGAACAGTGCAAGAAAGAACACCACAGTACATACTCTGATACCTGAAGAGCCTCTGGAGATTCAGTGTGGAGAAAAAAGTGCTTTGTTATTTGTGTCGAAACTTTGCCAAGGAAGTAAGGGACCGTGTATACTCTACGGCAGTGAATGGTTGACGCCAAACGAACTACAGTATATATGCGGTAGAGAGACGGCGAAGGATTGGAAACGAAGTATAAGACACAAAGGAAAATCATTAAAGAGTTTAATTGCTCAAGGATTTTTAAAAGTTCATCCGCCGATTTGCGATTGTCCAGGCTGTCGTGTGTCTTCTCCTGTTGTAAGTTTGAATTTTTTAAAACTACTTTAATATAAAATATTCAAATTCTACCCATTTGGGACCAGTTTATTTTGGTATTTAACTGAACGCGATGTCTTATACCTAACCTGTCCTGTCGTAATGACATAGTATTGATATTCAAATGTGCTTTTGTATGGAGGACTTTCTCCACTTTTGATTAATCGAGTTCCACTGTTGTCTGAGACTACATATTGCGCTCAACCTGCTCATATATGATATATATATACATACGTTTAAATATATACTATAAAAAGTTACGCATCAATTGAATATTTTGTCTTTCATCCAACATGTATTTCCGTCACTTATAAACACTGTGCTCATTCTATGAGGCCCATTCGCTTTCTAATTTACATCATGATGCAAACTTGACTTATAAATCATATTTCCATTCAAACAAAAGGGAATTTTTAATTTTTCCTATGAAAAGAATATATTTATTAGCCACCCACTTAAATCTTTTAATCGGACAGAAACTCAGTTGCATAGTTTAATTGAAAATATATGTTAAAATAAGGTTTTATTTGCCTTGAATTCATTCCTTGTAATCTTAACCAAAACTGATAATTTTTGTGTTGACGCGCTGTGCAAAGCGTGGCCGCTATCGCCTACGCTGTCACCGGTTTCTAATGGGCCATAAACCCACGTATTATTAAACAGTACCAACTAAAGAATAACAATCGTGTTAGGGGATATTTTCATTCTTTATAAAAGACAGCATGTTTAGATATTAGAGTATAATTACAGTGATTGAAAAAACTAAAACAAGTTATATTAAATAGACCTACTTTGGACTGTATATTCGATTTGTAGATCATGGATGATTTTCTAGAAGTGCCGGCTATCTGACTATCTTCAATCTCGGCGGAAAAATAGCGAGATCGTGAATAGTTTAAGAAAGGTTTCAAAATATTTCTCTGCATTTAAAGTCTCTCTGTATTATCACTAGAAGTTTATTTTTAATTCGATGAGGGTATATGAAGAATGTGGGTTTGTTTAATGCCGGACTGAAATGACTGGATACTAAAAATCGTTATTAGAGAATAGGCTTTTATTCACCAAAAATTGGTAAAACACTGTGATATCCCAACGGTTTATCGATCGATAAACTGAGATGAAATATATCCTGGAAGATATCCTGAGAAATCGTAAAAACTACCTTAGTAACTACGGAATGACCTTTTATTTCATAACAACTCCATGAATGAAACACAGACGTTTAACATTCGGTTAATTTCTTTCTGTTTTCATCAGTGAAACGACTTCTATCCATCTGAAAGCGATAATTCAGTCATAAAACGTTTGTGAATTGATGTATTAAATATTTGTTAGAGAATGTTGAAAATATTAGGAAAATTTCGAGCAGTTTGCCTCGCCCCCATCACAGAACATTCGAGACGCAAGGCTGGGAAATCATCAAAGATGACCCTTGACTTGTAAGGAAGTTGCGTCTTATCCGACGCACGAGCCGTACGCATTAAACATAGACACCTATACCTATTTATAGCACATCAGATTAAACATAAGCTAACTATATTTGTACTCATTTATGTGCACGTTGATATTGAACGGAAACTGATCGAAATTCCTCTTAGAGTACCTACTTTGAACCATCACATTCAACAACGACATTTTCTCAAGCATTTACAAACAAACGAGTTCTCGTCACGCAACACGACCATGTTCGTAATAATATGTTCATTGTGATCTTAACTTAAAAGAATTTTTAAATCTGCAAGCCTTATTCGGCGAGTGGTTTGAGCTAGCTCTCGTTCAAAACGTAGATATACGGTTTCAAGATGTTATAAAGACAATGGTATGTGGTTGTAGAGAAACCATTTACAGAAAGCTTGGTAAGTGGTAACAGTGCTTGGGGTTTTACAACATCCTAAGTTCCACTACAGTATTTTTTATTTTAAACAATACTATAGATAGGGAAGGTCTCTAAAGACCTTTCTTAGAAAGCAGTTGAAAATTGTTGCAGTTACCAGTGTCAACTTGAGGTTATAATACTTGTATGCTATAATGTTCCATTCTTCACTAGTTTCGGAATTTGATTTAGAAAGTTCTTAGAAACGTGAATCTCTTATAAAATGTAGGCGTAGTCCTAGAATATACCAAAGAGGAAGTCGTATATTAATTGCACGGACGTATCCAAAATAATCTTCGTAAATAAGCTCATACAGCCGGTCATACTGCCTACTAAAGTATCTCGCCCAGGTCAAAATATTGATCGTACCATTAGCCTGAAGTTTAAACAAGAGTGACAACATCGGGTAATCTCGCTAACTAAACAAAACGTTTTTAAAATTGTGTTACCACGCAAGAACTGCGTTTCAGTTCGCAAGAACTGTGTTTCAGTTCATAACTATCTGCCGTTCGATGCTTACTTAAGGAAAAAGAGATTTGAGATTTAGAAAACAATTTCACGATATCGCAATACACATGGAGTGCTTTTTAAACTCATTTTAATCCGAAATAATTTCATAAAAGTTCTGACCCTTACATTTCAAGATGTTATAAAGACAACATTCTGATTAATTTTCAAACATGTTCTCTTTCTTCTAACAGAATCGTACCCGACTGGCTGATAAGTGTGGTTTCTCAAAATTACCTTCGTACCTCGCTGAGAAATCGATGGCCGAAGGTTTCCCGACAATGTGGCGACGAAGCTCTACGAGCAGTGACGAACCTGAACAGGCGAAATTGGAAAGTCTCGATGATGAGGCTCTGCCACAACGATCTCACTCCGACGACTCACGATTTTACAGACCTGACGATCAAGTCCAAGTTGCTAAAAGACCAAGAAGCTCATCACCAGACCTCGACCGTGATCGTGTTAATATTAAACGACGGTGTATGAGTGAAACAGGTGCAGTTGTGAAAATATTTTTAACACATCATTCAGTCAAGCTGTAAGAGGCTTGTCAGCACTTTAATCCTGCTATGCCAAAAGTCGAGCTGGGCACGGTCGAACTGAAACAGTTGTCTCAGTGTATATAGTTACATTGCTTGATGATTCGTTGCTGTGTTTTGAGATACTTCATCCAGTTTTCAACCCTCCTCTTAAACTAATCTATAGGAACCAACCTTGTAGTAAATTTAAAATTTTCAATTTGAGCATAATGGACGATATTAAATAACTCGTTCACCAGGGGCAATGCATTAAAGTAATAATAACTGCGTTGTAGAGATGGGCAAATCAACTGGTAGTCTAAAGTCCAGGCTTTCTCCGTCATCTGCTGGATATGACATGGAAAGTAACAAGAAATGTGATGTCATTGATTTAGATATGAAACTACAGCCAGGTGCCATACGTGGACCAATAAGAAGAGGTTTGATTTCACTTTTGTTAACAATTTGTTTCTCTCAGTCAATGGTAGGATCGGGGCCTTATTTAGGTGGAATTTAATACTCATTGAATAGTTATGACGTGATCTCCTCTGATTGAATGTGAACGAGCTTTAGACTTGACAGGATTGGCCGCTAATCATAATCATGTAACCCTGGGGTTTAACAACCTGATTGAGAAGCAATATTTTTTATTTAGATCTACCTGTGCTAACACTGCCTTCGTCAGCTTACACTGCAAGTGTGTTGTATGGTCATAATCAACCACATATTGGTCTGCACAGGCACGTTACATCTCCTCGTCTACTCTCGCCATCCTTCGTAAGACCGTCGGTCAATTCACCGGCACAGATTCGCTTACTTCACGAGCAAGCTGTGGCACCGTCGCATATTTTTGCTCATCAATTACGTCACGACTTCCCCGGCATGGCAACTATGTTTCCATACCCATTTACCCATCCTTTGCAAGGTAACCCACTGTTAACGTCACATTTAAAAAAAGTTTCTGAAGTTGAGTCTGACACAAGAGAAACATCTGAAACTCTGAATGAGAAACAGAATGAACGTTGTAGTAAAGAAAATGAACCGAACGCAACAGAAAACAGTTTGTCTCCAAACAGTGAAGCAACATCGAGTCCAAAAAATGCCCCTGAAAACTTAGATAAATCTCGCAGTGCATCCGATGAAAATTTAAAATTTTCTAACGAAGAAGGCGAGAGCCAATCAAATACGAGGATCTATCCAGATCTTGCAAATATTGCTGCGCAATGGGACATTGAGGAAGTATGTAAGTTCGTAAGTTCCGTAACGGGTTGTAGTGAGTATTGTGATGTGTTTAGGGAACAAGAAATAGATGGACAAGCATTAATATTACTTACCGAAGAACATCTCTCTAACAAGATGGGTCTGAAACTCGGGCCCGCTTTAAAACTTAAGTCAAAAATTGACGAATTACGTTGTGTTTTCACAAAATAGCATTGATGTAAATAAAAGATGGAATTAAATTCAAAATTTATAAATGTTCTCGATTATCAACACGGTGTCAAACACGATAAAATATTTTAATAAAATCTAAAATTAAACTAAAGTCTCATAGAGACGATGAAACAACTATTGTCTGGGTGAGTAGTTCATTCTTTCAGGAGGGAATCAGGAAGGTATGGGAAAGTATAGGGGAGATGTTCAAAGGTATGAGGAGGGGGGATTAGCAGAGCTCAGCCTTTTACAATGTCCACAATGATGGTTTACATTGTAAATGATTGAGCTGTATTAAAATGGTCAGGCAAACGAGACGAAACCGGCGATGTTTACGAAGCACTGCAGAGGTGTAGAGAGTTATTTGTTATAATACAAATCAAATTAAAATAGTAAATAATACAAATGATACAAAACAATGTAAGCTTTAGAAATTACTTCAGTGAATCATTCCTCTCATTGTCTATCAAACAGGATATTCTAAAATGCTGTCATTTTATTTCTTTAAATCTACTTCAGGTCTGAAACCATAAATAAATGGCAGTCCTGTTCCAACTTTATTTTGATAGTCTATATAATCTTGACGAAAGAACTGAACCAATGACATCTCTTCATCCCAGATACGATCTTTAAAGAATTGCCATGATGCCAATATATATACAACAAAGCACATAGGATTACACAGGATAATCTGAGTTCCTAAAGATGTAGAATAAAAATACAATAAGAGTTCGATTGTGTCTAAAAGTGTCGAAGGCCTGGTTCTGGGACCTACCATATTAACAGAGAAGTGGGGAGGATTATGGTCAGGTATCTGCGCTACTATTTTTCATGGTGCATTGTTTGAGTTCTAATGATTAAGCTGAGAGATAAATTTTGTTAAAATCACATACCAATACTCCAATAAAACCATCCAACATAACCAGGATGCCGACACCAGCTATATAAACCATGTGTTACCAATGTATGCTGTTCATGTTTCGTAAACTGAATCAAATGAGTGAAGTTTGATTTGGCTGTCACCATCGCTAATTTTCGCATTACTTCACCAAAAACAACCAAACAAAGTCCAACGAAACTTATCAGGAACTGAGTTTTCACCACCGGAAATAAGTAGAACTCGACAAGAAATTCAACCCAGCTAGCCACTGCTGCTATTTTATATTCTGGACTGTGGTTTAGTAAAAATGAATCGATTGAAAGTTTATCGGCATTGTATATCGCTATCATTATGTACTCAGAAAAATGAAAAAATGATAAGGCACATAGGTACCATCCCAGGTATTTCCAATAGAAGTACTCTTGGTCAATATTGAACAGAAGACCAGTCCCAAAAACACAGCCTAGAAACGCTGAACGTTTAGTCACTTGAGAATGAGGCAGAACAAAAAGCAATAATGTCAAGCTAAAACCAAGAAGGACTTTCACTGACATAATCCACTGTGTAACAGGTAACTGTTGATCAAAAAAGAGAGAAACTACAAGTGTTATATACACTACAAATGTACATAACGCGAACTTTGCTTCTGCGACCGCCATCTTGAATAGCAAAATAATTAAATATTAATAAATATTTTAAAATAATTAAGAAATATGACATAAAACTTGTCACGAGAATGACGCGTATCAAAATTCAAAATATGGCTGCTAAAGTAAGTATAAAGTTTGTAATTTTAGTTCTTTCCATTGTTGTTCTCGTCCATGGAGAAGACTGTTCAGTTTATGAGAGGTATGATAAATTAAGTGATAATGTAAAAGAAAAGGTGAAAAAGTTAGCCGGATCGGGGTAAGTTAGTATGTCTTATCACTGAAACTTTGTAGTGCGCACGCGATGTTAATTTTACCTGCGCCACAAGTGCTTGCGCGGCGCACTTTTGATGTTACGTGCGAATGTTAAATTCGGCGTATCCACTTTTTCAAACTTGAGAGTGCACTAAGGATTTCTTAGTAAAATATTATTTTCGTTTAGATAAAGTGTAATAATATATATCCTGCCAAACCTTTTTGCAGATAATCATTATATTTATGAATTATGAAAGATTCACTATGACAAACGCTGCAGCCTCCGCCAAGCAAGAATAAATAAATTTCTACCTTTTGGTTCTCTTTTGTAACTAACAAAATGGCGGCTACTGACAGTGGTGCTTTGTGCATAAAAACTGTTTCTTGGGTGCCCAAATTTTTGAAGTAAAACAATATTCTGTGTGCAGTTAACAAAGTTTCCAGTCTGAGACTCTTGTGTTGTTTTATGACAGTCAAACATGGTAGAACAATAAGAACAGTCTTAACACTGAACAGATCATCTAGTTTAATACTTGAACATCACTGCATACAGCATGAAAATTTGAATTACTCTTTGTTTAGAACATTTCATGTTGAAGATGATGTCAAGAGATATAGATATACAATAAATTTGTGTCAGCAAAGTGTATCAAGCAACGTTGCAGTGTTACAAAATGATCTATCAACAGGAGGAGAAATTTCAAAAATTGGTATTTTTGATCAGTACACGCATGCATTTGGCGGTGGTAAGTGCATTTATCCAATCTGTTACCCATAGATGAAACACTTCCTGTATGTAAAAATTTCAGTCTAAGTGTGATAACTTTTAGCCCACTCAGCACTAACATTAGCAGAAATGTTAAAAATTAATATTGCTAATCATGTTTTTTTACTGTAGATGATTGGTTGATTCTTACATTTTTTGGTGCAAATTATATAACTCATTGTGGAAAAGCAAGAAGGAAAGTCATTATTATGATACAGTGCGATAGATCAGCTGATACATCTGTGAGTAAATGTCTGAACATCCAGTGTAGATCTATCATCTAGTGTAGATATCATCCAGTGTCTGGTAGATACTAGGAAATACCTTGACTAATATCCTGTTATCAACTTTTTAATTTTTTGTATGAAAACAGACAAAACGACAGCCAAGAATATTAGAAGAGTACAGACCAAAAGATCCGAAAGCACCTTTTTGTTATTATCTGTTTGAAATGAAACATGATGCTGTTTGTTCTTCAAAAGCTGGTTTGCTTAACCCTGGGTTAAAACAAATCTTTACATCAATTTTTTTAATTGTTTCTTTATATCTTTTTCCATAAATATTTTGTAGACTGACAAAAGCGATATTTTGTAAAGGTCTTAAAATGAACAGTGGTTTAGAAGCACTCAAACTAAAACAGTGGATTAAAATTTAACCCAATTTAACCCAGCTTTGAACAACTGGCTCCTGGTACCAGTACTAGTTCGAACCTTATTTAATTAGTCAGGCAAACAAGACAAAACCGGGAATATTAACGAAGCACTGAAGAGGTGTAGAGAATTATTTGTTATAATACAAGTCATTTTAAAATAGTAAAAAATATGTTTCAAAACAATGTAAACTTTAGAAATTACTTCAGTATATCATAAAGTAATAATGATAGAAGTCGCGTTTATTAGTGATATGATTGTACCATGCAGAACCGCACTGAAAAACACTTTAGGAGATGTGGGTATCCTGGATAAATATATTTATAAATAAATAAATAAAAATAAATCATCCTGTCATTGTCTATCAAACATGCTGTTCTAAAATGTTGTAAATTTATTTCTTTAAATCTAATTCGGGTCGAACGGCCCTGTTACACGGTGCAATTTTTCCTGCGACTTGCAATGCAATTCTTCTTTTGAAAGATGTAAATTTCGCAACTACCAAACTTTTGTCTTTACTCCATAGCGTTTCTTTTAAATACGCTTGCATTTTGAACTATGATTTTGAAGACTCTTCACTAATTTATATCTCTTAAAAGTATAATTGCGTTGCAAGTTGCAAGAAAAATTGCACCGTATAACATGGCTTTAACAGGTAACTGTTTATCAAAAAAGAGAGAAACTACAAGTGTTATATTACTTATATACACTACAAATGTACATAACGCGAACTTTGCTTCTGGGACCGCCATCTTGAATAACAAAATATTAAATATTAATAAATATTTTAAAATAATTAAGAAATATGACGTAAAAACTTGTCAGGATCACGAGATATCAAATATGGCTGCTAAAATGAGTATAAAGTTTGTAATTTTAGTTCTTTCCATTGTTGTTCTCGTCCATGGAGAAGACTGTTCAGTTTATGAGAAGTATGATAAATTAAGTGATAATGTAAAAGAAAAGGTGGGAAAGTTAGCCGGATCAGGGTAAGTTGTATGTCTTGTGTTGTTTTATGATAGTCAAACTGGGTAGAACACTGAAAACTAAGAACAGTATGATGTAGTTTATACTTGAACATCACTGCATTCAGCATAAAAATTTGAATTACTGTTTGTTTAGAACATTTCATGTTGAAGATGACGAATATAGATATACAATAAATTTGTGTAAGCAAAGTGAATCAACCAAGGTTGCAGTGTTACAAGATGATCATTCAACAAGAGGATTAATTAAAATTGGTATTTTTGATAAGTACACGCATGCATTTGGCGGTGGTAAGTGCATTTATCCAATCTGTTACCCATAGATGAAACACTTCCTGTATGTAAAAATTTCAGTCTAAGTGTGATAACCCACTCAGCTAGCACTGTAACATTAGCAGAAATGTTAAAAATTAATATTGCTAATCATGTTTTTTTATTGTAGATGATTGGTTGATGCTTACATTTTTTGGTGCAAATTATACAACTCATTGTGGAAAGGCAAGAAGGAAAGTGCTTATTATGATACAGTGCGATAGATCAGCTGATACATCTGTGAGTAAATGTCTGAACATCCAGTGTAGATCTATCATCTAGTGTAGATATCATCCAGTGTCTGGCAGATACTAGGAAACACCTTGACTGATATCCTGTTATCAACTTTTTAAATTTTTGTATGAAAAAAAGACGAAACGGCAGCCAAGAATATTAGAAGAGTACAGACCAAAAGATCCGAAAGCACCTTTTTGTTATTATCTGTTTGAAATGAAACATGATGCTGCTTGTACTACCAGTACTGGTACAAAGATTAGTCCAGGATCTGTCTTTATTATCATGTATGCTGCAAGAAAATTAACATTCTGTTTCACTTATTTCTAATAGTTGTCATACTGGTTAAAAACTTAATACATATAACAAATAATATACCATGGTTTTCATTTTTAGTCTTGTAGTTGTTGGTGTTCTGTACTTGGTCCTCGGTTCCCTTTATCAAAGATTTATTGTCGGTGCCAAAGGCATGGAGCAAATACCAAACTATCTCATGTGGAGGGAATTTGGTTCTTTGCAGGCAGTTAGTGAAAAATGTTGTATTACATTCAGTCACTTTGTATCACATAGCGTAACTATAGATACCAGGGGGGTACACTATGTATGAAACATTCTCCCCATAGTAGCTAATAATGCTTAAGTGAAACTCTCTTCACATCTAGGATGGCTGTAATTATATGTGTCGTTGCAAAGGTACCAGAGAACCAACACGCTATAAGGTAGGTATCTCTGAGTTGTCAGTTGTGTCAATTATGATTGGAATTTTCAGATTTAGCTTAAGAATTTTTTTCTGATAATTGAGACCATTTTGTTGGAGAATTGCTATACAACACAGTAAAACAAACTGACAAAGGTCCGTGATTATTATTTGCAATGATTGGGAATAGGAAACTTAGGTTGAACAAGACTAGTTAGCGAAGACTAGTTTGCAAAATCCAAGATATCAATCTATAAAAAACCACGAAATTAGTCTGAAATATTTTGTGACGCAGAGACTTCTTCATTGATCATATTTGTAGCCAATGGATGATGCCATCGCTGATGATGAAGACTTTAGAGTAGAGGATGATGATAATGATGATACAATGTTACCGATGTAGCAATTTCCTTATAATTAGAATTAATGTACATGATTAGAAGTTCGATTATTAATCTTATAGCTAGCATCTTCCAAAGGTTATTTTGGTTTTGTTGAGATTGAAAGTTTTCTATTTAACATCTATTGTATAATATGTTAGGTTGATATAGTGTCACTGACTTTCATAGGTGGATAACTCCGTTTAAATTGTCGCAGATGTTTGCGGTATTTTGATTTTTGTATAAACTTTCTTAGCCAGTGAAAATTTATTACTTTTCTTAGAAGAATTCTCTTTTATGCTGGCAATGTTTCCTATATGTTCAATGCGTAACTGAAAAGTAATCTTTGAAAGTATTTTGAAGTTGCTGCCTTTTTCATGGAAAAGGCTGACATATATATAAAACTCACAAAGCCATTGTAATAACGAATATTCATTGAAGAAGTCATGCTAGCCATTGATTGTCATTCCACTTTGAAATAAGTGAAATATCAATGTATTAGTGAATGTATGGAATAGAAAATAATAAGTTGTAAAGAATATATGAAATATTTCAAATGTCAATGCTTGATCATCACAATTCAGAAGCTGGTTGGGGGATCGACAAAAAAGTTGGCGAACTAAGCAAAGATCGAATATATTTGCCTGGCTGCGCCCTAGGATATACTAAAGTAATTACTAAAGATGAATTTAGACAGCCTGACAGGTGAAGGAACTTGCCCAGTCGCATTCTTGGTCGAACCGTCGAAGTTAGAGTTCCATCCAGTTCTTTTGAGTTCAGTGGTTAATCAATATGGCGGCTGTAACAACAGAAACTTCAGTAGAAGAAGATGCGACAGAACTTCAATTTCCCAAAGGTACGTAACAAAAAGAATAGTTGTATAAGATGATACATAATTGTATTTATATAGTGTGTTTGCACGCTCTTTTGTATGAAATTCTAGAGTTTGAAAACGCAGAAACACTTTTGAACTCTGAAGTTTTCATGTTGTTGGAACATCGGAAAGCTCAGAGTGAAGGTGCTGAGCAAGATGAACAAGAGCTTTCAGACGTATTTATGAAAACATTAGAATACACGCAAAAATTTAGCCGATATAAAAATCGTGAAACCATTGCCAGCGTTAGAAGGTTGGTACTTGATCTATTAAAATACTCATTTCTAAATATAAATTAATGTCAGACAATTATGACCTGGCCAGTCAAAAACTAACAGATTCCTAATCATTACCTATCCAATGGCTCATGAAAGCTATGACATTTCCTTTGAATTTACCATCAAAATTAAGTTAATTTTTGCTGAATGACAATGGAGATGCTTATTACCTTATTTGCTTCCATCTCTAACCCTAAAGCTAACTGTAAGGCTTAGTATTCTATAATTGATGCTGTGAATTGTAGAAACATCATTTTAATTTCCTCATATACAGCTTACTAGGGAAAAAGAAACTTCATAAATTTGAGTTGGCATGCCTTGCAAATCTTTGTCCAGAGACAGCAGAAGAAGCCAAATCTCTCATACCAAGGTAAGATATTTTTCTTTTTTCTTACTATATTACTAAGTATAATCATATACTTAGGTGATTTTTCATGTTTTTAAGTCTGGAAGGTAGATTTGAAGATGACGACTTGCAGCAGTTGTTGGATGATATTCAGACACACAGAAGTTTTCAATATTGAACAGCATCAGAAGCATTTGTTAATGGCACACCGTTCATGTTTCCTAAGAGACATTGGAGAAAAATGCTGTCCAGCAAACATCTTATTGATATTAAGTTTGAAAAAACAAGACTTTTACAGAGCAATGAGACAATAAGCCATTCAACTAACTGGGAAAAATTAAAAACAAAATTTGACCCAAGCAATGAAATGCAAAGGAATTACTGTTCTTGGGTTTGCTTAACAGGCTTGAATTGTTACGAAAAAATATGAAATAGGTCGGCCAATAGTTTATACTCAATTTTAACAAAGTGTTCCCTCCAACTGAGAGGGAGGCCTGGGAGGGTGAAAGTAACGCTTCATGATGTTACGTCTATGTGAGTGGTTTTTTATATAAGTTTTTAGGAGCCAACGTCACTCTGCCTCACAGTTTCTGGAGTTACTATATCAGGGATAACCAGTTAGTCCCCGAATGTCAGGTCTTTATTTCTTCCTTCATAACGCTAGAGGGGGGAAGTCAGGCGAAGAGACATGCAACTAAAAAGCAAAAAAAAATAAAGGCCTTACATTCAGGTAATTTATGGTATACTGACTATTGTATATATGTAACACAACCACTGTAATACAACAGGGATTGTCCAGTTTCTACGGTGTCTACGAGATCAACTGCAAAAGAAGATGGCGATATTTTATATACAAGAATTATGTTTTAATTTTCCTCGATTTTCAATCGCTCCTTTCAGGTTATGGTCATCTAAAGCAAGTTCAAAATATCCGTTATGTTCTGTTCTGTTTCAAAATGCGTTTGGATGTAAAAAATATATTCGTAAAGGGATTAAAATAAACAATTTTTTGACGACAAGAGTGGGTCATAATTGTACAAGCATCACGTGGATACATACTAGCAATGTTAGGCTTGGTATTGAGGAGTTTTTTCCTCCTAATATGTTAGAAACCAAACAACCATTGCCTGAAGAAGTAAAATCAGGTACTTAAAATTGAATTCTTTTTTAAAAAATATCTTTTCATGTTACCTATTTGTGCTGTAATCAAGTCAATGTATCTAACATACTAGTCTTATGTGTAAATATTTTAACATTTTGTGTACAAAAGTAAAGAAAGAAATTATGCTATGGGACAAACTCTGCAGATAATGGTAGTGTAATGGTGGCCACATCAATGGTAGCTGAAACCCCAAATGAGAAACTAATATTTATTATTCGCGAAATAGTGGTCTAATATAAACTTAGCTATTGGGTAATTTATGCTAGGAAGAAGCTGGAGAGCAGGAGAATTAAGACAGAAAAGTAATGAAGATTTACATAAACTTTGGTATGAAAACAAAGATTTCTCCCTCAAGCAAAACAAATATTTTAAATTGGAATGTGTTTTGATGCACACATTTTCACTTAAGGTACATCTTACTCAAAGAAAGGAATATGTTACTGACAGTACAAGAAGAAGCGAAAAGACAAGAAATTGTAATGGTATCACCTGAAAGATTGCAGAAGGTCAAAAAGTCTATGGCCTTGATCAAAGTTGTGCTAAATGAAAGAGTATGTGCATTAAGTGAATATAGAGTAGATATGAACATTGCTCAACATGTTTCTCCTGTCATTCATGTATTTTCACCTTTAAATATCATCATAGCAATATTTGTTTCTAGAAACAGGCTATTGAGCTCATTGAGGCTAAGTGCAATAGCATTGAAAGTGATGCAAGGGAGATGACTAACAGTTCCTCAAGCAGTGAAGATGGACAGGAAAATAATGCAAAAATTGAGTGGAGTCAAACTCCAGTTGCTGCAACGTGATTAGAGTACAGGAATTGGAGTTCTACAATATTATCATTTTGTTAATATTTGTTTTTATTTTATACCAGTAATATATCAAATTTATACCAGTATATACTGGTAGTTAGTGCATACTCAACTAGTAATTAGTCATGGGTAAAATATGTTGAATAAATGCATGTTGAATATATGATCACCATCAAGCATGTCTGGGGATTGTAGAGCATTCAAACCATTTCCTGAGGGCCATTTCAATATTCCCATTTATCATTTATGTCATTTTTTGTACTTCCAGTCAAACTAGCCCAGCCAATATTGATATTCTCAATCACAAGTGGTAGTACGAAGAATTTTTTTTCTAAATGTGTTTTATCACATGTTCCAATTAACTGCATTAAGAAGGAGATAATTGATTCTCATGGCAATTTTAATGTTATCATTAAATGTTTTGAAAATTATATTTTAGTAGTCTAACTAAAGACCCAGTCAACCGTTAAAACCACCAGTTCGACATGTCAGTGGTTTTTTACCCTAGAATCGTTATTATATCCAGCATAATAAACGTTGTTTTGAACAAAACCTATGAAAGCGTTTATTTTGGGAAAATTTCCTCCATAAAAGTGCATAAGTTTTAAATAAAATGACTTCATCCTTTAGGTATCAGTACCAGAATATAAACACAAGTATTTATTTCGCTTTTCATTAAATATTAATGATCTTCAGTACGTAATTTTTTTAACTTTTTTGCTTTTAATAATTCTCTTTTGACCGGAAAATGTTTTTTTTACTCAACGATCTATCTGAAAAGGCTCTTTTGAATAGACCTGGAAATATTGAAATGAATGTTGGAAACTGGAGATTAAGCGTTGTCGTCGTGATATTGTCACGCTATGTGGTTATGACACCTCTCACCTCTCACGGTGCTTATAAATTACCCGTTACTGTGTTGTTAGAAGTTATTAATCACTTGGAGCCATTCATTCTCTGGGTAAGAACGTAGCTTTTTCTTTGGCTCACAAAATCCAGACACAAATTTGAAATATTTTAGGTAAGTTATTTACATCCATGATGAAATATTTTGTTTATATTTAAATCAATTTTGTTTACCATTTTGTGTAAACAATTCTCGTTATTTTGATCGCTGAAAATTTGATGACATAGAAAATCGTCTGTACAGGTATTGTTGTAGACAAAATATGACTTATAAGCATTTGTTAAAATATCTTCTTTTGATGAAGTGTTCACCCAAAAGTTGAAAGTTAAAACAAAATTATAAAACTCGTTAACGATATATAGAAATGTTTGAAAGTCCTAGTTTAAATATAAAAAAATTACCAAACGTTAAGTTATCACGTACGGTATTTACTATTCAGTTGATTAATTTAACTCATTTCTCTTTTAACTCGTTTCTCTTAATGATTTTGAAAAATTACAATCTGGAAATGGAAGCAAAGCAAATCAGAAATATTTATGCTGACGTGTTACTCAGTAAAAAACTCTTATCCCAAAAGTTTTCCCAAAAATCGATGTTTTTCAGCACTGTTTCTTATCTTCGGGTTCATTAAATAGTGTAATATCACTTATTTTTTACGTTCAAATGTTCTTCGTTCTCTATTTTTGATATCTTGCGAAGACTTGAAGTATTTTATGCAGGTGATGAAGACAATCAAAAGTGAACGAGCGGGTTATTCACGGGGATTCACCTTTCATCTTGTTGCTTCCCGTTGTGAATTGACTTTCTTTCAAAACATTTATGCCATTTCAAATTCTGGTTTCAATTTCTCATTTCAAATGAAACATGCCTGGATCAAAGTTGAGCATTTTCTTTTGATGGAAAAGAAACTTTGGTCTCTTCGTGTCACTCGACAGATGACACGAAATATTGTCGCCATGACCCATGTTAATAACATCTGAATCAGTTTTTTTGATCGGGTTAAATATTCCACTCAGTAAAAATTGCAAAAGCGTGTTGTGTTTCATTCGAGAAAACGACGAATATCTAACAGTGTCATCGGAGAACATCTGAAAGCCATTCTTACCAAATAAAAAGAAAACAACGCTTGTCTCAGTTATTCGCATTAAATCTATTTAAATCCACCATGCACTGAATGAAAATATTTCTCACTACTAGTTTTATAGCTAGCTTTAATTTGGTTACAATGTCGAACCATTTTTTCTTCAGGTTTGCAATCGACATAAAATACGAAGATGAAATTAATAATTTTCCTAGCTGCTCTTGTACTTGTTCTTGGAGTTTCATTTACAGTATCAAAACCATTACCAGGTGGGAACATTTGAGTCCTAAATCAAATTACTTGTGCCGTCATTATGTCGTCAACGTTCATTGTTTTCAATGCCCAAATTTATAGAAGATACAGCTGTTGCCGACGCTAACGAAAACGATGGAAGTGGCGAAGCCGAGGAAAGTGGCGAGGCTGAAGAAAGTGGAGAAGTAGAAGAAAGTGGCGAAGCTGAAGAAAGTGGCGAAGCTGAAGAAAGTGGCGAAGCTGAAGAAAGTGGCGAAGCTGAAGAAAGTGGCGAAGCTGAAGAAAGTGGAGAAGCAGAAGAAAGTGGAGAAGCTGAAGAAAGTGGAGAAGCTGAAGAAAGTGGCGAAGCTGAAGAAAGTGGCGAAGCTGAAGAAAGTGGAGAAGCTGAAGAAAGTGGTGAAGCTGAAGAAAGTGGCGAAGCTGAAGAAAGTGGAGAAGCTGACGAAAGTGGCGAAGCTGACGAAAGTGGCGAAGCTGAAGAAAGTGGCGAAGCTGAAGAAAGTGGCGAAGCTGAAGAAAGTGGCGAAGCTGAAGAAAGTGGCGAAGCTGAAGAAAGTGGAGAAGCTGGCGAAAGTGGCGAAGCTGAAGAAAGTGGCGAAGCTGAAGAAAGTGGCGAAGCTGAAGAAAGTGGCGAAGCTGAAGAAAGTGGCGAAGCTGAAGAAAGTGGAGAAGCTGACGAAAGTGGCGAAGCTGAAGAAAGTGGCGAAGCTGAAGAAAGTGGCGAAGCTGAAGAAAGTGGCGAAGCTGAAGAAAGTGGAGAAGCTGAAGAAAGTGGAGAAGCTGAAGAAAGTGGAGAAGCTGAAGAAAGTGGCGAAGCTGAAGAAAGTGGAGAAGCTGAAGAAAGTGGCGAAGCTGAAGACGAATAGAGAGTTTGTATTATCATATGAATAATGTGTATCACAAAGAACAAAATCCAGCAATCTATTTCAGAGATAAAGTGGAAATGATACAGTTTAGTAAACAAATAATCGTACTAAGAATCATCTTTAGTTAACAGTTTGCAATAAATGGGCTATTTCTGATCTCCTTTATATTATTTATTCATTCAAACCAACTGGTTCGCTTTTCGCTCGTGACCTGTACTTCTGTTCTAACAAAACTACAGCTTGTTTTGCAGCTAACATGATATCTATATACCCAAACCCCGGTGGGAGAGTCTGCTTTTGTAACCATGATGTAGCTTTGATAGCTATTAGTTCCCAATCTTCTTCATGGCTTATCCATTTTCTTCTAAGATAAACCAAGGCTAAAGCAGTGGCCCATAATGCCAACGAGTCGTAGTAACAATCTATCCCCAGTCTATCATCTTGTTCTGCCAAAGGAATCATTGTTGAATCCACAAATGGTGCTGCAAGTTCTAATTGAACTAAAGGAAGGCCAATTATACGAGCAAAGGCATAGGTCAGTTGCCAAAATCCTTCTGCTGATTGAAGTAAAATAAGACGAATAAACGGTGGACCTAAAAAGAGAACAATTGTTTACCATGTCAATCCCAATATGTTTTCTGTATCGGAAATTATCTAACAATGTAGTTGAGGTAAAAAAGGGTTCTCTATGGTCCGTACGACGATGCCTTCCAGCCTAGCGGCATAGTTTATCATATCACTACTACCAATTAGTACTACACTTCAACCAATTCTTCGATCTTCCTGACCTATGTTCGGTGCAGGCTTTTAAACTTTTTTTAACGATGAACCTCATTCCAGGAGTGAGGTTTCAAAGCCTTACCTGCAAAAACATTCAATTTGTGAGCATTCCTCATTTTTCTGGACAGCAAGGTCAATCTTGTGTTCACTAGTTTCCTACGATGAATCGCCCCAACTGGGATGTTACGACAATCCACGAGGCTCTTCCGGCGAGTTTCACGTATTATTTCATCACATCCTTCAGGATCCAATCTTTCAATACGGTAATATTTCACATCGTCTGAAATGGGATCAAGCTCCGTAGACACTCCGATTCTCCTCTTGATAGGCGAGCGTGATTCTTCGTCAACACTCGGACAACTAATAAGGATAGTTGGTGGATTACTTTCTCCTTTTGTTGATTTGGGAGAATACCTAGAAAGCTGTTTTTGACGTCTGTAAAAAAATTAAATCACGAGTTTTTTTTAAACTCTCTTATCCGACGTTTTGTATATGGTGGTTCCCATTCATCTTACGTCCATGCTATTATTTCTGTGATACCAAACTACCAACCTATCTGCCTAGTTATGTTCTTCCTTGTCACTGACTCAGCTATCTACCATCCTACCTACTTGCCCACCTACCTACCTACCCACCTATTTACCTGCCCACTTACCCTCCTACCCACCTTTCACCCACTCACCTATCAACTCTCAAACGTCACACCATGACATTTACCTGAAATTTGAGCCTACGCAGTCTTGAAAAACGCCGACGATATTTCCCTTCTCATCAAGTGTTACGAATGATGTCAAACTTGAAGAAATGCATGATTCTTTGCTAAACTCAACAATCTCTCTTTCCAATCCTGCATTGTTGCATGTGTTATTTAATAAGACCTCCATACCATTAATAAAGCTCTTTGCAGCCATTTGATGAAGCGATATACTACAGCATGTTTTTGTGTTTAAACAAAGTACAATTCTTTCTCTATGGATATCCGGTCCAATATAACCAGATATTAAGACATAGCCTCTCTCAGGATCATTTATACCGTCGTCAGCCTCAATCTGGCTGCATAGGGAATCATCTGGAATATCACAGTCAATGACATTTTCCTTGCTTGTCTTGTTCATACGGGCTGTGCTGTTCATATCAATGACTGATTCACTCTTATTAGCGAACATTTGTTTCTGTTTTTTCTTCTCATTAACTTGTTTGCCATTGTTCGTGATGTAACCAGTTTTTACGTCATTCTGCATGAGGTCACGATGCATTACATCTTTGCAAATTGCGTTATTACTTTGTTGATAACAATCATCAGTAATGCTTGTCAATAAACCTTTGTTATCGCCTATCCACTCTGTGACGTAAGCAAATTTGTTGGTAACATCATCACTGGTTTTCAATCCTCTAAAAGTGGTGACCGAGTCCGAGTTTACAAAAAAATTATTGTAGTTCCAATCCTGATTTCGTCGAATGAGATATTTTTCAGGTGGAAAAATATCGCCATTCTTGTCTGTTTGAATTTCATCTTCCGTTTCTGTGCTCGTATCACTTGAATATAAGTGTATGTTTCTCACTTCTTGCCAATTTTTGACGGAATTTGAACTGCCATTCGATTGCTCTATTCCAGTCTTCTTTGAGTTATCAAATACGTCAACGGACTTTTCTAAATTCAACTTTTCATGATCACCTCTGATCTCATCTCTTGCAGGACTGCTTCCGGCATAACACTCGTCCATATCATTTCCGAGTTGCACGTTGTTTTGTTGTTCACAATCCGATACCGATACATCCGTATCTGTATCCCAGTATCCAGAGAATTCCCCGTTGTCTTGGAAGTCGTCAAAAAACATGTTATCACCGAGTTGGCAGGAATCCAGTTCTTCATCAAACCAAAACTCTTTCACACTTGACTTTCGTTTTCTTCTCAACCTTGCTTGGTTCTGTTCTCTTGGTGGTAACTGTACTGAAGCGTACAGGTTACTCCGTTTTCCAGAAACTAAAACGGGCATTTCGAGAGTCGCTCGTAATAGCTGCCAATTTGTTGGTAGTTGCCAGTCCACTTTAACGTCACACAGTGTTGGCTTCAGAATTTCTTTAAGACATTGAATAACCTGCAAGAAACGAAGTGTTTAAACGTGCAGAAACTATGTTATATGATATGATACGTTGTGTTGATCGTAGCGTTGTTACTTGTCTTCAGCGTATCATACCTTGGTTTGAATCTTGGTACCATCCTCCGAAAAATACGCTTTTCCTTGGGCACTTCTTGCAATATTGCAGACAGTATTGAAGGAAATCTTTGGACCAATTCCAAATGTGAAAATCCTGGAGCAACGGAAATTTTGTCAGGGGGAGATAATTAATGTTAGAGCTGCAGGCTCGATTCCTGCTGAGCGTAAACTATGTAGTCCTTTTACGAGAAAGGATCTGTGAACATTATATTGTGAACATATCAGTGAATGTTGTGAACTTAATGCTTTCAGCCTATTATACTATTATCATAATACTAACCTTGCTTTGTGGCACGTCGTTTTCAGGTATTTCATAATGGCATCGGGCTGCGCAATATCTCCGTCAGTTAGTACAAAGACATTTCTTACGTAACCAGTTTTATGTGGCTTTTCCAACACTGCTTTCATCGGCTGCAAGAGCTCAGAGCCGCCCATATCTGCTCTAATGCTGTTCACATACGCACAAGCTTTTTCTAAACTATCGCGATTATATCTCTGACTACAGGGGAATAAAGAGCGGGAGTAGGAACCAAAACACACAACGTTGAAGTAGGAGGATATCGGCAGACTTTTGAGAAATAACACCAAGCTTTCTTTAGCATTACAAATATGCGAGCCATTCATACTTCCACTTCGATCAAGCATGAATATGTACTCTCCGTGGGCAGAGTAGTTTGATAAATCTGGAACTAAACTTGTAGCAATGATTGCATCACGGTAGAATTGGCTTGATCTTGAAGTCGCTAAATCTTTTACTTCTTCTTGTATTCTTTTGTCGCTTGTTAAAATGCTTTTTTGACCTTTTGCGTTGCCGAAACGTTCGCGTTTTTCAAATGACTGCCTGCGTTGGTTTGTATGGGAGAAAGAGTAAGTTCGAGATTTGGTTCGTTGCGAAGTATAACTCGCGTTGTCCTGAAGAGTAACGGTTTCAACACTTGTATAAACATCAAGCGGCTTTACTGGATAAAAACATACTTTGATTTGTCTATCGTATTCAAATTCTTCAGCTAACGTAATAACGACAATCTCTGCACTCATAGCATCAGCATCTGCATCAACTTGAATGGCATGAGAAGAAGAATGACATCCCGCCAGCTGAAAAGGCATATCACTTCTAATCTTTATATCAAATTTATAGGCCTGATTTGTGCTGTCCTTTTCACAAAACTCGCTGGAGAAGGGGGTAAAAATTTCTGGTGTTTTAAAAACTAATGCTTGCTCAGTGTTTTCAGTTTGCAGCTCACCTAAGACATCAACCTCCAACCAGATTGACGCATGAGCAGGGATTTTTCCGATGCTAATTACAAAGTCAGTTTGATCCGCATGACAACACTGAAAACGTTCTATTTCCTTCTCAGAGAACAAGTCGCGGACAGTTCTGTGTATTTTCTGTCGACCAATTGTCACTCGGAGATCTGTTATGAACGTATCGTTATTATTGTACACGAATTCAGCCTCGCCTTCATGATCAAATTGATTGAAATAACATAAGCGAGCCAATGTACTCGCGACAAATCCGTTGATGTTTACGAAAAGACTTGAAGATCTTAAAACAAGTGAGCATTTATTGTTCTTCATGATCAAACCTTGCAATCCAGACATTTTAGAGTTCAGTCAATGTTTACCTCTTTGTTTCTTTCTTTCAATATAAAATAAACCAACTAGCGTTGCCTATTTTTATTGTGAACTTTCAATTCTGAAATTTTTCTTCAAGTTCTCTAAATTTCATTTTCAAGTAAAATCCAAACCGCAATCCTTATTATCTTTCTGTATTTTCCTCACATTGTTAAATCCCAAACCACGAACGGCAATACAAGGTGATCCCAAACTCCATTATCACAAAGTCGTCTTCATCTATAAGCGTCGTACTTTAAGCCGATGATAACTATACATGTACGTTTTGCGTCTAACAGACACAGGTGCTATCAGCGCCTCCCGGACCAATCAAATTACAGAAAATAAAGCGTATTAACCAATGAACATACGAGAAATTTTCCGTGTAGGAAGAACTCAGTTCTTTTGTATGAAGGCCGGCAGCAGCTGCATCTATTAAATAGTACAGACAAAGGTATATTTTATGATTCCGATTACCTCATTTAAGCATTGTGGGGATATTATTTTCTTCCTACGTAATGCATCTTTCACGAGGAAATTATGCCTAATGTTGAGGTGAAAAATTGCATTTATATTTACACGAGCTTTATCAATGTTGACTTAGCTCATCGGGAAAGACAAGTTCCGTTTGCTTGAAGCGCGGTTAGACATCACATCATCTGTTATTCTGCTAAATATATTAATGAAGTATGGCTATGTTTGATTTGAAACATATGTCTTTCTAATTCTTAGTTTTCTTGTTTAAAATATTTTTTATTTAAGCAACGTTTGCTGAAATATTGTGATTTAATTTGAGTCTTCCTGACTTCCTACTCAATGATAAATCATTTAGGAACTTTGAATTTCTTGGTAGGAACTGAGGCGCTGTAACTAAATGCAATTTATCAGCCACTCATCCTGCAATGGACGGTGTTAATTAAAGATTTAAAAAGATAAATCGGGAAGCATAATGTAACTGTTGGAATAACTCCAACTTCTTCAGTCACTTTTCGTATTATTGGAACTTGTAGCCATGCACTGATATATTGAAAAGTTAACATTTAATGATTAGCTTTCTCGTAACTGGGATTATTAAGCGGTTTAATGACGGCTCAGCAGGAAGAAAGATGAATTTTCACTCAGAAAAGAAATACTGGATGCGTTCAGTGGAACTATGTATCCATTAATAACGAATGGTCATTCTTAACTGTGGATTGTTAAGACGGATCACGTATTATTCGGTAGAAAGTCAGGTTCGCTAAATCTCTTCCTCATGTTTAACTATCAACTCTTATCATTTCTTGTGTAGTTTCATCTGACGTATTCTTCAGCTATCACGACCACTGACCACGACTCTAGTGTTCTTTTCATCTTCTTATTGCGACAAGGATCTTTCTACCTATGAAGTTGAATTGAAGAAGTTGGGAATGTGTAATCTTCAAATAAATTATTAAAGTTTCACAGCAGTTAGATGGCGCTTCCAGACGTTTGTCCCCACATAAAACAAACAAATTACGGAGGATATAAATATGGCAGACACCTGTCTTGCCTTCTTGTTTGAATATTCCCGCAGAAGTAATTTATTTTGCATTTGCGGCAAGGTTTTTTCGTTTGTATGAGTGTGGAGTAAGCAAAAGCTGGTTTGCGTGCAGAAATCTCACTGAAATGTCCTGTGAGAAAAACATTTTACCTTTTCAGGGTTTTTCGTATGTCCTCAGGACTTTTGTATGTCAGCGGTGCACGTCTTTTCATTCATTCATACGAGAAAAACAAAGAATGCATGATGAGAAGAATGAGAACTTAGCAAGTTTGGGACGACTTGTAGTTTACAGTATTATGATTTTAATATCTATTATATTATGGCCGAGGAAAGATTTTCCCGATCTTAAAAGTATAAATCATAGCGGCATTTGTTTTATTGATATGTTTCCGCCAGATGACGTACTTCTATCTGCAAGGAAGACTCTGTGAGTTACAAGAGTTACAATGTATTATGTATAGCTTCCGTTGGCTAGTCCAACTCGATGTAGAATTTTACCCAACACAGTATTAAACAGAGATTAAAAATTTTTAAGAATAGAAATTTTTGATAGAATCAATCAATAATTCCCTAATCACAATTCTAATCCTCCGACAAGTAACAATTATCGTGAAAATAGATACATTCAAGGAAGAAGTTGAAGTTTACTTTGGTAAAGTGGAAAATATACTCCAGTAAAGAAATAACAAATATAACTGGCAGTTGACTGGTTCTTATTGGTTCTTACCATTCTTACCTTTTCTGGAGTTTCTACTATGAAATATTGTCTTCTATGACACTCATGGGAACAAATACAACAAAGCCATACAAAATACAGGAAGTTGGTGGCATCGGAAGAATTGGCATTACTGCAACAAACTTGCAGGATTTGAAGAACCAAGCTTTGAAGCTATTAAATATACCAGAGGATTTTGAACCGCATTTAGATGATGGTACTGCGGTATTGACAGAAGAATATTTTAGATGTTTGCCCCAACAAACCTGTTTTACCTTCTTTGCTCCTAATTACGGAAATTCCAAAACAGGTTGGCTTTAATAATTTTATCAAATTATAATTACCAGCACCAAGGTGTTCACCTCTAGATGACAGAATGAGTACCATCTTTTCATCATAAATGTGACGTTCCATCATTGAAATATTAATACTATACTGTTTTTTCTTAGATTTGATACAGCTTGAGAAGCTTACTTTGAAACTTTCTAAAAGCCTTGCTGAGCAGAACACAAAATGTTTAGATGAGGTTAAGCAGTTTTTGTGTGGTGAAAATTCTGAAGTTATCAACAGGGCATTGCTGGATTATGTCTCAACACTTCAATCAAATATTGCTTCTGAGACTCGGGAAGAAGATGGTGAATGGTTTGAAGGATTGCCTGACAGATATCAGACAAAAGAGGCCGTCATGGAAGATGGTGCAAAAACAAGGATTAAAAATTACTATCAAAAAACCAGAGAATATCTCCTACAAGAGCAGGTTTGATATACTTGAAAGTTGAAACTGTGTTTTTTTATTATGGTAGAAACTTTCCTTATCTGTTATGTTATGGGTATAATGAGTTTAATTTCATAATGGGTAAACTGCATGAATGACACAAGTCTGAGACAAGTTCAACAGGGGCCTGCATTTTTAGCAACAAAAGAACAAGATCAATAAAAGAACTCTTTGTTTCAGAATCCTAGTCAGCAAGGTATGGAACTTTTGGATGACTTGCGTCAGGAGTTACATTTCAACAAATACAATGGCAACTATTTTTGTCGTTCTGCGTGGAAAAATGTTAGAATCTGTGATGATCTTGGCTGGTTTAAGTGTGAAGGGAAATTTAATGAGAAAAATTGTGCCAAAAGTCATTCAATCAACCCTTATGGGTCAAAAGAAACTAGAATTATTTTTAGCACTTGGAATTTGGATCATGTGTGAGTACAAGGTTTTCTTTAAAAAGATGTTACAACCAAAATAGAATTGAATGTCTTTTCTTTTTTTGTGTTAAAGTAGGTCTTAGTTGGGGTTCATTCAAATCATTAGCATTACTTTTTATATAATTGTAGTGTTGAGAAATCCAGAGAAATTTTGCCCACATTGGCAGAAGTGATAAAACAGGCCAAGGGCAGAGATATAAATTGGCAATATTTCTACGATCTTTTATTCACAAAGAAGAATTTGAAATTGGTTCATGTTGCATGTCATATCAAAGGTGTTCATTCTGGAAAGAAATGTGATAAGAAACAGTTCTATAAAGCAAAAACTATTTCAAGGAAACCTGCTAAAAACTCAAGTCAATGTAGGAAATGGGTGTTGCGAAGCCGGAGGTGATCAGTCTATTTATGACTATTTATTTTGGTCTATTTGTGACCAAAATAAAATTTTAATACAAGTTTTTACATAAATGGTATAATTTATTTTACTTAGGGAAAAACAGCAAATCATATTGCACATAACTACATATATCAATATTTACATTAACTATCATGGTGGAAATTATTTAACTGGTTTGTTAAATGGTTTCAATCATCATCATCAGCTATTACTTCCATGACATTTTCCTAAATATTAAAATAAAATCATTTAGACCACAAAATATAAATACTTGAATGTTCAGTTGATACACCATAAATTTATTGATTGATGTAGACATGTAGTACGTGAGATCTTCCTACTTACCGCTAATGCTGCTTCTTGTCTTCTCTGTTCATGGATCTAAAAACACACAAATATGGACAGTGCTCAATAAGGCACCAAATTTGGGCTGTTTCATTTGTTTGCATGACATTGCAGGCAGTATACCTCCTCAGCTTCTTGCCTCTCATCTTCAGTATACTCATCCTTATCCAATCTTTCTAAACGACGTAAACTGATCAATACTTCAATTCGGTAATCGTCATCATCTGCTACAGGGTTCTCTATAAGAACAATGCTCCTATCAGCATTTAGTTATCAAAATCTCTAAATCTAAAAACAAGCCCTGCAAAAAGGTGTTCAGAGAAAAATAAAATGACCTTTAGAATTTACTGGTTTCTCTCACTTGAATTCTAGCTGGAATTAAATTCTACAAAATGTGATTTACAGCAATATCTGAACACTCACCCATCAACACAACTGCCCTCAAAAGAGGAAGACACTTAAGCTTGTCAATTTCTTTCATGTCAGATATACTATTCCCTCTGTAGAAAAAGAAATTGCAATGTCAGCTTTCTGGTTTGAGAACTTGATGACTGAATGGTTGATTTTTTTTACCTGAAATTCAAGTACTGCACATGCTTCATATTTGCAGAAAAACCATCCAATTTTTGTATTTGATTGTCACGTAAATGAATGGTAACAAGGTGTTCCAGTCGATCCAAATTTTCCAGGAATTTTATTGAATTTGCTGCCTATTAGAAGTTAAGATATTGTGTCATAGAAACAACAGACTTATTACACTAAAGTATTGCAACTTTTACCAAGTAAAGATTTTGTAGTTTTGGTAGCTTTCCAATACCATTTGTAGTCATCAATTTGTTATTGCGAAGTTCTAGACACTTTACGCGTGATAGTGCTGATGAATCAAAGTCTGTAACTTCATAAATATTGTTGACTGTAACAAAGAAAAAGTATGTATATATACATCAGTGTTTCATGTAAGATAAATGGGTTAGTTTATTATAGATATCCCTGGGATATCCCTGATACGTACAAGAGAGGTTTAGTGTTTCCAATAATGGGTGTTCAATTCCTTTTGTGTCAACTATCTTGTTGTTGGCGAAATTGGCAATTTGAAGGTATGGTAGCTATCAAGATAAAATAACATTTAAATTATGTTGTATTGTACCAATTGGCTAAGACAACATGGATTTAATGCTGCATACCTTGTCTAACTTTGCTGATGCCAATTGGTTTTTATCTGCTTTTAATGTCAACAAATGAGTTAAGGAACTTAAAGATGAAATGTCTTTCAGCTGATTGCCACTGATGTCCTAAAATTTTTATTAAGTGGATGAATATTTTTCACAACTTTTTCATAAATATGTTTCTTAATAAGTTGTGGAAATCCAATAATACTTACAATATATCTGAGGTGAATGAAGCAATTCAATATACTAATGTCAGTTAAATCTCTGTCAAAACAGATCAACAAACACGTTTTAGTTTTGTGGTATAATCTAAAAATGGTCAAACTAGTAGGTTGATTTGCAACCATACCTGTCATGTACATCTAGACGAACATAGGCATGTGCCAGTCCATTACCAGTCTTGCACAACAACGACAATGAATCAGCTAAGATTTCTTCTGTCAGTGGATTCTCAGGAACTTTCTATGAAATTGACCACAGCATTTTGGGTGTTTATAGTTACAAATACAACGAAACTTTAACTGTATTTTCTACAATAAACCATTTCCCTCACTTCTTCTTCTGCTTCTTCATCATCCTCCTCGTCGTCTAAAACAGGTTCATCTACACCTTCCTCGTCGTCAAAATCTGACATTTTTTACCTAAATTTTACAATAACTTCAGTCTTTTTAATTTAGACAAGATAATTTTTCAAATTGATTACAATCTCCATGGCAACCAGCAACGTGACGTAATGACGTAATTAGTACTTGGGACATTTCACTGATTTCAGTGCCCGCGGTTTGAAATAGTTTTAGCCGGAAGTTGATATGAGTGATGTGGAAGCATGTTCAGTAAATTGAAGTTCCTGAAGTTCTTGTTCAATTTCTATGTGAAAACGTAGAATTTCTCCATAAAAATACCCGATTTTCTCTCATGCAAACCTCACATGGAGCTCATTATGGCTTTAAAGAGCTTAAAAGAGATATTTCCACTGCCTAATTGTCGCAGAATTATGACACTTTTCGTGAAATTATGGACATTGTTGATGTATGTCCTCAAGCGAAATATGCGAGCAGTAAGTTCAATTAAAACTATTTAAAATTATGAATTCCAATGAATTTGAATTGTGAAATATTTTTTATTAGATTTACAAGCAATATAGTTTTAATAACATATCAAATAAGATTATCAAAGCTTGGTATTAGTTTTTTTTTTAAGCAATATTGCGTTAGTTTGTTGTCTCAGAGTAGTGTACTGTGTACTGTGTGTCAGTGTATGTATACAACATTTGAACAGTAGTTTAATTTATAATTTATAAATATTTCGTAAAAATATTTCGTAAATTTTAATTACTCATCTTGGTCAGAACACAGATATTTGTAATTAGATTATTTTTGTAGTATTTTAAATTGTATGCTAACGCAAATAAAGAGATCTTGTAAGAAAACAATGACTTAAGAGATTTTCATTAATTATTATATTAAATATTTATGTAATAATATTTTCTATATGTAGGTTATAGAACATCAGACAATAAGATATTCAACATTTGAATTATCACCATTATCACAGCAAAGATTAAGTAAGTATGAGCTAGCTGTACAAATGCTATTTTGAAGAATGTTCCAACCCAAAATTTGTTCACAATTTGCAACTTGTAATAGGAAGATAAATGAAACCTAATAAAACAACAACATTCCTAGAACTTGTAAGAAGAAAGATATTTGTCTTGGACTTGGATGAGACTCTGATACATTCACAACGAGATGGGTATGTTACAAATTTTGCAACATAATATATAGCAGAATGTTTAATATTTCTACATAGTTATTGACTTATATTGTTATTAATTTAATCCTATTCTATTAAAGAGTTGGTAGAAAATCACTTTATCCTAATATGCCTGCAGATTTTGTTTTAAGGGTATGTATACATTGCATGTAACTTTTTCTAGGGACGTTCTCCCATGTTTTACAATTTACAGCACTTCTCATTATTGATTATATTTGATTGTTCTTAAGGTAACAGTTGAGCATCAGACAGTAAGATTTCTTGTTCATAAAAGACCACATCTTGACTTTTTCTTAGGACTGGTAAGTCATTTTATATCATGCATTATGCTTAGCATTCTTACTAAAATGCATTCTGTTGGTAGGCATTGATTGACTTGTTTACACATTCAGATGCAGTCTTTTCCTCATAAATTTCAAAACTCATTAGATTTGAATAAAACATTTCAGGTTTGCCAGTGGTTTGACTTGGTGGTTTTTACAGCAAGTTTAGAGGTAAGAAACCTTCAATCAAACTAGTCTTTAATTTGTGGGTTAAAAAGTTAAAAAGACAATTATTTTTTAGAGATATGGAATGGCTGTAACAGATAAAATTGACAATAATAAAGGATTTTTTACTAGACGATATTTCAGACATGTAAGTTCTCTCTTCATGTTCATGCACCTGAGACCTGTGATATCAAAATATTAATGCATTCCAATGAAAATAACATTCAGTTACTTTAGTTTATGAGTTATTTATTCTTTTTTACTTCTAGCATTGCACCTTACACCTTGGGACATATATCAAAGATCTATCTATTATAAGTGATGATTTATCAAGCATTTTTATTCTGGATAATTCTCCTGGGGCATATATGAATAACAAAGGTATATATTAAATTGATTAAATTATCCTAATATATTCAAGTATTAGCCAAATGTGGCTAGGCTAGGTCATATAGACTGCAGGCAGGCAAGCTCATATAGACTGCAGGCAGGCTGGGTCAGAAAGACTGCAGGCAGGCTGGGTCATATAGACTGCAGGCAGGCTAGCTCATATAGACTGCAGGCAGGCTGGGTCATAAAGATTGCAACTTTGATAGATTGGTAACATGTTACATGCTACCATATATAACATTTTAGAGCGGTAATAGGGTAAAAAACAAGAGAAATGGAAAGAATGAAATCCTTATAACTATAGACAAATTACATTAAACAAGACAGGAAAGGGGCAGTGATATACGAGATATCAATTCTTGTTCCTAAGTTCATTTTTCTAAGGATACATACTATGAAGATCTTTTATATTTAGATAATGCAATTCCAATCAAATCATGGTTTGCAGATCCATCAGATACAGCTCTGTTAAATATTTTACCAATGTTGGATGCTTTGCGCTTCACTGCTGATGTTAGATCAGTACTAAGCCGTAATGTCCACCACTATCCAGCATGGTAATAGCACCATACAGTTTTCACAATGTAATTAGTGTATAATTATTGCGAATGACGTAATATCTGCCACTCGCTCCTCATATAATCATAAATTACCTTTGTCTCAGTGCATAGCATCGCCTCACTACCTTCACCAGTAAATACACGAAGTATTGAAGTAATAATACCAATGTTCACACTAAGTTATGTTCACTGCAGGCTCGGTGATGTTTAGTGTAGGGAACTTTATTAACTTCAAGATTTTAGTATTGAAATGTTGTGTAAGGCTGTTAGAACTCTGAAACACTAAGATATTTTACAATTACTAAAACAAAAAAAGAAAATAAAGAGACTCCTGTTTCTGGTTCTCTGGCACGCGTATTAGCGACAATTATTAACGTCTATATAAGACGGGGTCGGGTCATTTCGTCGTTTTCGTACCCAATACCCATTTCCTTATCCGGGAAAATTACCTGGGGTAATTACATGGAGTTAGAAAAGGCCTGGGAAAGATGACATCAGGCAGGAGCCGCCACTTACCTCGACAACAATAGCGACAGTTTTGTCAAGTGTTGATGAAAATTTAGAAGAAGATTGAGAAAAAGATTTGGTAACAGGAAAACAGATAATGATTGTGAATTATAATTTCTAAATTATTACACAAATATTTTAAAAGAAAGAATTTACCTTGACTTTGTCATTTTAGAAATAGATAAAATCACAGTGACGTGTTTAGTGTACTATAATTGCATCACACACACGCGTGATAGAATCTATTGCTTTTATACTACTATTAAATTACCTAATAACGATGTATCAACAAATCAAATTGCTAGGGATACTTCAGTTGTTGTTGCTGTAAACTTATATTACAATACTAGAACCATACTAAACAATGTTTTATTACTCCTAATTAATTTCTACAATATATGCCACGAATAATACACCTTGTTTTACATACGACGTGAAATAGCGATCCGAAAAGTAAATGTCAGCTTAAATTACATAGTTTTGTTCCATTTGAAAAGGAATTAGCGCCCAAGTTAATCAAATTATTGTTACATTTGCAGTTGAATTTTGACGGCACATATAAAATTGATGTTAAACAACAGATTATCTATTTTCTAATACCAGATTCGCCCGAGGAGGCTGTAAAACGCTTGGCGATACATAGTCAAACGCCAAGCATAAATGATAGGATTGGAGAGGAAATATATATAAGTGAAGGCATCTGTGTAAATATATGCTGTGTAGAATGTATTCTGGTCTAAGTTATCTTCGACCGTCGGGTCAAATGAGTTTAGGGTTGAAAGAATTTGTAGACAGATAAAGTAAGGCACACACGTGACAAGCAAGATGACAAGGAGCATGGTAACGACTATGGTGACTTTCTTGTGAGCAATATTTTCGCTTGAAGGCGCAGGAAGACAGGGAGTGACGTGGGACGAGTCTTGAATGGCGAACGTTGTTGCACGACTTTTCTCTCTCTTATGCAAAACCCATAAAATATATACATGAGCGACAATGAAGCTCAGAACGCAGATCTCGACGAACAGACAGATGAAAAAAAGAGCGTGATGTCGATTATAATGAACGGCAACACCAGCTGCTATTGCAATGAGCCACACGATGCAAATAGAATAAATTGTCCGACGAATCGTTAGGAAGGTTGACCACACGAGCGGAAGAGTGACGATAATGAATCTTTCTGTTGCCATGAGGAACAATGTAAAATACGACGCACAAAATGCAGCCCAGACAAGCGGAAGTTGCACAGTATACATCGTGTCAGTTTGGAGAAAACGAATATTTCGAATAGGTTGTTGTAGTACGATAAGAAAAACACCATTGAGACAATCAACAAACGCCAAGTTCGCTACCAGATAAGAAATTCTTGTGACAAATATCTTCTTTCGTTCATTAAACATGGATATTAAGAGAACTCCATTAAGAATAACGGCCAGGATACTGAATATGTATGCGAGGACGTGTGCTGGTTCCAACTTTTCATTCATGTTTGCCACCTTGAAACGATAGAAATATTTTAATGTTAAAGAAATTTCAAAGATAACATAAACAACATTAAATTTCTTTGTTCTCAAAACATTGTTCCAGGCAGATATTTTGCACAGCAGATGCAAAGCCGACCATTCTCTAAAGTTGTGCTTTTCTCCTCATGCAAAACACTTGTTCAATTCAATATGCGATTATGTTATTGCATGGGACAAAAAAAATCTACTTGCCTGTGTATTTGTCTAGAAAAATAATACAGTAGATTGAATTCAAAATTAAAAATATATTTTAGTGGCTTCTTCAACGCAGAAACCCAAATAGTGCAATATTAGACCCAGCTGTGAACGCTGTTTGTTGTGGTCAACCTCTTTAAACGAACCAAATTAAAGAGTCAGACAGCCTTTGGATTGTGCACCCTCTTAACCAATCGATTTAACATCGTGCATGCATGGCGTTCGTATGATGATCGGTGTATGTCGTAATGACCTGTATTGCTCAGTATACCACAGAAGCCATCATTGCTCTTTGAGATGTTCTCCACTTGTATTTTGTATTAACAATTCAATATATCTAACAAAAATCAAGAAGTCACCACGTTCTCTTTAGAACATTTGTAATTTCAAACATTTCGAAGTACGAGTTATTTCATTATCGTCCGTCTTTCGGCTTCTCTTTTAATTTTGTGTGTGTATTTAGCCGCGGCCAAACAAACATGCCCATGCAAACAACATGTAATATGCCTTTTTCTTAATTGCTTTGTTCACATGCTGTTAAATACTCAATTATGCATGCAACGACAGTTTCTCGGGATGCTTTGAAATTATGAAATATAATTTTACCATTTTTTATTGTTAAAACTACTTCATACAATTTATAACTCAATGGGACCTCTGCAAATATAGGATCATTTTGTTATATATTCCGTTGACTTATTAAGTTATATAGCTATATGATAATAATAAGACTTTCACGTTATGCAGTTTAAAATGAATTAATATCATAATTGAAATATTGTTATATTTATTGAACGAGTATTGCAAGGCTTGTCTCATATTTAATTATTCATTTTTCTCATTTCTTAAATGAAACAAGAACTTACTTAACTGCCTCACAATTTTAAATGAAAAATCGTCACTCGTCAGTATATGTAACATATACTCACATTCAGTGTTAAATCCCAACATGAACGGAAACAGGCTATATACTTATGTATATATACTTACTTTTTAATAATCCTTCAAAAAGTCACACTAAAACGTGCGTCTTTCTACTAGTACGTCAGTCTACTTTAAAAATATCATCAAAAACCATGCATGTGCTACGGCGTGGAGATAAATGTATATTGCGTGAGTGATATATACTATATAGATACAGTAATTAAATTATTTATACCACGGAAACTGCTTATAGGAATATAATAAATGAAGTTCAGGGTGGCATTATCATCATCTATACATACACATGATGCAACGTTTTGATTATGATATCTTTCCCATTTCTGCATGATCTAGTCTTATTGCTGTTGAAATATTTAACCCATGCATGCAGGGCCAAGAGCTGTTTAATTTCACGACTTCACGTCTCTAGCTAATGTTAGCAATTATCTAAGTATAAAAAGACATGCAGGCAGGCTACTTGAATTGCACTTCAATATTATATGTCATTCGTACCTTTTGAGAAATGAGCACTTATATAGCTTCTGAAAAAAAATGAGCGACATAACATATTAACTTCGCAATTGAAGACAATTATTTTGATTCCTAGCGTATTTCATTGTGGTAATAGCTGATTATATCATGCATGCCTTGCTTAGAAAGTTGATTGCTATCACGACTGTAGTGTTTTCGATAACAATATGTTTTTTTAGCGTTATTGACTGTGTCAGTTTTGTATAGAAACGGAAATAAATTCTCCTACGCCAGGTCACGTCCAATGCATATCAACTTGTATTGTGAAATAAAGTTCGACACATATATCAACGTTACAATATTGTCATTGAGATGTCAGCATTTTTTCTATTTTATACTTTATTAACTGGGAAATTATAAGCGATGTTAAATTCACGATTAAGGTTTAAATGTAAATGTTTAATATAGATAATATTAATATAATCCTCTGCATGCATAATGCTTAATAATAATAGCAGAAAGGTTCAACCTTATTGATTTACTTTCCCTTATGTATTTATATAACCGCGTTAATAAAAACACGCGAAAAATTTATGTCCAGTTAGATATATTAGCACTAATACTGGCTTAATCCCTTTCAATGTGTTAATTCGAGATATTTTTTTCCTATGACTTTCAGTAATCATATACATTTGCAAGTCAGATTAAAATATAGACCTCTAACTTTTAATGGTCCTTTTCCCATTAAGTTTAATTTAGGATTTTTGTATATAGACTAATCAACACAGGTGTGCCATGTTTCTATATACAGTTCAACTATTATATTTATTTTAACAAAGAATTCTTTTTCAAATTGCGTGGTCAAGGTCATGCTGGGAATTTGTTGAATAACAAATAACAAGAATTCGTTCGTGCATGCATGATATTGAATTAAACATGAGGATTTGAATGTTACCTCAACTCCAGAGAATAACAATGCATGTTTTATATCATTTTCGTTCATTCCTCGAGATATATATGTATAGCTTTCATGTATATGCAGTTATACCTACACCATACCATGTACCATATTTCACTTTTTCTGGCGCAGTTATTGCACAGAAACCATTGAAGACACTGCAAACTACGTCACTAGGATAACTACAAACATGTTTCTGATCTTGCCAAATCCAAGCAGTACTGATTTCACCAGTTCAACCGCTATTTTATTTTACCTTTTGACCATGATCGACATAACTGCCTAGCCATATTTATCACTAGTTTATTGTTAGACCATAAATTTATTTCTCTCTTCGAAATATACATCTATGAGCAGCGGTTGAAGATAAAAGCATTCGAAACTATTCAAAATATGTGCTGTTGCTAGTCTTCAAGTCAGGCTTCAATTTTAAAATTTACGATGTCTCGATTCCAGTCAAGAATTATACCCTCATTTGTCAACCCAAAGATGGAATCAAGTCGTTATATTTAATTCTTTGTTATATTTAAGACTTCGTCATTCCTAGAAATACTGTATGACTACATGTATGTATAGTTAAACAACTGTTTAGTGTGCATGTTACCTTGTAGCTCGCTTCAGTTCACCATTCAACCAGTTATCATATAATTTCTATAAAATTGTATCGCTTTGCAGTTTGTCGTTCGCTTTGAAAGGCAGGCCAATATAACACATCGTCTGGAGCACTTAATGTCAGAGACTAACGCGGCTACATCGAGGACCATGATTTAATAATTCAACTCTCTGAATATAATCAGCTATAATTATCTGTTTGCCGATTTATCGCCGTTCATTTCCTAATTACGTTAATTAAAAAAAAATATATATATACATATATAATTTTCATATATAATAATATATATATTATATATATATATATATATATATTTATTTCACATATTAGACAAATTATCCATTCTGAATGATTTATGAACGTCGTATAACCATATACTGAACATAACATTGTAATTACTCTGCGTAAATTTCTACTTTATAATAGTGTAAATTTCTAGCTTTTATTGTGCATGTTTACATTTTTCGTAGATTTTTGATTATTTGACAGTGGAAATTACTAACTAATTACTAATTACTGCTTGATTATATGTGCTCATCCTACTACAAGACTATATTCAGTTGGTGTTTACTCTAGTATTGCTTTTGTCATATTAAATGACTTCCCAAATCCGTCTTTGTAATCTCCACTACTTTTAGAAAGGGATCGTGTAGGTTTTTTTACAAATGGTCCACACCGTAGAAAAGAAAAGGCATAAAAAAATGCCTGGCGATATCTTTTTAGTCGGTAGGCGTATATTATCGGATTTACAATAAAGTTAAGTAGTTCAACGGGGTAGAAATAGATGATAAACTTTCGAATAACGTCTTTTGTTTTGTCGCTCAATGAAGTTATGCGAAGTTGCGAGAGAATAAAGATCTGTGTTGCAACCATATATGGTAATACAGTGACGACAACCACTATGATCAATATAAGCACCACGATAGTCACATGATTGTTGATTTGTTGTTTGTATATATGTTTTCTTGTAACAATGGAGACATCGCGATCGCAGAAAAGATCTCCACGTTTACGTTGCTGCATTTTAAGTAGAACATAACCCTGGCTTAGTAAGAATACGATAACACACAGCTCATATATTATCGTCATTGCAAATTGTGATTCGGTTGTGTAAAGATTTACGAATACTCCGCAGATGATAGCAAAAAACCAGATGATAATAATAACGATGATCGTTCGTTTGACAGTAACGATGGATTTGGACATTAAGGGATAGTAAAATGCCAGAAATCTCTCGAGAGATAGAAACATTAATGACATTAATGATGCTTCAATAGTTGTCCAGATCATTGATATTTGGAAAGATTCAATTGGCTCGTAACCAGAGGCGAGGAGCAAAACTGCAACACCTGAAAATATTAAAAGATCACAAGTTTAAAGGGCTTAATTTGTAACAACTGCACGGCTTATACACTGCTTGCAGGAAGTCATGATGGCAGTTGAACAATAGAACAAGGTCAAGGGAAATAAGAGGGAGTGAATTTGTTTTTCTGTGTTTTCCGGTGCATATGCAAAGTTGATGAAGACATCATGCCGCGGTCATGGCGGTCGACGTCTCAATTACCTGTAAGGCAGTCAGCCAAGGCAAGATTTCCAATCACATAACATGTTCCTACTCGGAATTCGGGTGTCTTGTTTCTCCAAAATACGAACAATAAAACTCCGTTGAAAAGTATTCCAAGTGAACCTTGAATAGCCAGGATGTTGGAGTACCAATCTGGATAGTCCATGCCTATGGGAGTCGTATCGTTGCTGATATTAGATGCTACCATATCTTTTTTGTTGATGTGGAATTGCTATTTTACACTGCCTAAATATTTATTCTTTCTCTTTTGAAGGTATAGCTTTAGAGTAAAATGTAATATTGGACCATTCGAACGAAACCAAACCAGCCAGAATCACGCGTTGAAATATTATCACGTAGCTGTAAAAATTACGTAATTAGATATATTAGCCTAGCTTATTATCAGATGTTTGAGATGTTTGGTCGTTGGGAAGATGAAACATTGATACTTTCTACAGGTTTTGTTACAGTATATATGATTTTGTGATGAAACTGGCTTCATGCATTATCAATGACGCTGAGCAAAAGGTCTGCATATGAAAGATGAAGAACTGTTGTATTTAATTGGCGGGGGAGTTTAATGACAGCTTGAATCGTCAAATACTGATGCATGGCAACACGTTTTTGAGATATCACGCGATTCAAGGTGATAATTTCACCTTGTATTTTACACCCAAACGTCTCACTCTGCAGTCTAAACAAAAACAGAATGAGCAGGAACACTAATAAAAGAAATTTCACATATACGATAATGGCGTTATCCCTCATTTTGTAATTTATCGACAGTCTCGGTAACTTACATTTTTATTACAACAACTGATAACTATATGCAAGAGTAACTGATTCTGATGTTTACTTGTATTGATCATTGTTGTTGTAAACATGACTAATACGACCTCACATGCACAAGCAATCTGCTGAGACTTACGAGTTACGTGTTATATAACATTATTCCATTGAGCACGGAAGTACGTAATAACATCTCTGTCTCTTATATTATTTATATAATTCATATATGTAGGTGTAAAATCCGACAGTTTTATATAAATAGCATTGTTTTAGATATATATTTTTTCAATATAACATGCTTTCTCTATATATATAAAACAGTATATTTATTGGAAGTAGCTATTACTGTTTGTTACTAACTTATTCGGTCTACATTCGGCCTAGTTCAGAGTTTAAGACTAAGACAAGACAAAGACAAGCAATATTTAAGAATTTGTCAAATTCTGTTTTAGGAGAAACCTTATTACGATTGCATAGGGTGAAATGAGGAATGTGGAAATTATAGCGAATATATAAGCATTGATGAATTGGCATTGTTCTAGTTTCGACGTTATTTGGTGAAAACTTTAAGTAGCGAGTCAATGTCACAGATCATTGGCAAAATATTCCGGTAGCAAAGATTCATGCTAAATTTTAATGAAACTATTAAGCTGGAGTATTATGTGGGATAAGCTGAATAACACACGCCTTAGCATCCATTAGTCATTAGATATTAAACATTAGATAAAACTTGATAGGGATTAGCTTAATAGAGGACTTCCATCAAAGACCCACCTTTTCATAATTATATTTGAGTTGAACTATACAATTACACTATGACTCCAGGTCATATTTGACATGCAGCCTGTAATCTTATATTGCCTCATTGATATAGAGTCAATATTTCATGACAGAACCTTCTATATATGTATATATATATTTATATAAAAAGTACCCCGAAACAGCTTTATTCGAACTAGCTGGAGATTATAGTCTTCGAAGAAAGAAGCAGTAGAGGATCGTAGAGACCACAATTACAATATATTAGCCATTTATATGTCTCGTATATACCGTTTTACTCCTTACCTTCGATCGGGCCTTCCAATGATGGATTTAGGTAATATTTTCTTGTTACTCTCAACTAATGGTTGTCATTCTTCAGTGTATGCCATGCTAAGTATTTCAAGTGATATACAGATTGAAGTCAATTATCTGATTGTTAACTATATGTATGATATTTTCACGTAGTTTTAGATAATTTTTTGATGCAGTGATGTGCGACCAGTGAAACACACATCGTACACGTGCATCCTAAAATATCTATTTTCCCCGTGAATATTTTCAACATGCGTTGCTTTCTCTTCAAGTTCGAAACACTATTCCGACGTTTTAAAGGAAGCTTCAGTGAAGTGCTATAAGTATTTAATTTAAACTGATGTTTTGCGATTGGTTTTCTGATAATAAAGACGATTGTATGATTAGTATTCTGTTCAAAGGAGATTTTTACATTTATCTTGTGTTTTATAGCACTAGAACTAACCAATCACAAACCTTTTTTAAGGCTTCACCCTCAATGAAAGAGCTTGTATTATATATAAGAATTGACATAGCTAACTCTGCTGACGATGGCCCTCAGGTCGAAACGTCTAGAAGTGTTTTGTCTATTTTAGGTAGTTGTTATATATACCACATTTGATCCTAAGTTGTTTGAAGATGCTGCCACGCTGCTCCCTGGTTATATTGGAACGTATATCTAAGAATTGACATGCCAAATACGTGGGCAACTTGGGCAAGCAAGCTGTATTGACAGATACTTCTGCGTCAAGTGAAGGTAGATTTCCTGTGTACACGTGGCTATATACTTATGTGATTCTATATTCAAATCTGCTTGATAAGACCTACACGCGGATATACAATATTTATTAGCAATCAGATAAATGTTCTCATGCAAACGACATAGAGATATTGATTGAACAGTTTTAATGAAAACATCAAAGGTTGATACAAAAGTGTAGAGACATAGTTTGCTGGTAAAAACAATTATGAAATGGAGCTTGATTTTTAAACGTCATCGTGGGTGTTTATTGTTACCGCGTGGCGTTTTAGACTTAGTCCCTTTCTTTTTTATCTATATATCACCTTATAATAATTGATGTATTTCATATGAAACGTGATGACATAAACTGGAGTCATCTTCGAAACTCAGTCGTGGGTCGGAGTTCGAACGTTTTTATAAAATTAATACAAAAAAGGAATTATCGGCGCTTCCAAGGGCATATTAAATTAAACGACATATTGACTTAACAGCGAGCAATAATTTTCAATTAGGAACAACTAGTCGTAGACGCAATTATAAAGAGATCGCAACTCGCAAGGTTGTAAATTGACTCCACAATCGATATGGCAAATTAACTTTCATCTTTACTGATGCCAAATTCTGAGTAATAACTTTTTATTTATTAGCAGTTTTTTTTCGTACCAAATGTATATATCATATAGTGCTTGCTCATAGAAATATAAACAATTTTTATCTAAAAACATACTAGAAAAAATATGCTCTCAAGAATAACATTTCGTGAACTCAAGTTTCAAGATAGGAGCTATTGACAACAAGGACATATTTTAAGTACATATTTCTTGATGTTTAGAAGCACGCTGTCATGCAGGGAAGACAGCTAACAGTGCTAAATTCAGTGTAACGTGCATGAAAATGTTTGGCCATCTGCGCTGAGAACGTAACAACTGTTGCCTAGGTGTTTAAGTGTTTTTTTTCTCCCAAATACTTGCGCGATCCACACCCCAAATCATCAGTTAAAATGCTTTGATAAAAACTTTCGCAGTATGATTCGAGAAAATTAAGAAAAGCCTACCACAAAATAATAGTTTTTGATGATAATAAACCACGGTGAAAGTGTAGAGTTATTTTATAACTCCATATCTTCTTAAAACAAACATGGCATAGAATAGGAATAATTTTTATTAAAATTTATGCATTGTATTTTTTTCTAAGATCAATTGTGTATTCGTAGGCTAGCTGAAATAACAACTTTACACAGTTACTAATTTAGCGAGTAGTACTGTTTCAGTTCACATTCTTACGTCGAAATTCAGTGCCATAACCATTTATTGTTCTTTCCTCGGTTCTTCCTACCAGACACTCTCAAGAAAAAACCTTTCTTTACTGACATAGGAATAAGGAATTGTATTGCAAAATATCACAATGCGACGAAGTAATTTTTATGAAAATAATCATTTTTCTTTTGGACCACAGGTATAAATTTTTGTCCTGGTTCTTGCGCAAATATTATGGTTCAGAAGATATGAATTAAATTACGTTGGATGAAACATGTCAATTTAAAAATTATTTTTGAATAAACTCACTTTTCACTCAACTTTGTAAAATATCAGCTAACGTAAGACAGTAAGTTATAGGATTGCCCCAGATTATATGAATGCTTATTGTCACTTACCTTTCCAATCAATATGATTCCTGAGAACTTCAGGCCAGTTACACAACACTGTTGAACTTAAATCCAATTTTAAGGCAATCTTGTTTCGTTTATGTATATATTGTTTAAGAGACGCACAGCAGGTGGGTGGCCTTGCAATAAATGTTTAATATAGCTTAAAACTTTTTAAATATGTTAATTGAACATTTACTTTCAATTTGTATTGACATTTTAAACTTAAACTTGGAACTAAATTACTGTAAGGATGGAAGGACCTCCGGTGATTGCTATCTACGCCGAATCCACGGACATTCGCATAAGAGAGCACAGATTGAAGTGATTGTAGGAATGCCTTCCCATCCTAAGTGATAACTTAAATTATATCCCACAGTGTGCAGCGTGTCAATATTTGTGATTGTGAAGAACTAATTCAACTATGATATTTGTCATCTTTGGACATGCACACGTGCACGATCCTCTAACGAGGAAACGGGGGTCCTGGGATAATTCAAAGTGATTCGAACCAATCCAACAACGAAACCAACAACCAATCAAAATCATTTTGATTTAAGAGTCTTCGTTTCCTCGCTAGAGGAACGAGATGCCATGCAAGCACAACCACGCATTCAACACACGATCCTCGACTGTCCCTCGACGAACTTCTCGTTTTTCAATGTCCTCATTCTATCCCCAGTTCCCTTTGGAAGCGCACTTGTAGCACGAAGTTTTACTGTAATCAGTTTGACTTTGAGAGGCAGTTTTGTGCTTTTACTTTATTTTGCATGAAAATGAAAATATCTGTAACATTTGAGGATAATTTATATCCATTGGATATAAGCGAAGACTCCGAAATCGAAGTTTTAAAGGCCTCACTTGAATTTGAAAGTGGTATACCAACGTCTGAATTTGCGATCTATCACAATGGCGTCCAGTTGAGAGAAATTAAAAAGTCCTTAAAAGATTACGGTGTTAAAAATGACGATATGCTTGTGATGGCAAAGAAAATGATGGAAAGACCACCTCCTCGTAACCAGAATAGAGGAAATACAGGTTCGAAAAAAATTCGTAACACAACTTTGATTAGTCAGCAAATATTTCAGCTATCATTTTCAATCCCCCCTTCCTCCACCTCCTCTTCCTCACCTCCTTCATCCCCACAGCTCTACCACCTTCCTCCATTGCTCCACCACCTTCCTCCACAGCTCCACCACCTTCCTCCATCGCTCCACCACCTTCCTCTATCGCTCCACCACCTTTCTCCATCGCTCCACCACCTTCTTCTATCGCTCCACCACCTTCCTCTATCACTCCACCACCTTTCTCCAGGGCTCCACCTCTTTCCTCCACGGCTCCACCTCCTTCCTCCACGTCCCCACTACCTTCCTCCCCTGCAGCTCCACCACCTTCCCCCACAGCTCCACCACCTCATTGGCATTACTAATTTCCATCCAAATAAATAAATGCTGCTGTGGTATTGCAGCCTTAAATAGCCCTCTTTTGTCTATCTTGCTTGCAAATTGCCTACATTCTTAGCAAATTTTGGTTAATTCATTAATATGTACTTATGCTAAAATTGTAGCTGGTTCATTTGATTGGGGGAGTATCAGAGTTCCAGGTACAGCATCTTCAACCACATCATTTCCAAGTAATAGAACAGCTGCACCAGGACAACTTGGTAATATTGATCCACTGGTTTTCCGTGAAATGCTCTTGAATGATGTGTACCAGAGATCAGCAATGCGGGAGAGAAACCCACCTTTATCAGAAGCATTAGAGAGCGGTGATCCAGAACGATTTGTGGCAGTATTTAATCAACAAAAAAAAGCAAGGGATGAACATGAAGCATTACGAAGAAGAATGATTCAGGCAGATCCTTTGGACATTGAAGCCCAACAAAAAATTGCTGAGGAAATACAGCTAACTAATATCAATTCAAATATGGAAACGGCTATGGAATTCACACCAGAGTCATTTGGCCAAGTGACTATGTTATACATCAATTGTTTAGTAAATGGGCAAGCTGTTAAAGCATTTATAGATTCTGGTGCTCAAATGACTATCATGAGCGTTGCATGTGCTGAACGGTGTAATATTATGAGGCTTGTAGATAGAAGATGGGCTGGTTTAGCAAAAGGTGTAGGGACACAGAAGATTATTGGTCGTGTACATATGGCACAAATTCAAATTGAGAATGATTTCTTGGTCTCGGCATTTTCTGTGTTGGAATCACAGCCAATGGATATGCTTTTAGGATTAGATATGCTCAAAAGACATCAGGTATAATTGACTGGCACAAAAACATTTAAGAAACGAATGTGACACATATTTATATTTACTTGTTTGTATTTATTTTAGTGTTCTATAGATCTGAAAGAAAATTTGTTAAAAATTGGAACAACAGGCACTGTGACAAAATTTCTGCCAGAATCTGAGTTGCCTGAATGTGCCAGATTGTCAGGAAATGCAAGCCAAGAGTTAGAAGATCAAAACTTGGCTGAGGCTTTACAAAGATCAGTACAAGATGCTCCAGTGACCCCAGCTGCACCATCAGGTGGTGAGCCCAGGTCAAGGTGAGTATTGATGTGTTTCTGCTGCATAACTTGTCTGAATTGTTCAGTTGAGATTGTTAATAAAAATATTATCTTTAATAGCCTGGAACCATTCTTAACCTCTCTTAATCCACCAAGCAATGTATCAGAGGCAGATATTCAACGTCTTGTAAATATGGGATTTAAACGGGAAGACATTATTAAAGAACTGGAAAAGAATGGGGGAGATATTCAAAAAACAACAACAGTCCTTTTAGCAAGATCCTTAAAACTTCAAAAATGATGAAAAAAGTGCACAAGGATTTTTGGTCTGTTTTAAATAAAGTTTTGGGAAGACTACAAACTAAAGTCCATAATTTGAACATAAAATAAGCACGTTATAGACAGGGGGACAATGATCTTCTTTTTTTTCAAACGACCGCTGATCATTTTGTCACTGGGCGGTGCCTCTCTTTCACTCTCTGTGCACTCTTCTTTGAATATAGAAATTCCATGATGAACTACCCTCCCTGGAACACCATTTTTATTCGCAATACCATTTAGAAATTGAGGACTTCGACAGGGGGGTAAAATGTAAAACCTAATTTTCGAGCATCAAGTGAATTTGGAACATGGCGTCTGTTTATTTATCTAGTAAACTATTTCTTGTTTTTGTTATATATTATCAAATTGTATATAGTGAAGATGATTATTATAGTATACTAGGACTTAGAAGAAACGCTGACAGTGAAGAAATTAGACGTGCTTATAGGCAATTGGCTAAAGAGTGGTATGTCATTCATTTCAATCATTTGTATTGTAGATTTGTAGGAGTAGGGGACATACGATATAATTCATACAAAGAACTTTGAGAACATGGTTTCTTTATGATTTATATTTATTTGAAATGAATAAAAGTATTTGATAACATTCATCAAGAACATCAGCTATTTATCTGCAGTGTTTGATGAAGCCAGGCAAACGCAAAAGAACCGTTTACAGGTGTTCAGTTTTCTTACTTCTGTTTTCGTATTAAATACCTAATGAGTCGACAGGTTTCATCAAGAATGAGTTGAGTGCAAGTCACCTCAAATGCTCCGATAACTAAGCTGCACTGGGAGTGACTACATGATACAAAATTTACTTTCAAGCATAAAGCCTTTTCTGATTGCATATAAACAGTAATTGACTTGTGATTTGTAGTTTAAAAACAAATACATAAAACAACTAGCAAAAATTGTTTTTATAAATATCATCCTGCATTCTTTCATAGGCATCCTGACAAAAATACCAGGTCTGATGCGCAAGAAACATTTATAAAAATTAACAAAGCATACGAGGTACTTCTGATTCTGTAGAACTTCACAGATTCGTGTATCCATAATAATTATCCATAACATGATTTTAAAAAAGTTTCTAAAATGTTTTAAAAGACGTTATCTGACCCAAAGAAAAGAGAAGGTTATGACAGATATGGAGAAGCTGGACCCACCAGCCACCATGAAGAAGAGTTTGAATTTTTCCAGGATGCTGGGTTTATGTTCTTCAATGGAATGCCTTATCAGAGTCGACATGAAGATTTCATAACATTCAACTTTTTTGAAAAAACTATTTTACCAGAGAGTTATAAGAAGTTGTATTTACTTCAGATTGTATCTAATTGGTGTGTGAGTTGTGAGTATGATCAATAATATTAAACAATTGTTAAATCTCTAAAATACGGAAAAAATGCTGTATTACAGTTAGTTTTAATCAGGAGAAACTTTTGTTACATAAAATATCATTTCACATCTTCTTATCACAGGTGAAGCAGTGGAAGAGATATGGGATTATACTGCAAGAGATTTAAAAAATCATGGAATAGGAACTGGCAATGTAAATAGAAACATGGATCCTCAATTAGCAAAATTCCTTGGTGTTAGAAAACTCCCAGATTTTGTTGCTGTTATTAGCGGAAAATTGTACCACTATACTGGAACTGTTAGTGTTCAAAATTTAAAGAATTTTGTTAGTGGGATATTCTCAAAACACCATTACATACCAGAGGTATTTAACCCTACTTCATAATTTAAATTGATTGGAAATTGCTTAGAAAATTATAAGTTGTATGATGTACCATAAATCTTTCTTTTTAGGTAACAAATTCTAATTGCAAAGAATTTCTTAGCAACTGGTATGACAACAAGCCTAGAGCTTTACTGTTTACAACAAAGAAGGAGGCACCACTCTTACTGAAGATTGTTGCATTCAAGTATCAAAATTATGTTGGTGTTGGTTACGCTCAAGCATCTAAATCAGAGAATAATGAAATGAGGGCAAGATACCAAGCATCGAAATACGAACCTACGTTTATGATATTCAAAGAAAATATTTCAAAATCTCATGTCTTACTCCAGGTAAAGTAGAATATTAAAATTTATCAATAAAGACAGATCCAGACAGTTAATAGTGTATATGTGTGCTTTGATCAAACCTGAAAATAACGTGGATTGTTTTTAGGCTTCAGATTTAAAGTATGGTGTATTAGATGTGACCATTTCTGATAATTTATATCTTCAATACCCACGTCTTTCTTCACAAGAAATGTTTGAGACTCTCTGTCCTGCTGAACGATCAGTTTTAAGAAGAAGGTGAATATTTATTCATTCAGATTTCAGGAGATCGACTGTCAGTGATAAAGATCAGTTCAGTTGTTTTAATGAATTATTACGAAAATCACGGAGTTTAGTTGTTCTTGTACAAGAAAATCTTAATTACTATATCTTTTTTCTTCGAAGTTTATGTGTAATCCTGTTCACAAACTCAGCGCCAATCATTCAACACTCATTACCCAGTATGTCCAAAGACGTTTTATGGAAAAAGAAGAGAGTTCGTTTTGTTTACGTCAACCCAGACGTACAACAGGCATTTGAAAGTGCCATTAAAATGAACGAAAAGTCGAGGACTATTTGTAGAAATAAACTCATGTCCAAAAGGGTTCGTAATTCTAATATTATGACCTCATGTAATAATTTTGGTGTTCATTTAGTTCTCAAATTAATGAACTAATTATAATGATTCTAAATTTATCTGAATTTAAGGTTGCTATATTATGGCGTATAAAAGATAATGAAGTGAAATATACTTGGTTTGAAGACGGATGGTGTGGGCCAAAAGACGTCGTTCGTCTTACTAACGTTTTAAATGATATAAAAGAGGAGGATGTTGAATTAGAGATGAGCGCTGTAGTGCCTGAGTTCTACAATGAACATGCTAAGGTACTTGTCTATATTATAATTATACGATTCCCAGTTCCCACATCAGGGTAAAACCACTCTCAAGATTAAAATTGACGTTTCATTTAACACAGAATGTTCAGACACGAGTGTCAGATTTATGGTCTGATCTGGTCTATTATACCTTCCATTACATTAACTGGTAAGATGATGTGTTCTATGTGAAGTTGGTGTAGTATTCATGGTTTAATTGCGTGTAATTTTTCAGGTCCGGTCACTTACCAGCGTTATCGTTGGCTATTACTTTTGGTTTTGCTTTTCTTATCAGTTTTGCATTCCCTTCTATGACGTAAGTTGTTAATTTAAGTCAATGCCAATAGTTATCAACTGTGTTATCATCGTAATCTTATAAATAGCTTAGATATATGTATTTCTGCTTGTTGCCAGTGAAAAAGACACAACAAAATCAAATGAATCGCGGAACGTAAAAGAACTGTATGGATTAGCTCATTTAAATTCTGCTACTCAAGATAAACTTTTGCACAGGTGTCCACAAGGACAGCTGGTTATCGTTCTTCTATCAGATGCCACCTCCGTATCTGAGGCTGAACTCTCGCCAGTTGTGCAGGCGTTTGCTCATGCGAGTCGTTCTTATCAAACGTGAGTAGTAACGTAATCTATTAACAATGATAATATATCATCACTCGTCAAGTATGTGCATATGTACATATAATAAATTTGATGTTACTTCACTCTCCTGTTGTTTAATAACAATAGTTCGTTTTTTAGAGAGAAAAATTTAACATTTGGCTGGTTATCTATCCCAGAACACATTGCGTGGTGTAACGAAGTAATGAAAGTTCAGACATTCGGGGAGATTACGGCTGGTACTGTTCTTGCATTAAATGGAGCTAAGAAATATCTTTCTATTTTTAAAATTAAAAAAGCAATTGCACAGGACGCAGGGAATGTGTTTGATGACTCGGAGGAAGACGAAAGCTCGCCGATGTGTCACCGAGATCACAACGACAGTTCAAAGATGGTGTTCCGAGAGGATAGGCGAACGCAAAAACAAACTGCTACCGCGCTTGCGCAACAATTTCCGAGGTGGATTGAGAAACTATTAGAAGGAATGGTGACGCGAGTTAAGATAGACTGTTGGCCTAGGCTTGAGTGCGATCAATAAATTTATTTTATTACTCTGTTTTATCTACAACATATTATTACATTTAAACTTTTTATTCACAGGATTTCTTTGTTCGTATCTTTAAATGTTATTTCTTGAATTGTACCACTTTCTTTGTGATGGTCGTTTTACTTATATCTCAAATCTTCATTTTCTATCCATTTTACTTTTCGCTCTTTTCTGCTTAGCATTCACCTTAACATGACAGTATGCTGGTTGTAAGAGTGAGCCAAGAAACGGAGGATTGGTAACTTCTTTAACGATGACGACATAATCTCCTTAATTAAGAAATAGAAATTATGGATATTGTTAACACGGATATCATCAGCCATGATTTTGACGCGAAAATTTTCTCAATGATAATTAAACCTGGTTTGCAGAATTTTGCTTTTTCTTCATGGTTGTGTTTTTCATCTTTCTTTTCTTTTTTGCGTCTTCCTTCTTTTATTTCTGTCATGTCAGTTAAGCTGTGTTGAACACTCCCCTTTTTACTGCTTCGCTTTGACCTTTAAAACATTTAACAATTTCAGTCTTAACTTAGGTTACGCTGTTTATAGTTCAGCCAGATATTAAAACTGGACGTACTTTTGTCCTTGACTTGATCGACCATCCAGAATTTCTCTATCCTCAAATGTTAAAGAATAAGTACGAGAACAAGGCGGAAGGTAAAGATTTTCAAATGTAGCGCGGCCGTTGACTGTACGAATTGTCGGGACTATTGGAAATAAATATCCCTGTGAACTACTGCTCATACCTGAAACAAAGAAATTTGATGTTTATTCCAGAGGTTTGGTCAGTATAGTGTTGTGTTTTGACGACTGAACGCTCTCAAAGAAAATACGATCTGTACTCTCTTACCCTCTGGTGCTCCCTCACCATCCGTTGCCAATGAGGATGAATGACGTACACTGTCTGGCCTGGATGACATCAAATTACCAGCTGCTGTGGATGGAGGACTAAAATTTGTTTTAAAGTGGTCATCCTGGCCTGGTCGGTTCTATAGTGATAAAAAAGGAGGCGTTTCATATTAAGCCACGGAAACTCTCGTAAACTGGGTTAAATTTTCTGATGTTGGAACTACTCAATGGAAATGGCAATCACTTTTCAATAGTGGTCAGACTTTATCATGCAACAATAAAAAGGATATTTTCCTTACACAAAGGGACTTTTTTCTGCCAATAGTCCCAGAATAGACAATGACAGTTAGGCATTAAATTTCCACTAATTGACAAACTTTTCCAAACCTGTTCTGATGTGTTTTTGTCATCTGACTCCATTATTGGTGAAGGTGGATCATTTCTACCAAGAATGTTCAAAGGCTCGCAATCTGTGGGGATTTCTGTAAGTGGGTATGGTTCTGCATCAAAATCACTACATAAAGAAACATTTCTATATGTTACAATGTGGTGTTGAAATATTCTTTCAATTTCTCTAAACCAACAAAAGTAAATAAAACGGAAATTATAAGGAATTAGGATGAACTGTTGCATACAATGGAGTAGAAAAAATCTCATGTTCACTTGGCTTTCCATCAGTTGAAAAACGTTTATTTGAGACTTTGACACCAGCTGATATTTGGAGAAGACGACCATCATCTGAAATAAGCAGAGTGTCAGTATGTCATTATAGCCTGACAATAACTTGCAAACACTAGCTTACCATTAGCCACTTCACCATCAACAGTTTGACAGAATATCTCAATGCCAAAGGGTTTGTCTTGATCTATCTCAATCACATTTGATCCATTGAAAGCCAAAGTGAAAGCCTCAACTATTGGAACAATATAACAGTCAGTATGGAGAAATTCCAGACAAAATATCATGTTCAAACCTGATGCAAAGTTGAAACCATACAACTTACTGGCTGGTCTTCCAGCAACCCATATTCCTTCATATAGCACACCAGAAATGTGAACAATACTGCCCTGTCCATTGTAAGTGTCATCTCTCCACTGCCCCTATATCATGTTATCTCATTTAGTTAATGTTGGCCTGCATAAGATTGCAATGTCTAGATACATTCACCACATACATCATATATTGTTCCATCAGAATATTTCATTGTACCATGCCCTTGTTTCATCCCTTTCACCCATTCACCATCATATTGGTCACCATTACTACAATAAATAATATTCCACGATGCACAATTTATTAAAGAACTTTGTTCAAAATCTTTTAGAACACACAAACCTGTAAAGTTGATAGCCTCTCCCATGCTTTTTGTGTTGATAAAATGAACCTTTATAAACACTGCCATTTGCTTCTTTCATTTCACCTTCACCTGATTAAAAATCATCACATTTAAATCTGCAATATGATTATACTCCTCTAAGCTAATACGACTTACCTTCTCTTCTGTTATTTTGCCACCCTCCTTCATATTTATCACCATTTCCGTAAACCATTACACCAGTACCACACAGCTCACCACGTTCAAATTGCCCAGTATATGCATTCTTAGTATGTGCCCATGTTCTGTAACCATGACCAGTAATTTCACCATTTTTGAATGCTCCCTCATAAAAACTACCATCTGCCATCATTAATCGACCATGACCTTGGATTGGAAGAAAAATTAATGGTAAGACTCATTGTAAGACAAGCTTCAAACTGCCACAGCCAGGTCATAACACTAAGAATTGTAGACTGCCACAGTTGACATGTGATAGTTGACATGTGATATACCCAAGTTTACAAAAGAACATTTCAAAGGCTTTCATCAGTTTCATGAACTATTTTCTATTGGTACTAGTACACACCATTTTTCTGGCCTTCTTTCCATTCACCTTCGTAACGGAAGAACTTGTTTGGATAATGATAAACGCCAAAACCTAAATAAGAATACATTTGTACAAGATGTGATGATTGCAATCTATGAAAACCATTAATTATGGTGTTTACTCATAGTAGTTTCCAAAATCCAAATACGTACCATCTCGAATCTGCCCTTTTGTTTCACCCACATAGCTTCCGATTGCCTTTGCTGTTGTGTTTGTAACAGCAGTAGCCATATTTGAATATATTATTAATATTTCAGTGGAAGATTTAGACAAGAAGATACTGAAAGCCCCGTAAAAACCACTTTAGCAATTTTAGCCGCCATATTTACGTAACCAAGGCAACGCTTGCAAAATTTCCTATCCTGGAAATTTCTTTCAATTTTTTGATAATTCAGGTGGAAGCTCGACCATAAGACCCCCAGCAAAGTTACACGAGGTCTTTTCGCTTTATTAAAAATCAGCGCTTCGAAATGGGTCAGGTATGTGCTCGAAAAAATCATATTTCTTGCCTTTGAGGAAGCTATTTTTAGCTAATTCGCGTAAAGGCATAAGGTTAAAACATTGCTAGGATAAAATATCGAAGAAAAATGAGTTATTTCCTTCTTTTTGGTGTATTCATCGCAAAGATGACTCATCGTTCGGGTAAAGCTTGACAAAACAACATTGGCTAAACTGCCATTGGCCGCTTTTAAAACCATATCAAAGTATTTTCTCGTAAATTTTATTATATTTTCTACAAAACTACGGAAACAGTAATCGTTGAGATCTTAGAGTCCCTTTAATTAATGTGATTTTCTTCACTTTCTATGTGGAGAATGCAAGTAAATCTTTCCCCCCCCTGGCCCTGCCTGCATGGATAATGAATTTCACGGTATAAAAAAAAATTCAAAAAAATACTTTTTCAGAAAAAAAAGCAACAGAAGAAAAAGACTCAATTAAAATTTACCATCGATTGTACGCACCCAGTTGAAGATGGTATTTTGAAGGCTGTTGACCTGGTAAGTAATTTTCTGGCTCCATTTAGTTGATTTTAAAAGATTTGGGAAGTAAATACTATTTACTTAGGGCTATCTTCCCTAAGTATTTTCTCCCAATGATTATTTAGGCAGACTATATGAGAGGTCGTATAAAGGTCAATGGTAAGACTGGAAATTTGGAGAATAACATTGTGGTTGATTGCCTCAAATCAACTGTCTCCATTACTTCTGATGTTCCTTTTTCTAAGAGGTTAGTTTTAAATGTGTTTGTGGTTTCCTAAGAAAAAACTATAAATTTTAACCTCCATTGATCAAGGCCATGTTTATTAATCAATTTTTGGTCAAGTTTTGGAATAATGTGATGAAACTATTCCAATAAATGATCATTAGTGATTTATTACTACGGTTTCTGATTATTCCCATGCTGAGATACAGAGCAACAGGAGATTTTAGAACAATTAAAAAATTACTATCCTTTGGATAACACTATCCACTTCCATGCAACTGTCCCCAGAGTTTATTTTTAACCATGTCTTGTGCTAACAATTTTCCTCCCTTTTTAACAAAAGATATTTAAAGTATCTCACAAAGAAGTATCTGAAGAAGAACAATCTCCGTGATTGGTTGCGTGTGGTTGCATCTAGTCAGACTGCTTATGAATTGAGATACTTCCAGATTAACAATGAAGAAGAAGATGATGATGGTGACGAAGAATCATAAGAACTTTGTATTAATCTGCCTCATCTAGTAGAGAAACAATAAAAATTACATTGCAGTTGTGATATGTTGATATGTTTTTCTACTGTGATGAGATTTTTGGGGGGCTGGGGAGGTGTTGGTTGTAGGGTTGATTTTTCTGAGGGAGGGGAGCAGGCCAAAATATCTATGTTTTCTGCAGAACCATTCCAACCTGCTTGGAGTGAAGTATGGATGTTGGTACTTGGTAGGTTTGTTTTCTCTGTCTTTGTTTTGGCCCAATATTTCGAAAAAAAGACTGAAATATGCTGGTGTTTTTCTGTTTAGAGCTCAGTCACAGCTCAGTGCCTCTGGGCGGTTTGAAACACTGATTTGAAATAGTCAAATAGCGTACGCCATCGTCCATTAATAATTTATATGTAATATGGTGGGTTGCCCTCGGCGAACTAAAATTATAATTGTTCTTCCCCTCACTTTGACAATTATCGTATACACTGCATATAACGTTTATTTAGTTATTGCCATTCGTTTTGAACGAATAGAAATATGTGAAAAACTAAATCTTAGGTACAAGGATTGTGATTCTTTGAAAATTAACCCAAAACGTGAAATATTTCAAGAATTACTTAAAGAATGGGTTACAATAGCAAAGAGAAATAATATAAGCTATGTTCTATCGTCTGGTTCACTGTTGGGGCAGTACAGAAATGGAGATGTTATTCCCTGGGATATAGATGTTGATGTATTGCTGAGAGAAAGTTTGCTTTATAAACTCAAAGAAATCGCAACACCAAGGAATTTTGTACAAGGTGCTGACCAGGCATTTCATTTTGTGGTCCAACCGGAATATGGGATAAAAGTGCAATCACGGATGAGGCGTTGGAACTGTAATGGTCAGGTAATAAACTTTGTAACAGTATGTGAGGGTTTGGGGCTGGCAAATTATTTCGGTGACCTGACTCACAGAACAAGTTGGCCAACACAATAAAAAGTGGGAGGAGATGGCCCCCACCTCATATGCCCACAAGTGCACATTCTTACCCCTAATTACTTGATGTAATCTATTAATGATATATTTTTAATACAGACTTTATTTCCTTAGGTGGTCCATGGCCAGCCTGATCACTGTTCATTTGTGGGACCTATAGCACGTCTCATTAAAGGCTTTGACTTTGTTGATATTTTTGGACTCAAAGTTGAAGGAATCCTTGCTTATGAAGGTTATGAAAAAAAGTATTTCAGAGTTGATGATTTATTTCCTGCTAATGATTGCATCTTTATGGAGATTAAGACCAAATGCCCTCAAAACAGAAAGAAGGTATTGGAAACTTTTTTCCACTCAGTACAGCACCCTTGTGTTTGTGTAAATAAAACCTGGGAAGTTTATTCATGGTGGAAAATTTGATCTTAATTGCTTCATGCACATGCATAAGCTTCTATAACTTTGGATTCTTTATCAAGAAAATAGGTATTTGGCATAACAAAAATATATATTATCACCTTATTGAATCAGAATCACTTTACTATATTGCTTTTGTTTTTTTTATTGACTTGTAATATAATTTTATAAATACATATATTTATAGTTTGCTGTTAGGATTGTTCAAAGGCCATGGAGCACCTATAAAACAAAAGTAAAAACTTAACTGCTAGTCTGAGAGAGAGTATTCAAAGCATGATTTTGCATACCAATGCAATGAGCAATTAGATGAAAACGATCAGAACCAAAGAACATTTCCTTCTTGCCATTTTTATTTTCAACTAAAAATGTTGGGGAACCAAATGCCTTGAAATGAAAAAAAGAAAATGCATTAGAGTTCATCATCAATATCTGTTACTATACTGAATAAACTAAAATAAAGAATTACCCCATAGTCAAGTACTCTTTGAGTGGTTTCTTTTAGTTTCTCCTTAATTGTGGTTGTCTTTGATTCTTCAACTAACTGCTCCGAGTCAGCAACACTTAGGCCACATTTAACGCAAACCTATATAGATGAAATTATAATACAAATTCATATGTGTAACAAAAATAGGTTATCTTGTAAATGCTTCCAGGCAGCAGAAATATACATGCAAAGCATACCTCAACTAAACTCTCATGTGACACATGGTCTTCACCCTGACAATATAACATTGAAAATATCTCAATATTTCTTCATAACTATCAGCATCACATTAGACAAATAAGTTAATTTTGCCTAAGAAAGGATGTGATCAGAAAAGGTACAGCTGCTTAGACTAAATGGGTAACTAGTAAGTGCTCAATAAATATTCTATCTCTAGAGTATTTTGAGGTATAACAAAAGGACTTGCATTCTTACTGTTCTATATATTCTATTCCAAAATTCTCTGGAAAGGTCTTCAAGTTTGTTCGCATGAGATATTTTTGCAGCTGTTAATAATCTCATTGTAGGGATTGACCCTAAACCAGAACAACATAAAATTGAACATTGTTAAATTTCTCATGGTATAGCTTGCCAACGTCACCAACCTTTTACCATCAGGACATATGCTGGATCCTAAAATATACATTGAAATGTATGTAAACTTAAATAAAATATACCAGCAACAAAATCACTAGTCCTAATATCTAATAGATATACCTCAGGAAATTTAATATGTCCAAGATTGTGAAATTCAAATATCCGTTTAACATCTTTAAATAAGTATGCACCTTTCCTGGGATTCATACCTGGTGGGGTATTTTCTAAAGGAAATGGTGGCAAAATGTCATATACTCAGTAAAATATAATTAGTTTTGAAAGGTATCCAAAACTTAAAAGTCAAATTAGCAATAATCTTGTTGTTTTCTTACCAGATTCCTTCATGATACCAGCCAGTAACACTGGTTGAAGGTCTACATTTATGTTCCATACTGCACGACAACGTAGTAGCACCTGGACAATTACCATAAAAGATTGGGTGTGGTCGCTACTGGTTGTAATGGTATAGCAAGGTTATTGGCTCATAGGGTTAAAGTAAAAAATGTGGCATGAGAAAATTAACCCCAAGACCAGATTCACGTATGGCTTATTATGCCAGATGGATCGTTGATTTTATATAGAAGTTTCTAAACAGTTTCTGTCTGTACGTGTCACGTAACTCACGTTGTCTTAAGAAGTAAGAACCTTGTCATACTCATCAGGTTTACCTCAAATCCAATCCAAGAGTACGGAGAGAGAACATCATAAAATAGTTCTATAGTTTTTTTCAAGGTCATATTAGCTTTGCACCGTTGTACACTTGTACTTGTAGTATATAAAAGGGAAAGACTATAAGAAAAGCCGTCAGGATAAAGCACGCTACTAATTTCCATCGTTCAAAACTCTTGGCGACACAATCCGAAAATATGAGATCAAATCATCAAAAATCTTTTCAAAGTTGAAGGTTTTTGACATTTTTGTTTTCCTGTATTAAAAATAGATGAGATTTTCACATTTTGTATTAAAAACGAGAGATCTTAGCAGGGTTGGTGGTAAGATTATCCTAAAATATATTTATAAATCAAAGTCAAAAGTTAGCTATCATTGAAAGTGATAATGACAACACTTTTTTTTTGACAGGCACTCTTCACTTTAGATCAGCTCTTTCAAACTTGTCAACAAGCAAGAGCCCACTAATTGCTAATGATATCTTGGACAAATGTCAACATGCATTCATTCAAAGAATGGTGAAGTTATCATCTCGGCAGCAAGTACTTAATGAAAGGGCAACATTAGCTGGTGTATTGGTCCCATTTTGTAAAGTAAATGGTAAACCATCTATATTGTTCACAAAGCGTTCACATAAAATTGTTAGGAATAAGAGTGATGTATGTTTTCCTGGTGGGAAGATGGACAAAGATGTTGATAAAAATGTTGTTGAAACTGCATTAAGAGAAACAGTAGAAGAAATTGGTGTTTCAAAATCAGATATTCATGTATGGATTCAAATCAGACCAATCATTGCAACAAATGTAAGATTATTTTTGCTTCAATGATTGTCCAAAAAATGAATATTTATGATTGTTTCTCTTTCTTTTTTACTATAGGATGCTGCTATAAATATTGTACCAGTGTTTGGTTTCATCCAGAATTTGGATATTTCCAAGCTTATTATTGATCATAATGAGGTTGGTATTTAATTTTAGGGTACAATGTAGAGTTGAATGACTGGAGTCTTGAAAGATCCAATGCTTGATAATTTTTACTATTCCCTAGGTCACATCTGTTTTCACTGCAACATTGGAGGACTTATGTGACCCAAATAGACATGCTTATACCAAGTTTAGGAATGGCAGTGTCTTGCCATTGTTCTTCCAGGAGCCTTATAAAATCTGGGGATTTACAGCTGTTATTTTAGATCTTTGCCTTTCAAATCTTTTACCAAATATTTATTTTCCTAGGTTTATACCAAAAAAGCCAAAAGGCATTTAGATTTGTGAGTATTCTGATCATTCCCTAACTTTTCTTACAACTATATTGCTATTAGTGAGTGCCTTTCTGGTGCAGTGTTTCTATGTACATCACGTAAATAAAGATCCTTGTTCACTTGATGGGGATGTAATTTACTTGACCATCTTTGTGGGCTTGATTTCAAGGGTGTGACTCTCTTGCTTTGTGGTACAATTGGGGGTTGCTGATGAACATATGAAAGCTTGTATGTTGTTGCAAATTCACCAATGTTCTCCACTACTTCCTGCTCTTTCCATTTCTTTAAAAGCTTTTGATATAGTCCATAATTTGTTGGTGCCCCTAAAATATTGAAATGTATAATGTTATTATAACTACAGTGCAAGAAAAGGACACATGAAAATGCTGTGGTAGTACCTTGAATTGGGAAGTCTGATTTTTCCGGAACATAGGCAAGGACCTTTCCATCCCATTTTCTCAATGCTGGTAGTTTTGATTCTTTTTGCTCACGATTGTTGAATTGCTGATCATACCAGGAGATACAGTTACCTTCATAGTTCTTGTCATGATGAGAAAGAATGTAGCGTTTTCCTACGCCCTAGATGGTATAAATAGGTTGGAAACTAAGCTACATTTTTAACTACTACTTGAAACTTGTACTGTATGATTTAGTCATCAGTCATTTTACCTCATTTCTAATCACACTCTCTCTTCGAATGGTGGTGTCCGGTCTGAAATGTCCATAATTTTTGAAATCAGTCCTGTGTGTGCTGTTGTAGTGACTCCTACCACGTTCAAACTACAATTGACAAAGAAGGTTACAGTAATGGAGCGAAAATAAACGAGAAATGTTGCAATTAACACGTCAAATTGACAGCTTACTTTTCTACGCTCTTCATCCCAATTTCCAATGAGAACATTATTCGTATATTTAGATTCAATCCTCCATCCCGGTAATTTCCACTTTAGATCTGTTTCTGCAGCCATTATTCTTTCAAAAATAAATAACCTTATCGAAATTGGGTTTATAAATCTTCCTACAGACAATCTTGTCTATGTTATTTACAGTAGGTGCCATGGCAACAGTTACCATAGTTTCGGAATGACGTGCGCTGGGATTGTCCAACGTTGTCCAATGTTGTACCTGTGTGATCTATATTATCCCCTGTAAAGTGTTTATTTTTGTTTACTATTTACACTGCTGTTTACTCGTTCTATGCCTCCAGCGCTCTACAATGCATTGGACTTGTTTCCAGGCCCGTGATAATTTTCTTATGCGCATTTTTCACCGCGGTTAAATTAATAAATTTTAAAATTTACGTTTGTTTTTGGAATTTTACTCAACCATGTTAGAAGATCTGGTCAGTGGAAAAGAAAGAAGTAGATTTATTCTTGTGCATGGTGCGTTATTTTTTAGCAGTTTTAATAATTCATCGACATATTAAAATGTTTTATCATATTTATGTATAGAAAGTATATAATCTTCTATTTTTCAACTTCATGTTCTTCCCAGATAGTATCAATCATAGAGGCAACTGCATATTGAATTACATTACACAAGGATTACTTAAAAGGTATATGTAAATATTTGTCAACAGGTGCTAGTGCAATCTTTCTTCTATTGTGGGTGGCTGGTGTTCAAAAGATAGACATTGCAACAAATCTGGCATCTGATTGGTTGACACTGAAATGACGATTTGTACCGCTATGCTTATATTTTGGTGTTCATGGACTGTGAAAACAGTAATTTCTATAGGAATGAATATTTATAATAACTCAAAATTTACATAGCGGGAGAAAATCTTCAGGCTGGATATGCCACTGTGGATAGTTGAACTGGAGCTGCCAGTAAATTAATGTTAAAATGTTGCAATTATTCAATGTTAACAACCTTGTAGCTAGGCATAGAATGAAATAATCAATCAGCTGAAAGCCATATTTTTTGCCAACTTCCGACATGCAAGCAAAGATTGGTTTGATTACAGCAGGGGTATGCACATCATTGTGCTACCATTTACGTACCCCAGGCCATGTCATTTAGTTTAATTTTCACTTTACCAAACCACCCAATATGTAACTTTAAATATGCTCTCTTTCTGTGTTTAGACTGGACATCATTATTTTGTTTCAGCTTGATAGACACTTACTTAACTTCAATGATAACAGGTACAATTTAGATTTGATGTAATGGCTACAAATTAGCTGTGAAGCTCTAATAAGGAACTATTCCTTTTGTAATAGGTTATATGTGTATGATGGATATATGGATCCTTTGAAATGGATTACTGGGAGGTACGAGTATTATTTCTACATGTACAGTTCATGTTTTAATTGTGTGTAATAAAACTAAAAGGGAATACAAATATATAGATCTGGAACAACAGGAATTTCAGAATCAATTTCCAAACCATTTTTCTTGAAGAATATTGTGTCAAAACACATTCAGAATGATGAAAGGTTTACCAGTTTATTATCAGGTAAAATATAATTGGTATTATTTATGTCTTGTATACACTTATTGTCAGCTCTTGTATATGTTGAACTCAAAAATGGTTTTGATTTCAGATAAGCTAAATAAAGTTGGTATTATCATTTATTCACTTACCAATGTGATTGCACATCAAGATGTGAATGCTCTTTGCAGAGATTTGTTTGAAGTGATCAATTTTCATACAAAAAGTACTGTCACATACATGTCACAATGTTTTGTAAAATATTGACTTTATATTACATGCTTTATTTCTATTTAATGACTATATTTAAATCTTGTGTTGTAGCATTTGAAGTAAGTCAAACTGTGGCTCTAGTGCACTCAGACGTACATGATGAAAACACCCTGTTTCCTTTGAATTACATTGCTTCTACCATCATTGAACTTAAAAACCATGTGGATAAAAAAGATTGTGCAGGTCATTTTGTAACTATTACACATTGCAAAAACAGTGGAAAATTGCATAGAAAGGTATTTTTGAGGCACTGACAAAAAAGTTTAATAGGAGTTAAAAGTTTTCTCAATTTCTTAATTTTTCCCGAACTAAAACTTTTTCATGAAATATTCAGAGAGAAGCATACCAAATTGATAGTGAATGCCATGTTAATGTAATCCCAATTGAAGACAACGATACTGGGCAAGAACCTGCTGCACTTTCAGAAATTGTAAGTTAAATTATCTAAGATTTTTATATTATAAGCTCTAAACTATTACCATTTGATATTCTAAACTGTTCTAAACTGTTACCATTTGATAAATAGGTGGACATTTCATCAAATTTGACATTCAAACTGAGTTTGACAGAAGAACAAAAGCAAGCAAGGGCTCAGCTACAGCTTCCTTATTTGCTGGATGACAGAACAAAAAAAACACAGTTGGATTTAGGGAAAAAAAGCCAAATTTTTTATCAAGCAGATGAGGTAGATGACTTGGATGAAGAAGACCCAGATGATGACTTGAATATTTGATACAATGTACAATATGGATGTCAAAAAGATAATGGGTAAGTGTTTTTCTTTAAATAGTCATTTAACATAATATGCTCTTAACTTCAAGAGTGTCTGGGATTACCAGACATTGTTCTTCCTGCCTGGCAAATTTTTACACTAGAAATCATTCCTAATTCATTTGCACAAATTAATATGAATGGCCTAACACAAGGTGCTAATTCTATGTTACTTAATTAATTCAAGTTGTATTGGCTGTGGAAGTTGATGGTGTTAAATCATCCTGCTCTTTTTCTACTTTTTGGATTTCTTTTTGAAAATGTTGAATGGCATCTTTACTGGCTTTCAAACGTTCATGTAGTTCACTGATTTCATGACTTATTTTCTGACGAGCATTTGCAATAGAGTCCAATGTCTTTCTTTCTTTTTCAGCCCCTATGGAGAAAAGATATTTAAAAAATATATTTGTAATGGGGCATATCCATCTTCCTTGAGCTTACAGTCTGTATCTTGCTTGCTAAAAGGTAGTTGTCTAGCACTTAGAAGACACTGGTGCATCATCTGTGTTGGATCTTGAAAGATCTAAATAATGTATAAACCTAACATTACAACATGTAGACCTGAAATATGCAGGGTTACTTCATATGACCACATACAATTTCATCGTAATATTCTGAAACTAAGTTCTTTTTCCCTGATGCTAAAGCAGCTTCTGTTTGAAAAAGTTTTAGTAAATGATACAATGTTACCTAGAAAAACAAACAAACAGGAAAATGATTGAAAAGTCATGAACAAAATGTATCCATTCAAAGTTTCATACAGCAATTTCTTACTGGTCGTTCAACAGGGTCCATAAAATAGACTTTAATTTGAATTTCAAACTCTCCCCAGCCTGTTTCATTCACTTCATATGGTGGTTTTGACAACACTTGTATATTCAATAAAAGGTAGAGGTCGGTGGTTATTTAAGGTCTATTATTTGGAATCCATAGTCAATTTTAGAAGGAACTATTTATTGGATTCTCACCTCTTGTTGGGTTTGCATAGCTTTCGTGTAATTTAAATTGTACTTTCTTGATATATGAAGACATGTCCTATAATATCCGAGTACACAGTGTAAAGCAGGTTGATATTGTCTCTGTCATTCTAAGAGAGTATAAGAAATCAAGAGACAATTTCTGACCTCGTTATCAAACGATTTAAAGTAACATGTCCATGAGTGAGTATGCCCATCTGATTCCCTTTTTTTCCCAAAATACGAGGACTTGTTACCAAATATTATCTGTTTTGTAATCACTGTGCCCTGCCAGGTAGATAAATCTTTGAGGTTTCGAAAATTAAAGTGGTTTTGACATGGAAATCTGGCTGTATTTACTATTTACTATATTTTACCTTTACACGAGAATTATCCATTGAATAACCCGCCATATTGGAGCAGACCCAGGTTCCTCCAAACCGCGGGAAGATCAACTATTTTAATTAAGTGATAGCAACAGATTGATCATCGTAATATTTATTGATAAACTTTTTGATGATTACAAAATATGTTCAATAATCGGTTCAAAATACAGTATACATTATAGAATATTTACAGTAATAGATAATATACAGCAAAATTGTTCATATTTTATGTCCAACTATTCATGTTTCTTTCCTTTTTCTTTCAATGTATCCATCATGTAGTGAAACGGATTTGCAGGTCTGTCTTTCACAATTTCTGCAGCTAGTTCCTGAAAATACATCTGATTAATTTTAGCACCATAGTATACGTACAATAACACCTCAAACACCTGCAAATATGTAGCAAGTTATCAACCTGAAACATTCTAATTGCTCCACTTGTTTCCAGGTATGTCATTGCCTTTTCTCTTGGATCAATGTCGGGTATTCCATCGACTTGGTGTGTGTTTTCATGAGGACAATTAGACGGCGATGCTGCGTCTTTATCTAGAGATGGACAATTTTCCTTTTTCTCACTTTCACTTCCTTGATTTACAACATTGCCTGTTATTATGTCGTCTTCTCTCGTTTTTGTAATTCCTTCATTTGTAGAGGCTAAGTGTGACTCTTCAATTTCGGACATTTGGCGTGAAAAGTGCTGATTGAGAATGACCTTTTACACGACATGAACTCTCACTTTCAATGTTGTGAACGGGAATCAATACAATGGAGATTAAGTTTTGATTGTTTTTACGAAGGCATTTTAATCCCCTCCATGAAAACCATTTATTTAAATATCGTTAAACAAAACACATCCGTTGGTATGCTTAATTGTTTACTATAACCTATGTCATATCTAGGCCTTGCCTTGAAGGCCAGAGAGGATGGCTTTTTTCTATCTGCTGGGAATGAGAAGAGGGCAACCAGGGCATCAATTTCGGAGACTTTAAAAACCTTGAACAAATATTTAGGTAGAAATAGACACACACATATATATTGAAGTACCATTTAATAAAAATGGGGAGACCATCATTACAGAAATAAACATGTTTCTAGAACTATAATGAACTTTTTGCAAACAAGGAAGGCACACAGTGTGAAGTATCTCATTGAGCTGCAATGTACTTGAGAAGGTCAACCACTCTGTGACTGTAACCATACTCATTATCATACCTAGGAGATAGAAATCAGTTATGTTAAACTATGGACCATTATTAGAATGAGACTTGCATCCTCTTATTGAACTGCACCTCTTTCCACAATGTGGAAAATGATAGGTTTACATCTGGTTATATATCCTCTAAGCTTACCATGCAACCAATTTGACAAAGGTTTCATTCAAAGCAATTCCAGCTTGAGAATCAAAGATACAGGAGTGAGTATCACCAATGAAGTCTGATGAGACAACTAAATCTTCTGTATAACCAAGATATTTACTGAGTTCTTTGGACTCTGATGCTGCCTTCACTGCAGCCTTGATTGCATCATATGAGGACTGTTAAAAGAAAAGCATTAACCATATATAATCTGTGTAAAAATAAAAAATATATAAGGAATAAACTCACTGGTTTTTTAAGCTTCACAGTAAGATCAACCACTGAGACATCAGGAACTGGCACTCTAAATGCCATACCAGTCAACTTTCCATTCAACTCAGGAATAACTTTACCCACAGCTTTTGCAGCACCAGTTGAGGCAGGGATCACATTTTGATGAGCACCACGACCATCTCGCCATGACTAAACAGTAACATGAATATAATTAAGATATCAAAACGTTAAGTAGCCAGTGGTATAGATTTAATACACACCTTTGCAGAAGGTCCATCCACAGTCTTCTGAGTAGCAGTGTAAGCATGAATTGTGCTCATCAAACCTTCTTCAATACCAAATGTGTCATTAATAACTTTAGCAATTGGTGCAAGGCAGTTGGTAGTGCAAGAAGCATTGCTGAAATTCAGAAGATTGTTATTACTTAATAATGTATTTTTGAATAAGGTACTGGCAAATAACAGAAGGAAGTAACACTCAAATATAAACATCTTTGTAATATGAACCAACCTAACAACATTCATTGATTTTTCATAAGATTTTTCATTTACACCCATGACAAACATTGGTGCATCTTTTGATGGGGCACTAATAATCACTTTTTTAGCCCCACCCACTAAGTGAGCACTTGCTTTTTCCAAAGTTGTGAACACGCCTGTAGATTCAACAACATAGTCTGCACCAATTTTACCCCATGGCAGATTTTTCGGGTCTCTTTCACCAAAAACTTCAATTGGATTGCCATTTATGTAAAGTTTGCCATTCTCAGCCTTGACCTCCCCTTTGAATCTACCATGAGTTGAATCGTACTTGAACATGTAGACCTAAAAAACATTACTAATAAGGTTGACCATACAGTCACGTAGAAAAAAAATACCAGTAGTTACGTAATTAGTTAGTTCATTAATTCCAATGCAAAAGAAATACAGTTTATAATGGTGAAATTCACCCTATAATATGTACGCATTTTCAAGCTAGAATCCAGACATATTCTGTTAAAAACAGGGATACAGCCTACCATATAATCAAGATCAATAAACGGATCGTTGACGCCAACAACAATGACTTCGGGATGTTCTAGAGAAGCCCGCATGACAAGACGACCAATACGGCCAAAACTAGTACAAAAAGTGCAAATTTGTCTTAAGAATGTACAGATAATATTGACTGGGTTTGCATATTTTGTAATACAAATAAGTTGCACGATTTTAAAAAGACAGAAAGGATGTCATTATAAATTCTTCAAAAGCGTTTACCCATTTAAACTTCCATATTTGCAATTTGTACGCTCAATCTGGTCACTGTATCGCAAACGCTATAAATTGAAGTACGTTTATAAAACTTGTAGTTAAGGATTTATACAAAAAAAGAAAACTAGAACTATTATGACAAACCTTTAGAGACAATTTCCTGGCCAAGTCAACTGCAATTGTGCAAATTCGTGCCACGGGTCACGGTAATATATGAAGGATGATTTATATCTGGAGTACGCAACGCATCACGCAACGCCTGAGTGGGCTTGTGGCTTGACCCACGGACCAAAACGGACCTATACTGACCCCCCGACACCAATCTCGTTGGCTGATTAACCACTAGCATCAGACAATTGCCTGATACCTGGAATATGCTGGGAATATGCATGATACATTTTCATATGGGTCGATTGTAGTATTGATTTGTTCCACATGCACAGTTGAAAAAAAGGCAAGATCTGCTGCATACCTGTATTTGCGCAAGATTGTTTAGACAATTTATAACAGAAAATGCAAAAAATATCACAGGAATTTAAGGTGAACAACCGTATAAGATTTAATATCTGCGTATGTAATAGTATGCGTAAACTGGAGTCTGGATACAACGTTTTATACTAAAATAATTTTCTATAAAAATATATATACAATGGTGAATGTTAGTAAAATATGCTGTTAATACATCTTGACGTATGGGTACAGCAGCTTAAGGAATTCTGAAACAAGAATAGAATAGAATCAAATATTACCAATTTAGGCATAAACTCTCGTTACTTCTGTACATCCAGTTAACTATATATCTTCCGATGAGCCTTTCCAAAAATATTCACCTTGTTCATTTACTTTCCCATCCATATCAGGATCAGCCATTCGAAATATTTCTGCCATTTCCAAAGGGGTTGCTCTGCAGCCTGTTACGAATGCATCCCGAAGCTGACGTATCTTGAAGTGCCCCTTTCGTCCGGGATCAAATGCCGCATAAGCAAACAAGGCGTCTTTTTCAATATCCTGATGTCTTAAAATTTGCTTCATTGCTTCAAGGAATGTGTCCCAACGAATTTTGTCCCCGTCTGTCGTGGATAAAATGATGAAGAGTGGAATATTAAATCATATAAGATGCAATAATCTCACAATAATCTTATTATAACCCTTGAAAAAACGCCATTGTCAGGCGAGGTAGAATCATAATTTATGAGCGTGATCCTCACGTGATCATACACAAGATATGTGGTTAAAATTACAAACCAGGTTCACCAGTCTTCATCCTGGCACTACTGATTGCGTCATCTAACGCTAGAGCGGTTTCATTGTACCCCAGGTTTCTGCATACGTGTTGAACGTCTTTTACCAGAATTTTACGTTTATTGCAATGATCGTAGAGAGAAAAAGCGTCGTAAAATTCTATGAAGAAAAAAGAATATCAACCTAATGCATCTTTATAAAAAAAACTTCTAGCAGTTGAGATACCCCACCTTGAATTTGCTCTTTAGCAAAAACTATATTTTCTGTCCTGTTAACTCCCTAGGAAGAATTCATATGGTTAATTCACATAAATTACATCAAAGCTGATTGCCAAAACAAGCTTAAGACTACTGCGAGCTAAGATCGCAGTAAATCTTTCTCGGTAACATTATACCTACCTTTCCTTTTCTTACGATCATTCTCATCTTCTTGTCACAATTTTTGATTAATGAAACTGGTAAAGATCTGGCCGCATTTGCTACAGTAACTGCATTGATCTAAATCAATACAATGACATAGTTGTTACCTATACAATAATTACAATTTACTGACTCGAGTCCGCCGGAAAATGGCGAATTCGACCATGGTCGAGTCCGCCGGAAAATGGCAAATACGACCATGGTCATCTTCGCCGGGGCAAATGACATGGTCATATGACCATGGTCATATTCGCCGGAAAATGGCAAATACGACCATTGTCATATTCGCCGGAAAATCGCAAATACGACCATGGTCATATTCGCCGGAAAATGGCAAATACGACCATGGTCATAGTCGCCGGAAAATGGCAAATACGACCATGGTCATACTCGCCGGAAAATGGCAAATACGCCACGGTCATATTCGCCGGAAAATGGCAAATATACGACCATGGTCGAGTTCACCTGAAAATGTAATTCGATCATGGTCGAGACCGCCGGAAAATGGCGTATTCGAGTGGGATAACTTTTTAACTGTAGCATTTAGTAACTACTTTAAATTACTCCTCGTATCCTATCACTACCCTACTGGGCTTGGGATACTGTTAATTAAACCTAACGTGCTTTATATGAAAACCACATGCCTTTATGATCTCATCCCCAGGCTCTAAACCAGCTTTTTCCGCGATACTTCCTCTTGTGACGCTTTCAACAAGAATAGGTGTCACTGTCCACTCGGAATCTTCACTTTCCTCGTCATGTTCGGCGCCCCCAAAAGAGAAACCAATATCTCCAATGAAACCTAACAATCACGAGGCAATCAGATTAGAAACTAATCTTTTTTACCCTACAATATTTGACTATCCAAAATTGGCATTACCTTTTCTACCAGTTGGCAATTGTAGTGACATAATTTTTCCTTCTTCCACATAGCCACTGCTGCTATACGGATTTTCAGATCATTGGCACCAATACCGTTTTTTATGATCTTTTCTTGTTTATTATTAGTTGTGATTGAGCTTGAAATTGATGTTTTACTCTATTTTGAACATAGCGAGAGGAATCTTTAGATATAGGCAAAGAACAAAGACACTTAAAAGTATTAACCAATAAGTTGTTGTATTATGAGTTTACAAAATTAAAAGAAAATACTTCTCCATTCCCATTTTCACTCTCGTTGATCTCCAATTGACTTGCGCTGAAACCAGTATTGATGCACCCATTCTCCTTTAAAGAAATGTTTACAGTTGTTCTTATGCTATTTTATAAAGCTGTCAGATGTTAAACCCTAACATCAACAGGAGAATACAAGAATTCTACTATAAGAATATTTTCTAAAAACATGTTCACTCTGCCGCCATGATTATTTATTAATTTACTTTTGCCAGGTCAACATCAAGAAATATAAACACATCGGAAAACGACATCAGTTGATGAATGAAGACACTCACTCTGCAGTCTGGATTATTGACTTTAATGACGAAGGTGTTTTTGTCGAAACGTAAGAGTTTTCTATCCATCAGTAGATTTAAGATAGTATATCTATGAAACTATCCGATTAGACATACCAAGCTTTTTTTAAGAACCTGCGCAGACTGTCACTGGCTACCTGACGTATGAGATAATACCCTAGTCCTAGTCATAGACATAGAGCCTAAAGGCATTTTCAGGAAAAGCACATGCAATCTTAGTTAGTCTTCCTAATCAATTGGAGTACACTTTGTTTCGACAGTCCCATGAAAATCAACAATAATATACCTGCCAACTATAAATGTGTAATTTAATAAAATCATCTTGTCATTCTTATATAAACAATGATAATGCTACCTTTACGTAGAGTTTGTGGCTACAACATCTAGAGGAGCTAATAAAATCACTTACCATCATCGTAACGAAGTGGCCTTATAGGGCTAGCAATAGTTTGGATATTCTCATTTCAGCAAAAAATATTATGTTAGATACAGCAATATTTGTTTGAATTACTGCAACGCACTACTGCTTATATGTTAAATAGCTGGCTTACACGTATTTTGTTAATTTTGCATAACAATTTGACAATTATCATTGACAAAATTTACATCAGGCTCACCGCTATTGTCGGTATCAGTGCCATGTGGCGCTATGTAGTTGGATTCGAAGTTTGATCATGAAAATAAATATAAACTTTGCATCTGTAGTTGTACATTGCATGTAATTTTCTCCTCTGTGGGAGTAGTTAAAAAGGCATCAGTTTTTATCTTTTCAAGTTTCTCGACAGACTACCATGATCTGTTATCCACTGGAAAAGGCTGTGAAAAGGTCATGAGTCAGCGTTATATGCAAAGGGGGCGATGAGAAGTGGGAGTCTATTCATTTCAAAAAATGAAATAATAAGAATGTCGTTGCATTTTACATATAAGTTTTGACTTTTGCCCCGTTATACACCAGTTTGAAAGCAGTGTCAGTGATTCCAATATCGCCTATGGCTATGACTATGTAGTCCCAATTTTAAATAAAATACACCTATAAGACTATATGGCTATGGCAATGCAGAAATACGAAGCTTGGGTTTATAAGATGTCGATTTTCAGACCATGCTTTTTCTTGCAAGGGCAGTTTATGATTTGGGCCATCGCCATCGGCCAAGATGGAAATTTGGCCCCCATTCCCCAATATCCCCTTGTCATTGAATCACTATCGCTTTTATTTAATTTTAGACTGCTTCGGGGTTGGCCCTCGATGTGCCAGTCCGCCCCTGTTTTCAAGTAAAACTTTTACTTATGCTAAAAAATATTAAAAAGAAGTATTTGTTTTATCTTTTATACAATATGAAATATTAACTTGTTTGTGCAATTTGTCGCAAAAATTGCCAAACCCAAAAATAACTAGCGGTGACTTGACGTCTCCTTCACGGTACTGCGGGCTCATGCGACAGCTATGCATCATTAATATAAAAGAAAAAATATACGTTCTTTGGTCAAATCTTCCAATTACGTCAATAAAAAAATATTTCTTACCCTCATTGATTTATAAGATTTTTATTTTATGCATCAAGTTTATAAAATATACCGCATTTGGCGCCTACGAAATATTTTTTTTGCATGGGGTTTCTACATGAAAATGAGGCTACCGTGCATGCATTGGTCTGCGGTGTTACAGCACGCTTCAACATTTAAAAGTTGAAGGCTGTTTCTCGTGTCTTGTATTTTCTAGCGGTGGTGCTCGGTGAATTTGGTAAAGAAACTTTTCATTTCAAGCTCTGCCAAAGAATGGTAAGTATTATGAGTAATTTTCTGAAATGTGTAATGTGTTATCTAGTATCTAAGTTATTTTACCTTTGGCGTTTCGCGTTGCTTCAAATGTTTGGCCGTTTCTCGGCACACGGTCACGTTTAAAATGTGTGATTTGACTTTTTTTGTAATGAAAATGTAATAAGAAATAAAAACCTAACCATGAACTCCAAATGTTAGTGTTAAAATATATCGAAAATTTAGCAAACTTTTTATTGTGTACCGCCTTTTAGAAGAATTTTTTTATGTATGTGTGAAACTTGAGCCTCATGGTGGGTTCCCTAATCGCTTTGCAGGCGCTTCTATTGCTGTAGAATTTTAGAGTGTGGTGATGTCCTTAGGATAGGGAAATTTCCACATCATGCACCACAAGTTTTATACTGCTGTGTCATGCTATAGGAACTTCCTTGATACAAGGAAATGCTCAGTTTTGAAAATATTGGCCCAAAAAATTAATATATTCTGTAAAGAAATTGCATTGTAAGGTGCTAAAAATTTGCTTTTTGCAAGGCCTACTTTGTCGTTTAGTATCTATAACTTTGGAAAAGACTACTGAAAATTTACCAGTATAGCTCTTATAAATATTCAATTGTGCTAAAGTGCATGATAAATTTATAAACCTGCAACTATCAGTTTCAATGCACTTTAGACTCCACCCAACTGAAGGCAATCTTGTAAACATAGACCCAGTCCCCTGACAAAAAAATTGTTTAGTATATAATGTCACAATAAATCATAAACTTTCATTACTTCATTAAAAAATCTCAGTTTCAGAAGGAATCTTAGTCCAAAAACAAATGTATGTCATTCATTAGTTCTAATGAGAGGTTCTACATATTTCTATTGAAGTTGAATTAGTTATTTATGCTGTTCGAATTCAAAAGAAAGAATGCAAATATTTCACTAGCAAACAATTTCTGCAAGTGGAAATCCACCCTTACTATATGTTAATCATGCTGTGACTCTGTTGTACAATATTTTCAGATATCTCGTTAGTCTTTTTTTGGTTTACTCTGAATGCTTGTGATATGTTTATATTAAAAAAATGTCAACATGACCTCTGTTTATTTTTGTGCTCAATGTTAGGCTGACCAACTAACTGAAGAACAAATTGCAGGTAAATATTTGAATAAAATTGCTTAGTAGGTTGCCAGTCAAAATTTACATATAAGATTTTTTATTGTGGCTTGGTGAAGGTGTTTTAATCTGTGCTTGACTTCAGGAAAATTGACTAAACTTTACATTTCCTGTATATCTTATGGGTGGTAAGATTTTAACATTTGAAGTTTTATATAACTTTAAGTCCTGAATTCTTTAAAGAAAGGGAACAAAAAGATTCAAAGAAATTTTACTGGACATGTTAGTGTGTCCAGCAGAGCAAGAGTAATTGGCTTATAAAGCTTTTAGCTGCTAAAACCTAGTGTCTTATAGTATATTCCCTGTCATTTTTGATGAAATAAATACTGACATTTAACCATATGATGGTTGAATAGGTATAGCATTTGTGCAAAGTATTGACATTTGTGTCTCTTTATCGCACATGATAAATGGTTTTTGCAACAATATTGCATGAGGGAGCTATTTCACAGATGTTTGTGACTTTCTATAGCTATATAGTCAATGAAATATATTTTGTAAAATTATATGAAGTAAAGTTCCCACCATGTTTATGACAGAGCATGTTTGAAATTATTGCTTTACACCTAATTTAGTTAGGATGATATGTTTTGAAGAGAAACTCCTTTTAGAATAGATTATAAGTAATCCTGCATAGTAACAGTAAAATATTTTTATAGAATTCAAAGAAGCTTTCAGTTTATTTGACAAAGATGGTGATGGAACAATCACAACCAAAGAATTGGGCACTGTCATGAGATCTCTTGGACAAAACCCAACTGAGGCTGAGTTACAAGATATGATAAATGAAGTTGATGCAGATGGTGAGTATACTCACAGGTTGTCTGAGGATTTTAATGGTAACAAAATATAGTTTTGCTTTGTTCATGTTATTAGAATGCCTCAAACAGCTCTGTCAAAGATGATGATACGCACTGGGTTATGATCAAAGTGAACTGATTCCAATGCTTTTTATATATCTGATTTGACAGTTTGTTTCTGGGTTGTGCACTTAAAATTATAGTATAAACTACTATAAATCCCTGTAATTTTGCTATTTTGGAATACCTCTTCAATATTTATTAGACAACTCCATGAATATTGTTTTATATATCTTGCCTAACCTGAATTGCAATGATGGTTTATCACCTTTTTTGTAGGTAATGGTACAATTGATTTTCCTGAATTCCTCACAATGATGGCTCGTAAAATGAAAGAAACAGATAGCGAAGATGAAATCCGTGAAGCATTCCGTGTGTTTGATAAAGATGGCAATGGCTTTATTAGTGCAGCTGAGTTACGCCATGTGATGACAAATCTGGGTGAAAAATTGACAGACGAAGAAGTTGATGAGATGATTAGAGAGGCTGATATTGATGGAGATGGACAAGTTAATTATGAAGGTGACTATAGATGAAGTCAATATCTTTTCTTAGGGATGGAATGGAGCTTTTAACATCATGGAAATATTATATATCCTTCAGGGAAAAGTGTTTAAATATATGGAATGTATGATTTTTTTGTAGAGTTTGTGAAAATGATGACATCAAACTAAGACTGGATTTCTATTCATCATAACAACATCATTGCTCATACTGGAAGGTCCCTACAGCAAGTTAGAAACTTAGAGATGCAAAGAGTTTTGTTATTGTTAATAGGAGTAAGAAATATCTGTAATATGCTTATCTCTTGACTTCAAGATATTTGTGGTTGGGGCAGGGGGAGTGAAAGATTAATATATAATATAAATATATAAACTTCTTTTAGTTAACATTACATAATTTTACTGTTATTGTGTGCTCAAGATTGTTGTTTCGTATTTTTTTTTGAGGTATCTTCCCTACCACAACCACATCATGTACTGATAATGTTAACAACATTTTCAAGGCATGGGTGGTGTTATAGCCTGGTGGAAGGACCATTTACCCTTATAACGATTTTAACCTGTAGAATGTTTGTTACCTTATTAACACATTCAGGTTACTTAACAACCAATCGCATACTCTCAAAGCTTAAAACTTAACTTAAAGTTTGTTACTTTTACTGTGACAAGGCTGTGCTTTGCAAAGTTACAAAGTTGACATTTCTGTTCGGTTTTAAGTGATGTTGACATATAAGGAAAATGCAAACTTAATTTCGGATATTCAAATAATTCAAATCACTAACTAGTGATAAAACTCTTGGTCTAAAAGTCGCCCTGATTTATTTTGCAAACTTTTAATATTCTGATTTAATTAAAGTTTAATACACATAAACATTTACAAGGCTTTTTTGTGTTCTAGTCAAATATTGGATTGTTTTTGTCGCCGATTTTAAGTATTTATTAATTATTCTGTGGTATTTAAAAATTTAAAGGCCCTCCACATATGTACATACAATTTGCAGGCTCATGCGACAATCATGCGACAGAAACGCTTTGCAAGACAGTTAAATTTTTCAAAGCATTCGAAAAATATAATGTCAATCTTAAAACACTTGATTGCGTTTTGCTCGAAGACGTGCCTAAACGCCTATTTGATGTGCAATAAGCCTCCAAATTTTGATATTCATGCCATATGAATATTGAATATTGCGATTTTATTTGCTATGCAAACGAGGCTGCGCCACGCCCTGTGGGTGGTACTAAAAGCGCGGGCGACAAGAATTTTCGAAAGCTTCTTTCGCAAATACCAAGACTGTGTTGCAGATTGTTTGTTAAGATTTCATTAATTTCTAACAAGATTCTTTACTATGGTATGTATTTTCTGTTTGTAAATACTTTGTTAATGTTTTCAAAGATAGAATTTTGCTACATTTTGTAAAATTTGACGAAATTTGTAACAAGCGTCCCTGTTGACAACGCGACGCTGACAAAAGCCATAATGACAACGCTACATTGAAGTTTGAACATCAGTAATTGCGATTGATTGCAAGACATAATGCTGTTTTACTGCCAATATATCCATGTTTGATATTATATACGGAGCAAGGCGTATTATAGGTGTACCACAACTTACGGATTTGATTTTAATCAAGTCGGTTTATTCGGCTTAATTCTTCCGGCGTTTTACTTGTTCTAAATTCTAATTAATCTCAAACAATTTTGAAAATCATTCTTTTCGTTCTAATTGTAACATGTCTCCACAAATCTACGTTTTAAAATCATCCAACTAGGAAGCTTTCACAAATCTAAAATGTATCACAGTTTATCTCACAACGCTATTTGTCAGTTCATGCCTAATGTTGTTACAATTTTAAATTCCTGTTAGAAAATCCTTTGTGCAAATTTGTATTTGTAAAAAATGAGGGCACTTGTAGGTACACAATGTGTAAAGAACTCTGTTTTAGGTATCAATATTCTGTTAGCAGGTAAAAATTCGGAGGATATGAGTTTATTGAAAAAATACTGCGTAAATGAGAATAGGTTTTAGTTTCTGTGTCCAATATTGTCCAATATTGTTGAGGATGTACTCTGCAATTTTAAGGTGTGAACAATAAGCGTGATACATTGAAGAACTTTATGATGAGCTTCTGTTTTTAATTTCAGAATGTAGTACTCAGTACCTCAATATTTTATTCTGTTAAGAATCCTTTTGACTGTTCTTTACTTTTGCATGAAAGACTAAACTATGTCTTCCAAAATATTGCATCTCAACTTGCCTTTTGGATCAAGTTAAAATTAATCATCTTATGCTTATTTTTAAATTGCATTTTCATTTTTACAAGCCAGCAAGCTTCTATGGCCTTGTTCAAAGTCGATTGCTATGTAATTTGCCAAATATTTTCTTATGTAGGCTGATCAACTGACTGAAGAACAAATTGCTGGTAATATAATTGTGACAATTTATATTGTAACAAATTGCCTTATGTTAGGAGCTTTTGTTAACTTATTTTTCATGTGCTTTTTAGAATTCAAAGAAGCTTTCAGTTTATTTGACAAAGATGGTGATGGAACAATCACAACCAAAGAATTGGGCACTGTCATGAGATCTCTTGGACAAAACCCAACTGAGGCTGAGTTACAAGATATGATAAATGAAGTTGATGCAGATGGTTAGAAGTGAAATTTCTCAGTTCCATAATTTTTATTAATGTTTTACAAGATCATTCTTAATCCAATTGTGATTTTGCAAGCTCTGGAACTTGATATTAAATTTTAGGAAATGGAACAATTGATTTTCCTGAATTCCTCACAATGATGGCACGCAAAATGAAGGACACCGATAGTGAAGAGGAAATCCGTGAAGCATTCCGTGTGTTTGATAAAGATGGCAATGGCTTTATTAGTGCAGCTGAGTTACGCCATGTGATGACAAATCTGGGTGAAAAATTGACAGACGAAGAAGTTGATGAAATGATTAGAGAAGCTGATATTGATGGAGATGGACAAGTTAATTATGAAGGTGACTTACTTTATTTACAATAACAAGAATAGAACAAAAAACCGCAATTGATATCTTGAGTTTGATTCTTTATTCAGAATATCTGAATACATTGAGTACATAAAATATTTGAATACATAAAAACATTCTAATTGGACATGAAATGATTCTAATTGGGTTACACAAGGACTTTAATATCTGTTTTTAAGTTATCTTTTTTTCTAGTGGTATTTTATAAGTCTATAAATGTTTACCTAAATGTAACATGCATCTAAGCACAATGCTTTTAATTATTTCCATATAAATGTACATTACAGTTGCAGCAACAACTTACATTAAAGGTTACATATTATATTAACAATCTGCTTATATTGGATGTATTGCATTATATTACAATATCATAGTTCTCGTCTATTGTTGTATCCCCATGAGCTTGACAAATTCTAAAAGGTATAAAAATAACTTTAATTTTTCAGAATTTGTGAAAATGATGACTTCCAAGTAGATATTGCAGTTTTACATCAACATTTCCAGTGGTTACATGGTCAGGAATGATTTCTGATGACTGCATTAACTTCTGCCTCCCATATTACGAAGTTTTAATTTCACTTTTCATTTAATGGTATTTTTATTTAATGTAAGCACTAGGTTAGATATAATGAAACTATTGAATCCCCTTTTTTGTTTAATATTTATACGTAAAATAGATATTGTTGCATGATGGTACACTAAATGTAAATTATACTTAATTTCTTGTTAAAATAATTTCTTGTTAGCTTTCAGTCGCGATGTAATTAATTGTCAATTTTTGGATTGTTCACCTTCTTCAATTGTGCTGTTATTGAAACATAGTGGTTTGCGTGACAATTAAATTTACGCATATTGCTGTAGAAAGTAGGTGTTCGTCAAACCTGCATAGCGAATTTGCCCATCATTATCACTATCAATTTTGTTTATCAATTCATTAAGTTCAACATCTGTAACCATCTCGCCAAGAATGTGTAATCCTTCTTTCAGTTCGTCTCTGCTTATATATCCATCACCATTCACGTCAAATGCACGGAAAGCATCAAGAAGGTTGTTTTGAGGACTCTCTTTCTGTGTAGGTACAATGAGTGAGAGAAATTCATTGAAATCAACTGTACCATTACCTACAAATAATAAATTGTTACGTTTACTTGATTTCCAGCGTCATAAAGGAGGCATTAGTTACGTAATCAATTTCTTTAAAACTAGGATAGGAGTATTCGAGACGTGGTTGGTCATAAAAAGTGCTGGTTGTTGTCTGCTTTCTCTTCCCTATTATAAACGACATGCTCTGTGACTGCGGTTGGTTTCGGAGAAGGCTGGTTTCTCATAAGTACTTTGATCTGGAAGGTTGTTTCGTGGTCGATGCTATAAATGTATAATAAGTTTGCATGCTTGTGAAATTCTGAAAACTTGTTATTATAAGACTCCAGGCTCTGTTCTTAACCTGGTCAGGTTAGTCATTACTCTCGTGAAGATGAAGTCATACCATCAGTATCGATTTCTCTGATCATTGTCTGTATTTCTTCTTGTGTCAGATTTTGACCTAGTGATTTCATAACATTTCCTAACTCTTCAGTTGATATCGTACCATCACCGTCAACATCAAACACGCTGAATGCTTGCCAGTATTCTAGAATAGTGATATCATCATTGATAAATGTAGCTGATATCATTCCTTCATGAAATGATCTAAACTCGCATCTCTACTAGTATTGTTTCTTCTTTCCTATATCTTTAATAATTTGCGTCAGATGTCATGAAAATAGAAAGTATCCATCACGCTTTGGATTTCTATGAATTGTTTCATGAATTATCGATATAAGCTTTTGTAAAAAAGAGAACTGATGAGCCGGCAAGCCAAGCTTCCTTCATTCAATGAAAGATTGAACCACTGAATGCCAAATGCATATATTTTTTTACTTACCTAATAGTTCTTGATCGGTAAATTTACCAGCCTATTAAAAAAAGATTGTTTTAAAGATATCACGGGACAACGTTTTCTATATTCATCCAAGAGCAAATCCCTCATTTATTTTACCCTTAAATTATGAAAACATTTTATGCAGCTGCTGCAAGCGCGAAAATTGCCAACTCAATAATGAATTGTTAACTTTCAAAAGACAAAACTGATCATTGTAGATTAAAAAATTGTAGTTATGTAATACCAAACAAACTGCATTATAAATAAGAGTATAAAGGCTGGAATTTGATATTTACAGAGCTTAAATATTGGTTAAATTTTTAACCTAAGTTATTCGACTTAATTAGGATCTTTTAATATGCAGTTTTACACTAGAAGATTGATCAATACAAAACGACACGAGAATTTTTATAATTTAATGACGCTTCGGCCAAAATCGTATATAATAATAACAAAAAGTATAATTTCTATTTCTATGAACAAAAACTCGTACCATTCTTGAAATGTGAATGTTGTCTTTCCGAAACTCTCAAGATTTTTTCAATTCGCGTTTCAAGCTTCACTGTCGTGTCAAACAACTCCAACAGATGTCTCCACAAATCCTATCCCGTTAAGTACTTTTAATTACACATCAATAAAACGAGATTCTATCTCAAACTTTAAAGTTTAATGGGGCTTTGTTTCCCAATGGTTCGAGTTTATGTGGATTTTCGTATAAATTTTGCATAACCTCGCTGTTGGATGGATGAATGATGCATAGCACGAAAGCAATACAGGAAATTAAATAAATTATATGCCTTGCATTGTAAAGAAATTCATGAAATATAAACACTTCAACACACGAGATATTAGAGAATATATAATCATTCTAGATAATACTTATTTTTAGGCCGAGAAATTATGGTAAGATTTGTCTACCGCAAATCTTCACTATCTTCCTATGATCGTATGGACAGAGTCATTTAAAGGAAAACATTCAGGTGTTTGTCGTATAAACACACAAGGTAACATATCTCAATTTAGGTATTGTGGTATGAGCCGGTGACGATGGACAATTATATATCCAGTATCTGAATGTACCTTACACAAAATACATCAATCATTAATCCTGTATTATGTTAAAGATCACGACACGGATCGATTTCTAAAATTGACGCCCCTAATGGGTATTACGTACAATGAGCACGTATATTCCTTTCGAGAAAACATCACTTGACTTTTTTGTGGTATTTGTTACCACACAACTTCTCATCAAACGTGGTATAAACAAGTAAACAACTCCCTGAAATAGACAAATATTTCTCAACGTTTCGACTTAAGCCTCTTCGTCAGGACTAAATATCATACTAACTCTCCTGACGAAGATCCTTTGGTGAGAGTTAGACGAAAACGTCGAGAAGTGTTCTTGTCTTTTTTAGGCAGTTGTTATACCACATTTGATGAAAAGTCTATCGTATATGAATAAATAAAAACAAGTATACTATATTTTTTAATTTATTCAGAGTTTTTTTATTAATATTTACTAGATCGAGGAAGATAAATATGAACATAACGCAAATATCTTTTATTTCAAATTGTTGTGGTTCTTTATTCAGTATAGTTTATTAATCTTATTCTTTGAATGTCTTTCTTAAGAGGCACGTACTTTGCGTGTAAATGATGATGTTCATGCTCATATTTACTGAGGCTTCATCACGTCTCGAACTATGTCTTTTCTTCAGATCATTTGACTGTTATCTTCTACTTGTGAAAAATTTGGCCGCTCCTTTTATGCTAAAGAAAGAAATCGCCTGGATAAGAACGTAATCTTGTCAATAAAGTTGCTTGTATGAAACTTTACCCTCTACTTGATGGTTGGCTTCTCTGATTTTTTTGGGATGAAAGATTAATAAATGGATTGCCCTGTCCACCATCATATCTTGTATTATCATCCAAATCTTGTGATCCTGTAGCTTTGATTGCAGCTTTTAAATTTTCCAACTAAAAAGAAACCATTAAACTTAAGCCATCAATCCTAACATTTTTATTTTTACTAGAACTGATGAACATACTTCACATTCAAACTTTGCTTGTTGTGATGCTTTTATATCTCGATAATTATTTGATCTTTGAATTTGTTTTTCTATTCCATGAAGAACTGTCTCACAACTACTACACCTGAAACCAAGCATAGTTCAAATTTTCAGTGATGGTTGGTGTTTATGGAAAATAATGAATCATCAAGGTACTATCTTCAGCTTACCATTCTTCCAAAACATTAACTATAGAATTCACATTTTCTTGTTTGATATCTCTGCCAATAACATACTCAACTTCAAGCTAAGAGAAACCAGAAATATTATGGCTTAAATACCAACCAACATTGTTGTGCAAATAATCAAATAAGTCATACTTGACTGTTTTGCTGGTCCAATTTTCCATGAATTACGTCTGCATAAATGGCTTCAATTATTAAGTCCTTAATTTTAAAAATAAAACTATTAGTGTTTCCAAAGTGATTTATTCAATACAAGTATCATTACTCCTCCTCACCTCTAATTCTCTAACATTTGATATTTCTAATTCTTGAAGTAGGGCATTATATGGTATGTACTGCAATTAAAGCCAATATGAATAAAAGTTGTTGTGAATGACTTAAATCATGCCATAGGACTTCTCATGATGCTTATATGCATCAAAGAGTATGAAAGCATGCTATATCATATTAAACACTATGCCTCTGATATACCTTTGATTCTGATGCAAGACTGATGATTGTTAAATGTCGAAGTTTAACAGTTTGAGCAGATGAAAGCTCAGGGAGAGAGTTTTTGTTTGCTAAGAATAGAAAAATATTATAAAACTACTGATAACTTTATGATAATTGCTTTCCATATCTTTACTAGTAAATTATCTACCTTTATAATCACTGTATCTACCATAAGAAAAAATATTTAATAATCTCCAGTAGGGAGCTCCATCATTTTTTTCTAACTGAAAAGAAAAATAGCACAGGTAATTTTAATCATATTGCATGTGTGTGCAGTCACTGGTTACTACAACAACGAATGTCAAGACATGTGACGTAATCACCTCTTGTATGTTTGGTAGTTGAAGCAGTTCACCAAAGACATATATACCGGGAGTTTCTAAAACTTGATTGACCAATGAAATAATAGCAGCTCCTCTTGCTCCTTTTGCCAACAATATAAACTGCTCAAGTGGATTTACATTTGTTTTGACTTCTTTGTCAACCATTCTTTATATATATTTGATCTACCATTTGATAATTCAGATATTAAATCAGATTGGCATATAGTGATATAGTCATGTCATATGGGGGATATCAATTAATTCATCAGCATAAACATAGCCATGGTTTGCATACTATACCGTTGAATGTCATGCAGCTAAAATTCACGTTTCTCGCGTTTTCTTTGTTTTCACTTTATATATTATTTTGTAATACAGGAACACAACGTGACACAACTAAATCTGTGTCCCAGGAAGTCGTATAAATTTCAAATTTAATTTCCACAAAATCCGTACAATTGAGTAAACCAATGGTAAAAATATAGGGCAATCTCCTCTGACAGTAGTTAAATCGATACAAAGATCGTTGTTTTAAACGCAAAATGACAGAAATGATAACATTTCCAAGGAAATATTTTGAAACATGTTCCTATGCATCCACTATTCACGAAATCTTGCGACTCCAGAACGACTATTCACGATGGAACTTTACGATCTTCTGGTGTATCCATTTTAAACATTTAACTTGAATTAAAATGGTGGTATAAAGTTGTTGTGACGTTTATATTTTAAACTTTGTTTTAATTTTTTTTATAATGAGTAAGCGGGTCCACACAACTGCATCCTCAAGATTAAAACAAGATTATATGAGAATAAAAAAGGATCCAGTGCCTTACGTTACGGCTGCCCCATTACCAACAAATATTTTGGAATGGTATGTTTCACTTCTGTCTTTAGTTTAGTAGTTGGTATCAGTTGCCAGTTGGTAAATACTAAATAATCATGTAAATGTAATATAATGTCATTTTGTAATTAATTCATTAGTATAGATAGAAAATTCAAGAAGAAACAAAAAACAATCCTCTCTTTTTTGACAGGCATTACTGTGTAACAGGCCCAGAAAATACACCATATGAGGGTGGTTATTATCATGGAAAACTTGTTTTCCCAAAAGAATTCCCATTTCGTCCTCCCAAAATATTAATGATCACTCCCAATGGGCGGTTTAAAACAAACACAAGGTGAATTAATACATATCACTCAATTGTCAATAATTTTCGGGTTTTTACAAGATTCAAAATCATGTTCATATGATTTCTACCGGATTATTGCTGGTTGATTACTTAGTTTGATGCAATGTTGAAGTTGCATTGTGTGTCTCAACTTATATAAATTTTCTGTAGGTTATGTTTATCAATAAGTGATTTTCATCCTGATACTTGGAACCCAGCATGGTCAGTGTCAACAATACTGACAGGGCTACTTAGTTTCATGGTAAGCATACTTTAGTGTAACCCTGGTTATTGCTTTACCTAAATAGATTTACCTGTAATTTGTTTACAATGACTTTGCAGGTTGAGACATCACCGACTCTAGGTAGCATTGAAACACATGAATATCAGGTACCATTATTTATATCATGTTTGACCAATGCAACAGTTCTTTAACAATCTTTCCTTGGAGTCATATTTGGCACAATTTGTGAAATCCTCTTTTTAATTTTTAGAAAAAGCAATTAGCTATAAGCAGTGGTGAATTTAATATTAAAAATGAAATTTTTTGTGAGTTATTCCCAGAGATATACGAGGTAAGATCTTGTGTAATTTGGACCCAACCATATAATTAATAATTATTGCTTTAATAAAAATAATAATCATTGACTTACATACAAGGAAATTAAAAGAAAACTAAAAGAAAGAGGGGAAGAAGATGCCGACCAAATAAAAACTGACAGAACATCAAGTGTTCATGAAGAGAATGAAGGTTTTGTAGGAAGTACTATTGCTAATTTAGTTGTTATTGTAGGTTTTGCCGCTTTTGCCTATACTGTTAAATGTGTGATTCGTGCTGTTGGTAGCAGTTAGACAAATATAATTATACTGAGTTGCATTGACAATAGCTCAAGAATACAGAATGGTTTCAAGCAGTTTGTTTGCAAAACTAAATCTATTAAGGTATTTGAATTATATAAAATATACACTGAACATAGGATACATAACATCATAGTATGGAGAAATATAACAATGAACCCTAACACACTTTAATTTGAAATTCATGTAGGGTGAAAATGATGTAAATAAACTAATTGTTGTGTTTGCAAATCTTCTCTGCATAAAGGACATTCTGCCTACATGAACAAACAGAAAACAGGAATATTTATAATACAACACATTATACAACATTTTATATGCGACTGTATAGATGCATTTACTTACTTTATTTCTACACCATTCATTAATACAATACCAACAAAATAAATGACCACAGATTGTTGCTGTCATGTCATGTAATCTTTCTAAGCACAAGGTACATTTAAATTCTCTTATGTCACTCTCTTTTGAAGAGGCTTTTACTTCTAGTTCCAGTGTGCTATTCATTATATCTTTGATTTTGGGAATTATCTGGAAGAAATTGATTGATTATATTATAAGTTATATTATAGTAAAATATATAGAGCTAGTACACATATATAAGAATCTTACCTCTATTGATTGCTGTGCAAGCTGAAGAACAGACATGATAAAATGTAACAATGTTACCCAGCCTAAAACCCTGTAAGTAGGGCTATAGTAGTCATTTTTAACTACACCACGGGCCAAAATCTAAACAATAAAATGTTATTGTATAACATTCCTGGAGCATAGAATATTTCAAAAACATGCATCTTAATTCTTACATATTGAATTTGTGACACTCTAGTTGCAATATCATAATAAATACTTGAAAAATAAAAGGTTGCCAAATGGAGTTGGTGGAGAACTAAAGGAAAGAAAAAAACAAACAAAAAATGGTATCACTCAATGGCAGACAAAGACACAGAAACAAAAGTACCAACAATGAACATTGAATGGCCTACCATTTATAGATTGCTTCAGAAGTGGCAGTAAAATTAGGATTATATTCTTGATTCTTGACTGACTATCAAGTGTACTAGTACACTGCAAGGTTTGTTCAAGTCTTCTTATAAATTTCTTGCTTACGTACGGAATGACAACTTGAGTAAGAATCATTGTGCTTCTTTGCTAGAATTATGAGATAGAATATTTACTACATACAGAAGCAGACTGCTATTTGCAATTACTATCATTAAAAGTCATTACCCATTTTGTTGGAATCCTTTGTCCTGTTTTATCAACCTGAATTAAACTGCAATACTCCTCTCCTAGTGTTTGGTAACCTGTAATAAAATATTAATAAATATTCTGTTATATAATAATGAGTCAGATAATATAATTTTATAATTTAAGGTTTTATTGTAACCTGAGATACTAGTATAGAACACTTGAGATATGAAATTGCATACCAGAAAGTGTAGTCACGCCATAGTAAATAATATCTCCTATTAGTCCAATTTCCTCTTTCCATTTGATCCAGGACTGTGTTTCTGTTGGTATGAAGACAGATACAGTCACAATGTGATTATAAGTAGCCTAATAATTATCGTAAGTAGATGGTAACATAGTAATTATGGACTAACAATCTGCACAGACTACAGACACAAGTACTACTAACCTCTTCACAAATATAAACAATGTAAACACATAAACAAATCAATAAAAAACAATTAGAACAAATACCACTTAAGTCTTTAAATAATTCACCCAGAGAATTCCTAAAATAGGACTTGTATTCCTCATCCTTTTGACTGGCCTGAATTATTTCAGATTGTCCAGCTTTAACAGGCATTTTTAGTCCTTGGTGCTCTAGTCAGTAGTCATATTACACCAAGAAATATATTATTTTTCATAAAAATACTAATAATACTAATCTCTAAAACTGCAATTCTAATCGGGGGGGGGAGACCATTCATTACTTTACAATATGGCTCCAAAAGCACCAAGTGAAGAAATATTAGGTCGTAAATGGGATCGATGTTTAGCAGATGCAACCATAAAACTAGGTATAACAAGCTACTTATATGATTTATTAGTGCAATATACAGAATAATTGATGTATTTTGGTTTTATTACAGGTACTGGGACGCTTATTGGCGCTGTCTTTTCCCTTATATTTTTTAAAAGTAAGTTGGTCGATCTTTAATAATTATAATAGCCTATTGTAATAGTATACTTCTAACACTACACTGCTTCAACTTGGTAGGAAAATCCTGGCCAGTGACATTTGGTGCAGGCATTGGCTTAGGAATAGGATATGCCAACTGTCAGCATACATTCTATTCCCAATTTCCTCCACATCATAAATTTGGCCCCCCTTGGTGGCAAAAGGTAAAATACTTAGATAAGTTCTTTGTAGACTAATTCATTCAATAGCGGTACTCTTCTCAAATTACTTGTGATTGTTTCCACAGAGTATAAATAAACATTGTAGCAAATAGTTAAACCTATATTTTTTGTGTACAGAATCCAGAAGTAAGAGAAAAGTGGATGAAGCAATGGGAAGAAAGGTGGAAATCATCTAAACCAAAAGAAGTTGTGGATGTAGAAAAGGATGTGAAGAAAGACAACTAGTTATATTAAAAGGAAGATAAGTGAAACTGTTATTTATCAAGATACCTTAACACTCTGTTTTCAAATGTTAGTATAGCATGCACATTTGAAATGATTCTGGCTTTGCCATAATGCATCATATTTTGTTATAAGAGACAAATCTAAATTAAATGCATATATATATATTCTATACCTGTTCTCATTATGTATCAAGTATGGTTAAAGTATACATGCAATCAATTAATGTAATTGAACAACATATATATTGCATTTTATATTGCATTTTACATTTAAACCTAAAGGCAATCCCATACCCAGGGTTATCAGTGGGAGGGGACCTGGAGCATAGATAGAACCCTAGGTACAAGTTTGAACTAATTTTATTTCTTTTTTATAAAAATATGTACATGATAAATTTGCATTCTTTAATAAGAGGACAATTACTGTAGTATGCACTTTTTTATTAAGCATTAGCTTATATATTTTCCTCTACAAGAATTTGTTTGCATGCATCTCAATTTATTCCTTGCATAGTTACTGACATATTTATAGCATCAAAACATTTAGAAAAGTCACTAGTCAATATATCAGGCAAGGGCAAAGTCCTAATTTTTCATATAATTAATTATATGAATACATGATTTACAATACTAATCAAACCTAATATTTACAGGCTTATATCAATACAAAAATAAAACTTGTATTACTTATAAAAAATTTACACATTTTTTATTATTTTTGAGATAATATCAGCTGTGCGTGGACTTGCTAAACATTTGTATGTCTATCAGGGTCGTATTTCCTTTGCAACCTCTCAGGGTTTAGTGATGCAATATTTGAAAAGTCTCTTACAACATCAGTGAAGGTGTTATCACCTGGAGAAAAATAGGAATGTTTTCATGTGTAGCACACTTTTTGATTGGGGTCAATTAATGGTATTCAACCAGAAAAGGCTGAAATAAGTTTATGGTTGATTCACATACCGAGTTTCTCAGTGTTATCACTAGATTCCTTCATTTCATCATTTAACCTCGACAACCTCAACCTACACAGAAGTTTATTTCACAATGGTTATAAAAGAGCATTATGTCATCATCATCATCAACAAGTTCATACATTTTTAGGTACAATTGTAGACTTACAGTGTGACAATATCAGCATGCATTTGGGACAATGCTATCATCAGTGGGTCCTATAATGAGTAACCAAACTGATATCAACCATGTTACTTACATATATATTGAAAGAAATAAAGTGTCATTGATAAGTGTGATTGCGATCATACCTGTCCACTTTCATCAATAGCATGTTGATTGGCACCCTTCTTTAACAACAAACATGCCTCCCTTTAAGTTAAAGCAAAAATGCTAATAGGCTCATAAAGGTAAATGCAGAATTACAAAATGATTATTTTGTCTAATGATAAGGCTTGTCAAATTTGTAGAAAGTTCATATCTTTCTTACCCAGTTTGACCCAGTAGAGCAGCATGATGTAAGGCTGCACGCCCTCTGGAATCACGAAGATTAATCTTTGCACCATTTTGTAATAGGAACTCTGTGCCAGCGAGAAAACCCTTGGGAATTAAAAATTAAAACAATAAGAACTGGATTAGTTAACTTGATATCTGAGTATAATCTCACCGCTTCAACAGATTGATGCAAACTTGTTTTTAATTCATCCTCTTCATTTAGCCAGTTTACTTTTGCCCCTGTAATTTTTTAGATGCAATGTATACAATTACCTGGCACTAACTGGGGAATTGCTTTGTAATTTGTGATCAAAACATTGGCATACCTGCAGTTAAAGCAAGTAACATCAGTGGTAAATTCTTCCAATCTGTTGCTTTGTACAGTAGCTAGTGAAAAAGAAATCTTTTAGTGACAGTTATTCATGTTATCTGTAGTTGGAAATATCCAATCATACCAAATTTGATGGAATATTCTTCAATGTTTCTCTTGCTCTCAACACTAAAGATCCTTCATTTTGTAAAGATCCTTCATTTGCCCAAGATTCTTCATTTGGTAAAGATTCTTCATTTGGTAAAACTCTGATCTCTTCATGTGTTTCTTTCCCGGTCGACTCATAAGTCTCAACATCAGATTCATGGAAATCATGAACTAGATCAGTTTCCTCAATACTTGCATCAGAGTCCACATCTTCTCTGTGCAAAATGTTATCATAACAACTTCCAACGGAATTTCGGTCAATTCCAATAAGTTGAGCTTTGAGGATATTCTCATGAATCTTTATTGGTAAAGGTGTTGCTTCTTCTGAGAATTCTCCCACCTCATTTTCCTGTTCTTTGAATGAGAATCCTGATTCATCACTGGAGTCCTGTGGAGACCTGCAATACAGACATTGTGATCAGTCATCTTTTACGCGAAACAGCGTTATATTGAATTTCTATCATTCATTTATTTAAATGAATATGCATTTGAAGACGCAGTGACAATACCTAGATTTCGTGGGTGACTTCAGTAAAGGAAGGGGCGGCCCACTTCGTTTAATCTCCGGAGAAAGCTCAGGACTTGTCGTATCCGAGCTTTGAGCTTTCTCTTCTCTTGGTTTTTCTATCATCTTCAAAGATTCACAATTCTTTCTCTCACTTTTACTAAATCTTTTGAATATGGAACTTTTTAAGTTTGGTCGTCTACGAGCTAGTTTCTTTTTAGTTCCTCCTCGTTTCAGCTCGCCAACATGATGCCCAGGAATTTTGTCAAGAGCTTGAAGAACGCGCTCATCGAGTGGAATTTTATCGATACATTTTCTCCAGCAGAAATATGTTTTTTCAATGTATTTTGCTTTTATCCACTCCTCTTTCGTTTCTCTGGAAAAGAAAAACATAGAAAAGGTTGGATGTCAGCGATATTGATAATAGACGGGTTGATAAGACTTCACCTTTTACTGTCAGGGGAAGGTTTATGAACTCCGGCGTCTGTTCTGGATTCTAAAATCCTATTTACGACCTGATTACCAAGTTCCTTCATAACCTAAGACATACAGAACAGTTTAAAATTAGGTCACAACATAGATTTAACATCCTTTGAACAGTTTTACCATTTTTTTTTACCTTTATTGATTCCGGTTCCCAGTCATCAAGATTTAGTGATCTAACTTTTGATACATGGACTCCCAAACTCCTACATTGAAATAATGCAGCGAAATTTCTCAGCAACGATTTAAGACCATATTTTTTCGGTAGAAAAAAAGATCACAATTCGACACAATTACCTGTGAATTCCCGAACACTCAATACACAACACCAGGCCTAAATTAATGCTAGCCCATTTTGGATCTGCAAGAAAACCCAACTATTAAAAAATCTCAATTTCAAAGATCAATTTATTCAAAATAAGCTAACCCTGTTTCCCACAGTCCGCACATTCATTATTGCCAAATATATCTTTAATTTCTTTCTCTGCACTGTAAAGAAAAGGTAAACATTTATTAAAGTTGACATTAGTTAATGAAGTGAATGCAATAATAAGACATACTTGAGCATTGACAACTTATCCAGTGACTCTAAACTTCGACTTTTGGTCACAGTCATTGATAGAAACTAAATAAGATGAACGTAACGTTGTTCCTAAAACTCATATTTTTATCAACAAACACAAAGCTTCTTAGCATTTTCTTACTGTGTTGCTAGACATCTGAGAATCCTCGTCATTATTCATATCCAAATGTGGCAAACCAAATGCATGATCTATACTGACCTAACAGGAAGTTGGTTGATCATATCTTGTTATGAATATTACTAAGCATATATACTATTATCATTGCATGCCATTGAGTAAAAACAAACACAATATTATTATAATTAGACACCGCCATAATCATTACTTTGTCCAAATGATCACCAAATCATTAATTGTTATTACGTTCATTGATATTTGCTTATTTGCATATAATGCGAACCTTCATAGCGTTCTCCCACATGTCTTGCAAATATTTTGAGTCAGCTTGAAGAATAACCACCCTAGAGAAAATTAGTTCGTAAGTGAGTTCGTTCTTCGTCTAATCTTTCTGCAATATAGCTGCTTACTTGGTTGGAAATATGAGCTCAAAACAAAATCTTCGATCAGTATCCTCAGCTTCTCGTATTTTACAAAGTCTTAAATCTTCAGCCAAAACAGTTTTTTCGTCCTTTTAAACGAAGCGCATTGAGAGAAAAATTATTATATATGAATCATATTCCGTAATTTCGGAGGAAGTATTATTTTAAGAAGAGTTACCTTAAATTTGTGTTGATAAAATAATTGGTTGTTTTGTATCGTAAAATATCTCCTAACGTAATTGAGATATATTGTCAGATTAAATGCGCTAATTGCTGGTAATTTGTAAAAGAAAGCAGTTTACCTTTGCCAGGTTTTGAACGCATTCTTACTTCTTTTGAATAAATATCCTTCTAAAACAACGTCACTAGAAATACAATATCGTAGATGAATATTTACTACCACTCGTAGCATTCGTTTGGCCACAAACTTTTCAACCTAAATTATCTTACCTGGAAGATCGAACAGGATTGACCGTCGCGAATAGCGAGTCTTCCTGCAAATAATAAAGATTATACTATACTTACACTTTTCATAAAGATGTTAGAGAAGGTTTATATAACAGGTGTTACCATTTAATCCGGGTACTAACCCTTCCCTGGACGAGCCGATGCCTGCCTTCCATCTCTTTTTTCTCAGCTACGAATGATACTGAAAGTTCCTCTAGCTGTTATGAATGGAGGAAGGGGAAATGAGTTCACTATCAATATATCCTCCTATGAGCTCATTCCATATTTAATGTTTTCCAATGCACTATTTTTTTATACCTGTTTTCCAAGCGATCGCATTTGTGGCTCAATATCTTTGAGCAGGTTAAATCCTTGATGAAAGAATGTGTACTGGGCATGCATATACGCCAACATCTAGATTAATTTAAAGTGCACTAGGTTAAGTTTCAATGCAACCTCATTGCCTCCAGGTCACTAATCAAGTCGCATCCAAATCTGGCCTAATTTCTTCGCTAACTCCAAACTCGTTCAGTAGGAAAGTAAGCAAAATAACTTGTCTACTTTTTGCTCAACTTCACAAACATGCTATTCTATTTTGATGCATTTCAAACCAGATAGATCTTTTGACCTTTTGACCCAGTTTTATTTTTGCATGACAACAAACATGCAGAAAATCATAAAACAGTTAAGAAAGCAAGCATTCAAAGCATTTTTTTCACATACCACATCCAAAATCTCAAATCGTTTTCTTGATTGCAAAACATTTATCTGTAGAAAAATATCATTTTCTTATAGATCATAACCAACTATGTGGATCAAGGTATTATTGCACATATAAGTGTTAGAAATAAAATGTTATTACTAGAAATGTGTAATCCAAAGATAAATGGTCAAAGCCAACTTTTGTTGCTGTAACGATGTTCTTAACCTGTCAAAAATCAACACTCAGAATTAGGTCAATTATGTTCAATTGATTAATGAATTTCATGATAACACTTGCCTCTTCAATCTCTGCAGGTTTACTACTTTTTGGTAGCTGTGAATTTCTTACTAAAGCACTACAGTTTGAAAAATAAATCTGCAATGTAAACATCTTCTGTTATTGGAAACAGATATTGTATCTAATAATTGCCAAATTGTCATACTTGCTTAGATCATAACCCATTTTATCAAAAATCTTTTTGGTTTCTTTTACTTTCTTAAGTTCTCTGTCAAAAGAAATAATAAGACATCAATCTTCAACCCTCAAGGACTCTTACCTTCAATTAAAAACTGTTTCTAGAACTTACTCCTTGAGAAATTTCTGAAGGGCATTTGCAATTGAGCATTGAGTTTGATCCATAAGTATCTTAGGAAAAAGAAATACTGTATATAATAACATTTTCTGTGCAGGTCTTTAAAGTGCATGTAGAAGTTCGAAATAATTACCATAAAATAAGACAATGATTCCTCGAGAACATTTGTGAATTTGCCAAGGTTTTCTGTGACTACACCATCACCATTGAAATACATACACAAGGAATCAATACCTCTGATGAGACCACTGGAATGTAAACATAAAAATTGAAATTCTACAAGCTTGATGAGGTATTTCAGTATTCCAAAACTCTATCAAATGATTATGAATACAATACCTTACAGCATTGCCATAGGATTTACCAACTTCAACCACTGTATTACATGTTTTGATAAGCTAAAATAACATACCAAATGTAGATTCTTTTCCTATGTTGCATAGTTAAAAGCTGGTATTTGTCTTTTTTTTAATTCAAACCTTTTCAAGCTCAACTTCCAATTTGGTGATATCTTGTTCATTCTGTTCAATCTGAAACCTTTTTCCACAAAAAAACATGCGTAAAAATGAAAGTGCAAGAAGAAGAAAATTAAATCAACTAATGTATACTTCAATAATTTCTCTATCATGCAAGTATCAATATTTCTGTTGCCCTTGTAATATACATTAGTTGAAGGACTATCAATGATTTGCAATCTAACAATCTGATATGACTCTATTGTCTGATTATGATGACAAGCATTATGTTATGACAGGTAATCAAAGCTGACATCTCACAATGTAATCAGACAGATCACAGGTCAATTATTACCAAAACAATATGTGACATATAAAAACATAATATTTGTATGTCTGTTTCAAAATATTCCTGGCCAAAAAGATATTCTATCACCCTCTGCTTTATCACAAGTAGATTTAATCGTAATAATTATGACAATTAGACTATTATTATTATATTAGTGAACAATTGCAACAATTTTTTGTATGTATCATTATATAGAACCCATGTTTTGAAATTCACATGTGTTTACCTTTTACGTAATTTTTCATTAAATATATAAACCTAATACGCTGTACACTATTCCAAGAGAACCTATAATTAAGTTTGTTCCCTGCTTTACTTCACCCAGTCTGCGTAAATGGGGAACACATTTGTTATCTTGATGCAAGTACATTTGATACGAAGACACAAAAAAAAGCAAAATCCAACCTGAAGAATGGAGAGTCTTTGAGGCATTCTGAAAACTCCAGTTTTTGTAGCATGGTGTTAGGTATAAAGATATTCTTTCATATGCTATATTCTCAGATTTCAAATCATAATATTCGCCATATTGTGCTTCTATTTTAATCAAAATAAACACTATTTGTTGGCATTATTGTTCTTATTTATCCGCGTATAATTCTTTACAGGAAATAAACACTCCCGTTATGAGCTTTCTTCCGGTTACAATATTATTACATGAAATGAAGCATAGCGTAGCCGCAGTGTTATTGTTTTTCATCGTGCGGGCGCAAAGTCTCTTCCTCCAAACGTTTGTGGAACGACAGAAGCTTCTGCACGTGTTCTGTATACATTTCAAAATATGTCAGGTAAAACAGCGGGTTTTGATGCATGTTTTTACATAATACACTTTACTATTTTCAGCGTTTGTACTACTGAGAATTTTGTGCGTTACGTTGAAAGTTTATTTTCATTTTGGGGTTTTCGGAATTCCCCCACCAGAGATTGCATACCTGACTCCTGAGTGAATATTAAAAATTGATTATATTATATTGAAATTGATCTGACAAGGTATAGAAACTTGTTTACAGTAGTCTACATTAGAAACATTTGGTTTGGTGTAGACCATTTTGTTTTGTTTTTGAATTTATATAATATGTTGTATTTTTACTATTTAAATTGAAAAAACACCCTTTCAGAATCCAGTGAGGATCAAAGACCTGTCTATAGGGTGTAAAATCTTATTCTGATTTCTTATTTTAGGCGAAGGATCATCAAGGAGCTCCAGGTATGTAACACCAAATTTGCACAAAAGGGTGCCTTCTTGAAGGTGAAAGTCTGAAAGATTGTTCAGTGCCTCCCCCTTAAACAAGGGCACAACTTTTCAAATTGTACCTTCAAGGTCTTGTTGAGGTTTTAACTGTTTAACCTTTGTTTCATCTTTCTTCTTATTCATGCAATTGTGATCATAACATTTTTTGTTCAAGTTATGTGTTTGTCAGATTGTACTAAATATTTGTAATTAACTTATGTAGAGATGAAGTGAAGCATTTTCCTGGCCCCCATCAGTTTAGTGTACATCCAACAGGATTTGAACTTCAAGAGAATCAAAGTGATTTCATCAAAAAAAGTGTTGAATATACAGTATGTATTTAACAAAGCACTCATTTATACTTACATATAAACTAAGAGATCATTGTCTACAGCAAGATATCATTGTCTAGTACATCATGGGGCATGAGGAAAAAATAAGTCAAATACATCCCCAGGATGATATCAACAATTTTTTTGTGATAAATATATTTTTGGATAATAGTTTTCATCAAAGCTCAACCGGTTATATGTCAAGAAAATGGCAATTTGTCCTTTTGGAATATTCACTTCAGGTAGATTTTTATAATTAATGTTTAACATAATAAACTATTGGATTGTAAATGTAATAAACCAGTTTGTATGTTCAGGGTGTTGCAACAGCATTTGGGTGCAATATTGCAATGTGTACAGTACATACTGTAACCTAAAAGTTCAGTACAAAATTAATTTTTTTTATGTATAGCTACTACTCCTGTTGGTAGTCAAGTGAAAATTCTGGTTTATGCTCATAATAGTGAGCCTGTTATGAGGTGTAGAGCACATACTGAGGGTGATGAAAGACAAGAAGGTAAAGAAAGTCTGAACCTGTCACATTTTTACTGTGTTTATTTGTGTTCATTTACTTGCATATTTTGAGGCTAAGAATTTTATAATATTTTTAGCATAATTCTTTGTGTAAGCCAGATCCTTGCCTTTTACTTCACCATACTAACCGCTCTTCCTACAGGTGTAATATGTACCATATTTATAATTACAATTAGCATCAACGTCTAATATATATTTCAGATTTTGTATCACTGTTGCATTTTATGCGAAGCAAGAACGTTTCTGCTATATATGAGGGTGATTCTCAAACTGGAGAACTTTCAATCATATTGCCACAAATCAAGCCTGAGGGTGATATTGAAAATCTAACTTTCCTATGCTCAAGCAAGCATTGTCTTAAAAAGGAACTATTTATCAAGTTCTCTCTAATATATAAGTAAGTTTTTTTTTAATCCTGTTTGTACATATGTAAATCTTAGTTCTGAATTTCTAATTGCATGAATGAATCTTCAATAGAGATGAAGTGATTGGATTTCATGAATTTGGGCTCCATGTTTGCTCTTCACCTGGCCGTGATAGAATAAACCATGAGAGTAAAAAGAAAATTGAATGTCGAAGAAAACGTAAATTACCAACAGACCCAGGTACAGATTTCTATACAACAGTTTTAATCTTCTACATGCAAGTTCATTTAGTGAAACATTTTTTTTTAATTTGGTTTAGGCCCTCATTATTCAACCAAGAAGACTGCCATCCCATCATCACAGCCTGAAGTATTCAATATTGTGGTAAGAAGTAGTGAATTACCAGATATTCCAATTTTACATCATTTACCATTTATTAATCTCACACAGGTTAAAAATCGTTCAGTGTATGACTTGCTAATGAAAGTAAACAGAGGCTTAGAACTGATTGAAGCTGTCCCACAGGATGTTCAAGATTATTATCTCAAGAGGTAATATCTATTTGAAGTTTTCTAACCTGACTCTTAATACTTAGGTTTCTGAATTGATGTTTTTTCATTTGAAGATTTTGGGCAAAAAATGTTGCATCCACCAGTGAAGCTGAAGCAAACACCGTCACAGCAAGCGCACCACATGATCGAAGGAAATTAGAAACTAGAGCGACGCTACGACGTATAATTGTGAGGTCATGATTGGTCCCAGCAAAGTCTTTCTGGTTAAAAGACACGATTCATTTCAATGTTTTGACAAAGATTTTAGCGAAAGTAAAACGTGGGACTGAGTTGAAGCCACTACTTTAAGTTGTCTGTTTTCATCAACTTTAGATGATACCTTTGCACCTAATTTAGTTATATTAACACTAAACTATATAGCATTAACTCTTTTGTTAACCACGCGTCTTCTTTCCTATGGAAATATTCGAACCAGCGTTGGGGAAAATTTTGATATTACGATTTGGTAAAGAACCTATTTTATGGTTTCACAATACCAAACATTTACCATAATAATTTGTTTGAACCACATTAAGCGTTAGTATTTGGGTATCAGTGAAGTTACTGATCTTGTTCATTGCGCGGGTCGTCTTTTTTTCAGAACATACAAAGAACACGCTGGTGGTCACTATCTTGTATAATAGTAATAACGTATAGCTACGTTTTGTAAAAATTATATTAAATATAGACTAGTCTATGGGGAACAACAAAAATTGATTGCAACTTTTAGAGTATTTTGTTTTTTTGCGCAAACTTTTAGAGTATTTTGTTTTTTAGCGCAACGTTTCCATGAAACATGTCAAACAGTGAATCCTCTGTCCAGAGACTTTGTAGTAATAAATATGGCCTGGGGAGCTTCATTTCGACGAAAATATTCTAGCAACCGAAGACTTGTTTTCCCCGTAGGTATTCCTTACCCCGACAACCCCAACAAGAGGAAATCACCCCCACCGCTATGCTCGCGCCAGTCTGCCCGGCCAAATATAAAATGGCGGATCAGGAGGCAATCCTGGATTTTAAGCCTTGCAAAAAAACCTTGCAAGTTATCCAAGTTTAGGATTTTTTTAATTTAACGAATGAACACTCGTTTATTCACCGATAAAGCATTTAACTTGCATTGTCTTTGTTGTATATAAAGCAATTGATAACGGTTTAAGGTATGTATTAATTTGCAGTTTTGCATTAAACTGAAACTCTGGTATTAAAAGTAGGAATTATAACTTTAAAACTTCCATTTAATATTTTGTTGTATAGTTTTCAATACAAGTTTAGGATCTCGGCAAAAAGTGCCTAATTCTGAAATGACAGAAATGTGGCACCATAACGGTGTAATTTATACTGCACCTAGCTGAGGTGAAACCAGTTACAAAGTCCTGCTGTTGCAATATACTTCTTACAAGTAGACCTGGTATACTTGGCACCTATAGTCATGTTCTGCTATATTTTAAAAATACATTTGAATTTATTATACGTTTTTGGCTAATATTTTCGAAATGAATGTCATGTTTTTAAAAATATACAGTTATTTTTACACATTTTTTATATATGATATTCAGTTATGCTTAAAAACACTTTTTGATCAGCCATCCCAAGTCCATTAATGTTGTTGATCCATCCCAAGTCCCGTAATGCCATAAAGTGTACGTGCATAGTTATTCGATCGCAATAAGTCGTTCCAAGAGAGCTTCATACTTGTATATAAAGCCATAGAAAATAGAACTAGAAGGGCTGCTCCATGGTAGTTAAAATTACATGGAAGTAAACCAAGCAAAACAGGGTCTAGGTCACAAGTGTGCGTTGCACTGTGTGGTTAGAATACGATATTTGCATATTTTGAGATGTGGTAGCTGCTTGATTCTGTATTGAATGTTGCTGGGTACTGTCTGCCCACTGTGCAGGTATACCAATGTTAGGACTTGGTATTGTTTGATGTGTATTGTTGAATGACATGTTTTCGTGAGTTAGATTACGCCTAGAAAATGATTTTGTAACATCAATCATAAAGCATATGACGTGTTAACACCAGGTGATATATAAAGATTAAATACCTATACACTGTTGAGTCAGCTTCTGGGTATTCTGGGCACTATAAAGGAAGTAAATTTTAATAGAAACCAGCAGTTGCCGGTAAAAGGTCATTGATGATGTCCAGTTACCTCATTGCTTCTTCTTTGGATTTGTTCTAACACTTGAAATGGAAAGTTCTTTGAAAAACTATAGCATTAAGAATAATTGTTAGTATGATTCAAATTTGTAATGGGTTTTAAATTTTGGTAAGATTCTCATGCACTTACAATCTCTTTTCCATGCTTGTGAACAGTTCAAGTGCTTTTGCTATTCTTTCCATAATCACAAAGTTTTGTCTTCCATTTATCTGATGAGGATAATTGATAAAATATTAGACTTTAGGTACAAGTTTACTTATATGACAATTAGTTTTATCAATTTCTTTATTTCTAACCTTTAAATAAAAGTTCTCCCCAGCTGTCTTTTTCTTTTTTGGTGGTGTTTCATTGTTCTCTGATGTTGTTGGCATGTTTATAGGGGTAAGGAAAGGAGGTTCTTCAAAGTATAATCGATCCACTAAATAGAACGAAAGACAATTTAGATTAGTGATTTGATTTTGGCTCCCGTCATCTGTATACATTCAATAATGATGCACCTGTAGTTTCATCTGAATTTGGCATTCTTCTTTTCCTTCGAAATGGTTGCTTTTGTGTTTTCTCATCCAAGTTACTATCACGACCCGGGCATGCACAGACTCGTACTTCAAGTAAACCTCGTCCCATAATTGATTGCCTAGAAGAATAACATGTTTTTCTTTCATTTTCAGAGCACAGTAATTTTAGGCCTTATTGCAAAACATGCTTACTAAATTGTTGATAAAATAACTCAATAGTAATGTGAAATATGTACCCATGGGTCATTTCAAAGATAATTTGAATTGGACGTCGATTGAGACCAACACAAGAATTGTTGCAGACGAAAGATAGCAGTTCATGAGTGCTTACGGTCTTTGAATGCGTGTCTAGAAAATATGTACATTTTAACCCAACCATTCATTTATATTTCATAGGCAAAACACGTTGATGCTCATTCATGATCGCCCTCAGCGTGGGAAACCACGGTAAGAAATAAGGAAATATTTGAATTACGTATCATCACCTCGTTGACTTGCATTAAATGGTATTGAGAGATAATGTCTTCCAGTCATTGGACATTCTTTGTATAACACTTGTTCATTCTCACATCTTATAAAATGCTTTACTGATGAAAAACCTAATTAAGAAACCGCGATGTATAAACAAACATCTAACAAATCGATATGGACAAATCGAGGAGAAAAAAAATTTCGAGCAATAGCTAAACTACCTCCTTTGTGACATGGTAAATATTTGACACCAGGATTCACTTACTTGTCTTGTCAACGTTATCCATAGTGTGGTTTGGACAACATCGTACGATATCACGAACGTCTTCTGGGTTTTTAAATACTGGCATGATTCTAATGTTACAAGGTTGCGGAATACATGCTGAAATAACAGAATATAGGACGTATTTAATGCTTTTATTTTCCCATTTTCTTGGTTATTAGTAGGCTATATATGATTATCTTACAGGACGCGGAGAAGATGATGGGACACAATGTTCCTGCTTTGATATAAAGCTTGTTGTTCTTGTACTAAAAGATACAGAATGTTGGTAAGTCTTGACGTTTAATTCCGCGTTTTCCAGTACATTCACTGTTCTGCATTATGTAGATAGAATAGAGGTCTAATATTCGTAGTACAGCATCAAAATATTCACTTACTACCCATTCAGGATTCGCAACTCTTTTTGACTGTAATAATAGAAAAAGAGTTTTCCAATAAACCTATGAACAATACTATCCTATTTTATCAAATTAGTTTTCACACCTGGTTACCAAGTTCGACATGAAAATTGTAATTCCCAACCATTTCTGCCCTATGAAATATTATACATAAAAAACGTTAAAAAGGTTGAAAATGAGGCCAGCGTGTTTAAATTTAAAACTTGATATCAGTTAACTTACGTTGAAGGAATATTATGTTGATAGTCAGCAATAACTTCAGGCGGCATAAATGACGAATCTTCGTTTATAGAGCATGACTAAAAAATGATATGATCGTTATTAAACGGCAGTAAATTTTTCCGTATCACCCTATAGCATTTGCTTCACAAATGATGTATTTCTGGATGTTCGTTATTTGTTGAACAAAAGATTGATATGTGATAAATTGAAATGTCAGCTAACATATGGTTCAAGATCACGACTTCTCATAGCATGATTTTTATCGTCATGGCCTCGCTAAGAGGCAAGTAATCTTTGAATGAGAATCTAGGCAGGCAGTTTATAATAGTTAACCACTTTGAAATTCCTTTTTATAAAATAAAATAATTCACGTTTCATTCTGGACATTCTAATACTATATGAGACGTTTTGAAATACGTCATATACAAGGCATTCTCGTTACCACTCCTAAGCACAATCGGTCTGACCGGCCTTAAATTATTCTGCAGAGATTTGAACATGACAAAGGCGGAAATTGTACACTTGGGTGAGCCCAAATAATTTAATAGAAATAGTATTGTAGCATGATACCCACACTAGATATCTCGTCTATATACTTATTTATAATAAGGATTATGCTCGCAGGTATTTCAGAATCTAATTTCTTTCTAACAACTGTGGGATGATATCTAATACTGTCCAAAAGTTTAATCACAAACACGACATTAAGAACGTTTACAATAGGAAGGATTAAGCGGTGGCATTCAATCTACTGCACTATTTCCCCATCTTTATTGCTATATTTTAATTTATTCACATCACCAGGTAAACTTAGGGAATCCCCATAGAGTTCCTTCAGTTTTGCAGGAAGAATTGCATGATTTTGAAATGAGACTTGTTTGCTATCTGAGTCTTCAATTTTGATAAATAGCGTTGTGTAATTAACGGAATTATTAGTAAAGCAGTTGATAAAGCAGTTGATATTATATTATCAGCAGAATTTGGGATGTTCAGTCTATTCTCATGTTATATTTATGATCAAAGATTGTACGAATAATTGTGGAATACCCCTAGCTTTTTACGAACATTTGATCATGTCAATCATGCTTTCCACATGATCTTCAAAATTTGTTAGTTTCAAAAAAATTTGCATTCTCAATTTTCACTAGATTTAAAAAGCCATATTTTGTCAGTTTGAACACCTTTTTGTTATAGTTCCTTCTCGAAACTAGGTTCCAAGAATAACGCGTCTGCATCTGTTTGTACAATCGCGCATGTTTACAACCGCTGGAGTAGATAAATGTGAACAGTTTTCGGAAAGTTAACATCACCTAATAACAAATAGCTTGCTGTTAATAAGTCCACTATATTTACGCACATATATTGTTTGCGCAATATTTCATTAAAATGAAGGAATTCCTATAATGAGGGAAACTTAAATATTTGTGAAAGGATCATATGTAATCTCATTTGTCATATCTACAAATATAATATAACGGTGTAAGATTGAACGATTACATTGCTGTAAGCGCGCAAACGCATCCTTTATCGACTTATAAAACTGGTCGTTAAGACATTATAACACTGATGTTTAAGCTATGAGAGACATACTTACTGTCATAGGGTCATCACTGTGTGCCTTCATTCCTGAAAAATACATAACTTGTTTTATAACTTCTTTCTGTGTATCAACACAGGCACTGCATACACTAATGAAGGCCAGGAAACTATGTTTTGTCTGCTACTATAATGCGTAACATATACTGATTGGTTGAGGAAGAATGTGCGCGCGCAACTACCGTCATTCTACAGCCTGCGTTATTTCCTCGTTGGAAGTCTGTATGTATATATGGAAGATATTTAAAGTTATGATTAAACCTTTTTAATAAAAAATGCTATGCATCTTGAAATTTTTGACGATAAGCCAAATGAACTTGTCTACTTAACATGCACACTACTTCTCCCAAGAATTTCGAATTACATCACCAGGAAATATTCCTCCTCATTTTTGTACCTGATCGTAACTGCACACTGTTGGAAGTATCAAATCTGTAAAATAGAGCATTTTATCATTTCCAACACGTTCCTAAACACAACTATAACAATAGGTAGAGGTAATTGTCTGTGGGGTCCACTTAAATCAGCTGACATACACAAAACTCGTTTCAGCTCAAATCTACATCTGATCTTACGGTAAGCAAGAATGAACAGGTCAATTATCCAGGTAGAATACAGTGTACTTACGGAAGAAATACATCATCATCGAAATTTTTCATAAAATCTTCGAGATCTTCGGAGTCCATCATGCGCTAACGGTTTGCCAATGATTCGTGATCTACACTGTCGTGAGGGTATATATTTAATCAGACGACATTCCTAAGTAAATTGTTTACTATCTCAATACAATGAACTCGAAAACCGTGTCGATCATTATTATGAAGATTAACGACTTGACTCTGACCGCTTTGCTATTAGCTCTTGAATATACACTTGTCAGGGTCACCTTTATATGATATTCATATTTTTAATTCTTTTAGTTCTCTGGATTTATTAATCATAGCATGATTAAGTAATTTCTGATATCGAAACTAGTCATACCAAACAATGTCCAAATCAATGTATTTTTTACGTGTATGTAATTAAGGGTTTTAAACGAGTTAGAATGTCAATCGTACCTGAGGTATAATCCTAAAAATCATTGCTGAAAAGCTCTCTTCTTTTTATAACTCCAAGCTTGAATTAGCTTGGTCGTTATTTAGGAAACGTGATTATATTAATAATGAGAATCTACTGTACTTTGAAATATACTGTGTTTCTTATCCTGGTTCTGCTCCTTATCTTAGCTCTAAAGTAAATAGAATGATGTTCTCCTGCATGTTAATCATGAGTTAATTATCATGCTCGAGTTCAGTTCAGCCGCTATAAAATTGATCCTCTTCAATAAAACATGAAAATATATTTGTTAAAACACAACATTTGACGAAGTGTAATGTTTCCTTCATAGGCAGGCGAGGCGGCGAATACCATATCTACCTTGTTCTCTATCAATGCTAGCTCAACTGTCTTCCTGCCCCCATACATGTCTAATAACAACGGAAGTCAAACCTAGAAGTATTGCTTGAATAAGATGACCCTGCTACAAAGAAAATTCATTTATAGAGCCATATACAAACAGTAGGGGGTAGATCGGCCGCCTTTGTGCCCAGATCAAAACATCTGAATAATAATATTATTTAATCGTAACTCTTAAAATTTGTCAATATTCTTGAAACGGCATTTGTGTCAATAAATATTTACGACAGGTGAAATGTTTGAAAATTTGTACACAAATTTTTGCTGTAATGAACGTCGGTTTGACAAGAATGGGGGGTTAAAATAAAAAGAAAATAATGTAAGAAGAAAGTCAATGAAAGGTTTGTTGCTTTATCATAATATTGTCCAGGTATCAGTGACTTGCATACGTACATGTTCTTTATGAGGAAATATTCATTTTAAAGTTAAACAATGATCTTATTATTCATCGCTACAGGTTTACGGAAATACATAATTATACAATCACCAGGGGAGTAGAAATATGAAATAGACATAGTGGCTACTTTAAAGATTATTGTCAAATGTCTGAGTTGAACCTCGATTTCTACGTATTGTCAAGTTTCTGAAGTTATCACTCTAAGTAAGGTTTTTAAACTTGGTATACACATAAAACACGTAGCTCTAAGAAGTATAATTGGATAACTATTCAGTCATTACCTATGGTCATGCATGCACTGCATGTTCACGTTGTAATCTGAAGAAACATACTGAGTAAAATGAAAACCTGAGTTTAAACACGAGACGAGAAATATTTAGAGTTTGTTGACACAATCCAGACGCATATATAATAAGTAGCATAAATTGTGTACTTGAGTGCTGAAGGAAGTTTTCATTAGGAATTTGGTTTGATTGTTCGTCGTAATTATGTCAACCTTGTGGAATTTACATTTAAATTGGTTTGAAATTAAAGCAAACATTTAAGATCTCAAATTCTTCCGACCAAGATAATTGTAATAATTATCATTCGTAGAAGTTTCAAGATATTTTGCTTGCCAAAACATGTAATAATTGGTTCCTTTACGAAACGTTAACTTAAAGAAAGATGAAATTATAGTGAGTGAAAAGAAACATTGACTGAAAGAAATTTTAATTTCATAATTACGTCATCCTACTCTTTCTACGAATAATGAGTAAAATTATCCTGCTGGAGAAAAAGAGTAAAACGTGCTCAATTTATTGACTAGTTACTTCAAATTACTCAAAACACGAGTAAAATTTACTTAAACATAAAATTGCATTTTTTGCAAAGTTTAATCCATACAAGTGACTCAAGGTTAAACTGATAACTGTCTATATATTGTATTAAAAATATTTTGTTGACAATATGTCCTTTAACAGAAGTTTTTTATATTCAAAATACATTATTTGTATTTGGTACATTTAGTTTTATAACTATATCACAAGATTCTCATAACTATTTGAGACGTTCAAATATGCTTTTTTAATATTTTCTCGTAACACATAAATTCGCCACATACATGTATATTTTACCATATTAGAGTAAGAAGACACAGACGTATATTTTACCATATTAGAGCAACAAGACACACACGCAAGACAGGGTGAACAGATCTGTTTTTATGTGACTGTGAAGCAAAGCGGAGTAAGGATATAGCTTGCTCTTCATTTTCCAGTTTCACCATAAATCCATAATTACGTCGATTTGTTTTCGTTTTCCAGGCGATGACTGAACTTAATACATCAATATTGATCCGTTTTTCTTCGTCTCCCGAATGAATTAGGCCACTTCTTTTAACGCTTTAGAAATACAATTTAAAATATCTGGAGCTCTGTTTGGAGAGAGACGAGCACTCTAGGGGTTTGGAAAGACTGGACCCGTCTAGGAGACGTTGGAGAGGGGAAAGACTCTATATAGGGGTGATTGGGAAGGGGAAAGGAATCTAGAGGTGTTTGGGGAAGGGGAAATAACTCCAAAAGGACTTCAGGGGTGTTTAAAAAAAACTCTCGCATACATACAAACGTAATGTGACATACCTTGACTTATCCACATCTTCATCTATTCCTAGATAATCTTTATGCCACGGGACAACGGATGTCGTATTGGACTCGTGCCATTCAGTACTGGTAATTGGATAAACCTCTACAGTATGTTCTAATCCATCTTCTTCGTTACCAGCCTTTACTAAGAACAACTGCAAGGTTGCCGACAACAGTCTCGCTCTCGTAGGAATTCTTGCCAAGTCGAATTGGATTAGAAAGCGATGTTTATTTCCCCCCACGTGTTTACCAAGATACAGATACTCCACTCCTGCATGATTTTGAGACGGTGATGAAATTGTTATGGCTTGGCTTGCCTCCTGTTGCAGTATGCTTATTTGGTAGTATCGTCTTCTGAATTCTGTAAGTAGAAATGACGTCTTTTTGAGTTTCAAACATGTTTGAGGTCGTTTAAAAGCGAGGCTTTTTGGGCTAACAGTCAGTCATATTAGTGATGCATTAATAATTGCAGTCATGCTGTTCAGTTGATTTCTCCTAAATGCTTACTTGGGTCGCATTCGTAGGTGTTTTCAAAATCAATTTTCGGCAGATCTGTGCTCTGATATCTCTCTTGTGGGGCTGTAATAGAATGAAACACATACCTCACTGACATCCGTCATTTATACGATGTTCTCTGTAGTAGAATTTCCAAATAAGTTTTTTAAGATCGTAAGCACTTTACCTAATTTATTTGTTTTGGAACATCTCAGTCTGAATCTATAATTACTACATTTTTTTATTCCCTCTTGTTCAATATTTCTACAAACAAATCCAAGATTATTGTCGCATTCAAAGTTTTCACCCGTCGTGTCTGCGTTCTTGCCATCACTAGTGGTACACTCTATTCTAATTGAGGTATAATTATTGCATAATTTTCGATGGTCCGCCAGTGCCCAAGAACCAGTAGCTGTCTTTGTTGTGTTGACCCAGTCACTCCACGTCGCAGGTTGTGTCGCCACAACGTCTACACTTGTTGTTTTTTCTAAACGAAAATTTTAATAAGGTATTTTTTTCATTCACCGACTCTGTATTTTTGGAAAATTCCAAACAACTGCGTAGAACTAATGTGAAGTTCTTGTATATACCTTCTTTCCACTTGCTCATATTCAACGCAGGCAAGCCAAATTGGCATTCTATTCTCTGATTGTCATTGATGGGTGGCAAAAATGCATCCGGCTGCAGAGACACGGCATTGTACACGTTATCACAAACAACGCGCGATAAAGATACTTTCCTGAGCTCTTTCAATTGATCTGAAGTAAATACTCCTGGACGTTCGTACCAGAATCTGTCACCATCTCTTAACCGAGTAAATTGACTCTTTAATATGCAATGAAATGTTGGTCCAATCATCGCTCCAGGAACATGGTCTTCTCCTATACCAACCGCCCAGAGATCAGCGTGTTCGACAACACTGTCATATAACTCATCCAGAATATTCCTTGCTTTCTCCTCGCTGATTTCGTTATGAGTTTCCGCAAAGGTTGCTACCTCCGGGAGGCCACATTCTCGTCTCCAGAATCCGTAACCCGGCAGACCATGATCACGGCCGCGTTGAATATTCAAAGCAGCTAAATCAAAGCCATTTCCTGAACCTGGTTGTTGAAACAAGTGATCTGTCAAATGTACGGACATTTCTCTATTGATGGTGTCTGAAAAATTTCCCATTAGACCCAGAATGAATGGTTGAAACCCAACTTCGTGCAATAATCTGTTGTTGAAGAATGATTCTTTCAACGGAATGTCTTTGCCAATAGGTTCAAAATTTCCATCAACTCTTGAGAAAGAATTCCGCACCATGCTATGACATGCTCGGAATGCTGACGTGGCAAAAGCGTTAAAGATCGTCGTGTCGACACTCTCGTCGTAGCCTTCGTAAGCTAAACGAAAAGGACACACTAGTATATACCTAGCCTTTTTGTATTCTTACTATTCTGAACATTAGAATGCTGCTTTTTCCGGTGCTGGTTACTTTGGAGTTTAAAACCAATGTTGAAATCTCTTACCTGGTATAGCTTCTTTTCCGAGAAATTTCGTGAGATATTCAGAGTAAGTGATGTGTTGTAACTCTGCTATCACAATCTTTCTTGCTTCTTGAAATATTCGTTCAGAATCCCAATGTGGATTGATATATTTTAATATTCCTGCCAGTCGATTGTGTTCATACACCCACATTGTATGCATGGAAGCTAACACTATTTGTTCGTTAGCCCGCAAATCACCCGCAGCAAAACATCCTCCAGTGAAGTCGCAGAGGTTGTGTGGAGGATTTAGATTTTTCTCTGAATCAGGTAGGAGATGCGTTGTAGCATTTAATTTAAGAAAACCAGGATAGTCTAAAAAGAACAATGTTTTGTAGTTATAGAGTAGAGAAACCAACCGTTAAATCACCAAGCGTTATTCTTACCTTTTGTAAACACACGTAAAGCATCTGCATTTTCAAGACTTGAACCGTATATTTGGGATCCATCAATGTAGGAGGTGATTATGTTTAATTGTTCCCGACTTTTGATATTTGTGGGGTCAATTTGACAAGCAGCAGCTGACCGTGTGAATGTCGTACAACCACGCTCTGGATCAGGGTACTTTATGGGATAGCATGGGTAAACATAGTCTTCCTTCCTTCCGTCGCAACTTGAGAAAAGACATTGAATAAAATGTTGAATAGTTTGGAACGCAAAGGTTTTTGAATTCTACAAAAATCTACGAATACAATTTCTACATTACCTTGGCAATGCACAACGAAAAGAGCCTTCACTCTCTGCTGTGAATGTAACATCATGATCCAGGAATTGACCCCATTGCATCATCATATGTGTAAACTTTCCGTTTTTCTTATCGTGGATTCTGCGCTTTATATAACGTTCACTAATCAAATGTGGTGAAGGTAGTTGCACGCCTGAATCTTGCCCTGGAAATCCGTAAGGTTCACCATCTCCTTCTGTATCCCAATACTTGGCTTTGATTATCCTATTAAATGGGACATTCGCTGCCCCCCACAGGGGATGTTCCAGATTGTTGCAAGTACCGTCAATTTTTCGGTATTTTAGGTCCCAATCTGAACAATTTGCTTTTGGAATGATACAATGAGTGGTATCAATGAGCTCCTCTAATTTGTCGTGGGAGGCTAGGAATATTGGCGAAAGATTTGTAATGATCCGCCGATCTGTTTGAAGACGTTTATCTAAAAAATAAAAGAATGGATTGAACCCTGACGATGAAATGGAAGATTACTTGTCCTCAACTTGTTTTCTTATCACTCGTCTGCCTCGTAGAAAATACGCGGTACCATTTGTACATTTCCTTAGGTCTACGTTATATAGGAGAATATTGTTGTATGGAACTTTTTATATGTCATTGCTGAATCCTTTTTAATTCTTACCTCTGAACTCATCGACAACGCTTTCTCGAAGCTCTTTGATAATCTTATCAAATTTCATTTCTGCTTTTGAAATGATCTGTGCGGTCGGTGACAATTGACGGAAGAAGCGATGAAATGCAAATTCTGAGACTGGACTACCTGCTCTCTCATCCAACATATTCTCCTCTGTTTTTTCCACGAGATGGTTAAAATGATCGCCGGAAAACGCGGGAATTACGATGACTTCGACTTTCGCTGAAGCTGTTATGGTCGAGCTTTCTCGTAGTTTCGTAACTACTGTAAAGCGGAACAGCTTTGATGAATTTGTAGTTAAATTAAGTGTGCTAAAATCGTATTTTGATTCTAATGTACCATGATATTTATCAATAGAGAAGTAACGGTTTTTGCCGGAGATATCGAACATTATATATTGCGCTGCTTTTGGAGGTTGTATTGGCACATCATAAATTCTACTGCCAGGTTTTAGTTTATCGCTGATAACGATTGAGTAGGAAGATCTGGAAAATTTGATATTTGATATGGTGGGCGATATCGCGCGTATATCGAATTGGACTGGAACAAAGGCATATCTAACACGATTCACTTCAGCTTTCACCGTCATTTGATAACTCTTTACTTTCGGTGGCAGATGACGTACTGATGTGATTTCGCCTGGAAACAAAAAGTATACAATGCTATTCTGAAATGTCTGTAGTAGGCTATAAAAACATTTTAGGCACACGTTAGATTGGAACACTACCAGGTTCATATGATGTTTATTTGTTTTCTCGTTTTCCAACCGGTGGTTGATATTGCACTAACCTGTGGTTGATGATATTCTGAACGGATAAGAACCAATGTCATTTTGTTTGGGATATTTCCTTATTAAGCTGTATTTCACAGGTTTCTTAACGCCAACAGTGTATGCATTAACAGTCAGTACCAGTGTGTACTTTGGAATAGTCTTTGAAATAGTCTTGTTGTATGCCTTTCTTTCAAACCTTAACTCGTACGCTATGAAGAAGAAATGTTCTAAATTCAATTTTTCGCTCTTAAAGAGTTCACGCTAACAAACACTCTCGAACGCTATGAAGCACGGTGCAGAGGAAGATATATGGTAAAAAAAATCTGAAAACATCACCTGATCACCAGACGTAATAAATTTAGACATTGTCTTGTCCTTTATACGAAATGACAAAATACTTCATACCTGAACAGTTAAAACCATTTTTATTCAGTATGTATCCGACGTTACATGAACAACGATAACTTCCAATTGTGTTGATACAGTTCTGTGCACATTTATTGTCTCCCTTACATTCATCATTGTCTAGAAATCAACAATTATTGCACATCAAATCACGATCTCTAAATCACAGGATTTAGATAAATTCTTACCTATAGCTGTATAGGTTGCTCTAAATCCAATGTTACGTCGTCTTCTCTCAATATCAGCGTTAAAACGAATCCACATATGTTTGCCTGGGACTGTAACATTTACGATTTGCGACATCCCACAGAATACCACAGTCGTCCTTGAACCACGTGGCTTCTTTCTATAGTACAGTTCAGAGGAACTCACCGCTACACGGTCCTTAGAACGGCAGTCGATACCAAAGTTATCGTGAAAATCCAAGTGCACAAAGTAACCTCGATAATAGATGATAATAGCAATTGAAATGTGAACTTATCGATCTGAACTAACTCTATACTGAAACATATTATTTCGCTCGCTTCCTGGTAGAAATGACCCAGCAAGGGACATTGCTTTGCAAGATAATGGGGTTAGATAGGTCAGTGAAAAAATCTGAGAAACCTCGCCGGAAAGGGGATGATTTCACTCAACTTATACTGGACAACCTATAGAGGTTTAGGAAGGGCGATCACAATGCATTGGTCTAGCTATAAAGATCTACTCTGAGTCGCCGAGTGTCCGGTTTAAACCGGTCCTTTCCTTTAAGGGACATTCACTCCACATTGGTCCTACAGAAGGTTGACATTCACGCATATTGATTGGATATGTCTATGATCATGCAATATCATGGCTTATTCATATATTCATAAAACCTTTTGGTACTTTAATTCGCCACAAACATATTTGATGTCTACGATAAGGTTGTGGGTAGCCTGGAGTCTCAATTGTACCAATGTTACCAAACACTTTAATTTGACGTCGCGGACACCTTCCTATAAAAATACAATTTTACTGTCAAAATCGCCGTAGAAATTGTCTTATAATTATGACAACTGACATTATAATATACTGCATGTTGGACATTATAATTTACTGCATGATGGTCATTGTAATATACACATCATTGTTTCTGTGCTTTTTTCTCATCAACCTTCTTTTTTTCAGCATGTCAAAATTTCCACATTTATCTACACTCGTGTAAAATACCAAACAGTTTCTGCGATGATTTGTAGGTATGTTTATTTCTTCTAATTTATTTTATGTATTGTAGATCATGTGATTACGCAAAATAGGCGAGAGTTAATGAGCTAATAGGCTAATATTAGTTAAATTATTCAAGCATTGCATAAGTGATTAGAGCCTCGTGCTAGTTAATGACAAAACATTGAAATCAACGAAGCGTTTCTCGAATATATATTGCCCTAACATGTGTAGTTCACTAACTTCGTTTATCGTTCTTCTTATTTCCACTTGAACAACATCCGCCAAGAAGCAGCGTTACAAGCCTATAATCATTAGAAGACTCTTAGAATTTCGCTAAAATACATTGTACCACAAAAAAAAGATTGTATTGATTGACTCAGATAGTTGGAAAACATTATGTCTAACCTGACGAATTTTGAGGATGCTGGGAAAAATATAGTGGCAATGCTGATTTATTTCCAAGTTCTAAACTCACCTTAAAAATGCATACCGGTAGTTGGGATTTTGTATATCAATACGAATGTTTTGAATGTATGGTATCAGGTTTCGTAGTTTGTCATTGCAATACGAGTATTAAATTATTTGAGTTTATAGGCCCAGTCAGATTCTGCTACCTTACAGAATACAAAATAATCAATGATTCAAAATGTCATGCATCCCACCTCAATCGCTTGAAACAGTTCTTCCAAATTGACTGAAGTTTTTATTTTTTTACCGAGTAATGTTATTGCCATAAGGATTTGAATACTGGTTATACTGCGATCATTCCTGAGAGGGTATTATCATAGCAAGGAGTCTTTAATGTATTTATACATGTTCAATAATTATATAATACAAAGATTTCAAACCACATTGAAGGTTATAGATACTTTGACACTGCAGAATCAAGATACTTTACATCAAGTTGTGAATTTGATAGTTTCGGGTTTAATGAAAGTGCCTTTGATATTTGGATGAAATTATAATGTTTCCTTCTTGACAATCGTCATCAATACATAATGTAAACACTTATCAATGACTAGTCAATCAGTAATACTAGTTCTGTCACACTTACATAAAAGTGATGAGAAATGATTGTTTGACGAACATTTTTGCATCTTCTTGCTGAGAATGTCTACCACCGATATGTCGGATATACCATGAGATCATTAGCCAATCATACTTGAGATTATAATTAATGATAAATGATATTGGGCTCGGAGACATATTTTGTTGCGTTTATATAATGTGATGTGCAGCAATATTGACATTATCGCTACTTGATAATTGTTAATATGTAATCAATCTATACGTAATACAAATATTTCATCTTTTATTGTAGTTTATAAATTTCCCTCCCTTCTTAAAGATGCACAGATATTTGACCACCATGAAGTGCTCCAAATGATTATTCCATTATTCCAGTCTAGAATATATGAATCAATTATTACTTTCATTCTGATAAAAATAAACTATAATCAAGAAATCTTGACAATTCCTTGTTTTTATTCAACTTTATCTGTCTATTATGTGATGGGAATACTCTGGTAATTTATTTTAATCTGTTTGGTGACTGTTTTTATATTGTAAGGTAGAATAGTCCAATATACATGGCTCTTGATTTATAGTAAACAGTCCGGTTTACGCATGCCTAAAAAGTTGGCTGATAGCACAAAATAATAAACTTCAGCTTGTTTGGAAAATATATAGTGCAGGCTCGTATTTTTCAGCGTGCACTATTGTGTAAATCATGCGTAGCCTAGGTGTCTGAGTAAGGTCATGCTCATGTTCATCGACATCGTTGTTACGTTGGCAAATCATTCTAAGCATCAACAATGTGTCAATGACCGACTATGGATATTGTCGATGTTTCCTCTTAAACATCTATCGCAATCATCGTCTGCCATTTACTATGATTATTGAGGAATGACATGATATATTTTCGTCCTTGCCGACATTTTCATCAGTCACCAAGTTACACTTAGAAAGTGTCACTGTCTGCATTCCCGGAGTGAAATCATTTCCTAAAGTGACGGCGGTGCAGTGAATGCCAGCGATATGCAAGCTAGGGGTTGCCAGTTCACATAATATTAGCATAAATTTCGCCATAATTAAAAATGACGGTATCTTCCAACAAACACGTGCGGGCATCGGACATTTAAGGAAATGTTGCTTTCAGTCATCTCACTTCAGGTCAGTTACATAATTGAAGTGCATAGGTTGTCAAACTCGTCATGAAAATAAATGAGAACTCGAAAACCGGTCAAATCATCAACTGCATGGGGGAAATTTGAATTAATTTATCGTTAATGGCGAAACACAATTGACAAGGCTGCAAATTGACTCAAGAGAGTTTCACTACGAGATATTTACCTATTTGAGGGGGGCAGGAGCTAGAATTTGTCATTACTATACATAATAATTGCTTTCAGACTGACAGAATAGATCTGTTACGTCCGATGAAGTAATTAATTTTTCACGGAATTCATGATAAATGCTTCATTTTTTTGACATCTAGATAAATGAGTTATGAAATTCCTTTATTGCATGTCAGTGCATGGGATGGTCGTGCGCAAGCTCTGCTGTATTCGAAGACAGTTGAATTTTATACAGTCCAACTCCGGCTGTTTGCAATTACTTGAAAACCTTTTCCAAGGTGAGTTCAATACCGTTTTTATGTTGATTGTCTTATGACCTAATCAACGGCTTGTCTTTAAGCGAAAGACCTTTTTCAGGGAATTGATATTTTTCTTATTTTTCCCATGCCTTGTCTGTTGTCTGTTGAGATATAAAGTCCTATAACCATTTCGCTTGGAGAAGATTGCTAATGACAGACAACAAACTGTTTGTAACTTAAGCGCGTGCACTCGAAAGAAACCTTCTGAGGTAACCTCTGGTTGTCAATCTAACTCGGCAGCTTTTGAGTAAAGCAAACTTAATTTATGAAAACTTTTTTTACAGCATATTGTCTGCATAGCATACATCACATGTTTATTCTTCATATGTATTGTTAAATATTGTAGTTGTATTTATCTCAATGTGATATATTGAATTATAGTTCTGAGTTTACGAAGAAAGGCTCACTCACGTAAATTACCTAACAAACAGACAGAGCATTCTTTATTAAACAAATCATATGATATTCATTTAGAAAATTTTTTTATTACCGTTTAAAACAGTTGCTTTCTTCAGGGCATTCAGCTTTCAGGTGTGTTTTCATGACGGAAAATTCAATGGAAAATAAGTTATATAAAATTGGTTACACAGGTTTTGGAAAATGCTCATAATTTCTTTCAACGATTAAAAGGACACATGAGGAATTGAGATTGCCAGTTCTGGTTTGTTTAAACAAATGGTAGTAATCAGCGTTACTTACTAGTTAATATTCCACCTGTTGAAAGATTTCATATTACTAACTCATGAGCGTAAACATTTCATCGTGACAAATACATTTACTTTGTTGGTATATTATCCACACCCGTTCTGATGCATTTAATTATAGGCCGGAATAGTATTCACGCATTAACTAACCTCCTCTCATGTTGAAGAAGACGGGTACTGAGTAGTGTGATTTTTTACGGCGAAAGGCATGCTGGTCTAGAATAGCTAAAATACACAGTAGTTGCGACATTTTTTCAGTGGGGGCTCGCTTTTGTAACAAGTGGAAGCCAACAGGCGAGCCTTCTAAAACGTATTCGTGCATGATGTGCCGGATTTAGCAAAAAAACCAACATTGTAGTTAGAAGAGTTCTAAATATTCCGTGATTTCCTAAACCGGAGGCCGTTGTACAATCCGTTTAGACGCTGCAACATGCAAGATCACTTTAAGAAAGAATTGACGAAACTTCGCAAGAGATTAAGATTTACTGCATTATTGTCTGAAATTTTAATGAGATTACCTAAGCGGATTAAATGTTCAAGACTAAAAGCTTTTTTCACAAGCCGCCTGCGAAGCCAACAAAAAGACCTTGTACCGATTAATCAATCCAGCGGAAGAGGATCATTTGTTTAACTGCCTTATTTCATCTTTCTTTTCTTTTTTTTCTTTTATTGCAATATTATCAATACTACCAATGAAAATTAAACCACCACCTGTGTTCAACTTTTGAACGATATAAAGTAAAATGTATGAGTGACGATTGAAATTGCTACAACCTGACTTGCTCTTTTTGACCTCCAAGGATATTTTCTGTAGTAACAGTTTATTATTTCTGTAAATGTTTGAATGCTACAAGCTGTAATCAATGAAAGATTTGTTCCAGAACCAGAGGTTCATTCACCTCAAATTTCCTACCACTATCGGCTTATTCTTTCCCCGCCAGCTAAGATTTTATCATATTTTTTTAAGCGGTTGTTTAAAATCTTTTGAGATTTACCAAGAGATGTCAAGAGCGAAATATAAGACACATAATTATCACGTCCGTCCTAAACTGGCTGAAGTCAAACCAAATTTATCACGAAAGCGTATAAACTGTCAATATAGTAGAAACTATTAATACTTTGACCAAGGAAATTTAAAATGCGATGTTAACCACGTTTTTGTTACTGTATGGTAGCACGCAGCCCTTCTAGGGCGACATTTGTCTATTGTGTAAATTTAGAATACCTAAAAATACACACCATGCACCCACACTTGGTCATTGGACTGTATCAAACAGACGAGGTTATCAATTGTTGGTCAAGGATCAATCCATGTAGTCGAGAAACATCGATAGTCATAAAATAAGACATTTGGTAAACAACAGTTTTTGATAATATTTCCTTCTGATTGTAATTTATTCCAGATTGCATGATTTAATCTCACTTTTCACAGGTACTTTAACGAACAAGGCCAAGGACTGACTGCTTCATCTACACCACGATAAACTGTAAGTTTTTTAAAAAATAATGTTATAGTGAAACAATCTTGCTGGCTTGAAACAGGAGTGATCATCATTCATTCTCGTGAACACTGACACCTTTATGATGTGATGGAAGGAGATATACTGCGCAATAGGCCAGGGATTAGTGTTGTCGTTATATAATTAGAGCGGGTCTACTTAGTTGCTCACTAAAAAAAAACCTTTAAAAAGACAAGTGACAAATAATTATGTTATAAGGTTATTAAAAAGACGTCCTCGTGTCTCTTCTTCAAAGAGTTTGACACAATGACGTATATCATCATTTGAAATAGAATGCATGTACTGTACCCACCAAATGTATGTGATATATATATATATATAAAATAAGTGCTCGATATACCGAAATATAGAGCTAATTTACTTAGGCGAAGTCTGTTTTAAAAACCACGTTGGTGGGTGTCGTGCAAATACCGGAGAATCAATACATATAATAGGATCATTGCTGACCTTGTATCATCAAAATTAAATTCTATATACCATTTGGTGGAATAGCACCACGAACTTGTTTTTACTGCTGCGAATTCCACGTATCCAGATTAGATTTACTGTTTGCTGCTTTCGTGTCCTCGTATCTCAATCATTAGAATGTCATGCATGCTGCATGCATGTATGAAATATTTTAACGGCTTTGTTAAATTTCATTGACTACATTCGGAAGGCTGAATGCTCGAGATAATTAGAAAACAACAATAATTCTTTAATCTAAATATTTTTTCTAAATTTTTGTTTGAATGTTTTGTGGTTTGAGAGACAGAAGCAGTCTTTGTTAACTTAGACAATGACTGCAAGTAGTTTTAAGTATAGGCTCAATACCGGATGTTGCTAATTGGTTTGATAAACGAAACAATTTATATAAATATTTGAGACTTATAAGATTCATAAAAGAGTCTTCGTCTATATAGAGAAGACATGATTGTTGCCTGAGAGGGATTATAACAAATGTAAATTGAGGTTGGTAGCAATCAAGATATACACGCCGTGGTGCGTGTGTGTACATCTTTAATCTTTGCTATACACTATAGTCATCCCATTTCTTTGTCGCACTTGAAAAGAATCTTTTCAGAATGATTATTCAACAACGCTTCTTCTCGTTCTTACAATAATATCCTGCTTGAATACTCTATAAATGGGGGGAGCCTATTTATACTTGTGTTTTTAGAATAAAACAAACAAGCCCGTTTTTCCCATTAATTTCCTGACACGGTGAGGCCTTCGCTTTTTTAGTTTTTCAGGAAGTTTCATCCTAAGAAGTTCTGTAGCATCCGTTAGAATTAATATTTGTTTATTTCCCAAAGTGTTTAATTTACTTAAACCATCATCGACGCGGAGTGTCAATTGAATTAACCTAACCCTCTTTTGAAAGCTGCCGCCTATTCAAGTGATGTCTAATTATTGTAAACAGCTTGTATGAAATAATGCTTGCTTTACGGAAATCATCCACAGATTGTTTCTTTTAGTTTGTGTCATTCATCTAGCCATTTGATCACAAACATCATCTAGCTTCTACCCTAGATATTTCAATTGGAAAAGAATGGTGATGAACGTGATGGTGATGCTGGTGATATTACTCAGTTTAATGGTACACTGTGTCATAGCAGATAGATGGTTGTAAGTATCACTCGCATTATCTGATAAATATGGTTTGTGTCATTAAAATTCCAGTAGGACTTTAATATGTCCTGTTTCCCTCGAACCTGAGTTGGGATTTGGGTCCGTTCCTAAAGGAACTCTTCATATATGCTTGAGAAAGCTAAATTCACAAAGTAATGTTTGTCCCTCTTGTTGTCCCGTGTGTAACTAAAGTGTTCACGTGTCCACTCTCAGTTATTTCAAGTTTTCTTCTAATAAAACTAAGGTCAATATTTCCTTCGAGAAAACTTTGGGTAGCGTAAAATGTGTAAATTTGTGTCACTACATCATTATGCAATACATCATAGAGAAAGTTTCGCTCGTTTCACCAAGGTAAACCATTTTAACTATATGGGTAAAGACGTATGTGTAGTGACGTTTGGCTTACGTAAATATTGCATGATATATTTGTTTGAGCTTCTCGTAACAAAATCAGATAATATAGAAAAATACATGGTAAAGATGCAAGCATGTTTTTTAAGATTTTATTTCTTTACAAATATTGAGGGACTTGGCGTTATAAAACTATTGTGGCTAGGCGGTACTTTACAGAGGTTTGCTTGCTCTTTGAAGGAGCGGCTCTTGCCTTTGGCGGCGTGTTGATGTAAAAGTGACGTGCTTCTGACCAAGTTGAGCAGATGTATCTCCCAGAATCTCACTGAAATCTATCGTTGCATTACCTACTTACCCCACCATTACTACACACCAGAAGGCGCAATCCACAGTTAAATAATAACGTAGAGTTGAACTGATATCGATGTTTTGGATATGGTTTAATTGCCCATTCATAAAAATAGTGTTATACAATTGAATACAAGCCGGTCGTTCACTTTACCTTGTTCCGAATGACGCTAACAACATTTTATATGTTTGAAATCTTGCGTCGAAATAATTTTTTTTTGCAATAAGTTTTTACTATTGTGTTGATCATATATCTAAAGTTTGATTTGTAACTCAGTTGTAATATTCTTCACCATAGGTCTATCGCTCTTAGTGGTTCAACATTTAAGAATGAAAAAACGTGCCAGGATTTGAAAGGATTAAACCGAAAGCAAATCCGTGTTTGTAAGCGACATGTTGAACTCATGAATAGTGTGAAGAAAGGAGCGGAAATGGCCATTGAAGAGTGTCAGCGTCAATTCAAGTATCGAAGGTGGAATTGTACCACCATCAATAAGGAGAACGAACCTGTGTTTGGAAATGCATTGAATAAAGGTAAGAATTTAGTTGATGTTAAGTTTTTGAATGTTTTTGAGCTGCCGATAAAGGCCGCAGTTCATGAATCATTCATCACACGAACGTCCCGCGCCGCCGGCCGCGTCAAAATTTAAATTAGTAATTTGAGACGATCGACTAAATTTTACTTAAACTAAATTTTATCCAATTATTCAAACATTGAGTGTCTTTTCTGATTCAGGGACAAGAGAAGCTGCATTTGTGTACGCCATTGCAGCGGCTTCTGTGTCGTTTTCCGTTACAAAAGCCTGTACATCTGGGGATCTTAAAAGTTGTTCATGTGACCGTTCATTTAAGACGAAACAAAGAAGGAAGACAAAAGAAAATTGGCATTGGGCAGGATGTAGCGATAACGTTCATTTTGGAAATAGCTTTTCAAAAAGTTTTCTCGATGCCAAAGTTCGTGAGAGACAACATTTTAGTCGCTCCAGAATTTTGATGAATCTGCATAATAACGAGGCTGGACGTAAGGTATGTTCCGTAATCTTTGCTCATAAATTCTGCCTGGTATATCGCACTACTAATAACAACCGTTTTGCTGTGCATTAGATTTTACTAAACAACATGGTAAAAACATGTAAATGTCACGGAGTATGTGGAACATGTTCCCTTAAAACATGCTGGAGGCGTCTGCCGCCGATTAGACGTGTTGGTGACAAGCTTAAAGATAAATTTGATGGTGCCAGTTTGGTGAAGGAGGCGATCACAGGTGGAAGACGAATCTTAGTTCCAAAATTTGAAAAGTTAAAACCACCAACGGTATCAGATTTAGTATATCTTGATCCTTCGCCAGATTTCTGCGAACCGAATAAAACCACTGGTTCCCTAGGTATTTCAGGCCGTACTTGCAAACTTGGTTCTAAAGCAATAGATGGATGTGATTTGTTGTGCTGTGGTCGCGGATTTACAACCAGAACTGTGGTGGTTGAGAAGGAATGTAAATGTACTTTCAAATGGTGTTGCTATGTGCGTTGTCAGACATGTAGACATCAAATCACCATTCATTCATGTCGATAAATTGATCAAAGTCAAAACTTCAATAAAGTATATTTGGAAATATTTGGGATATAACATTTGTATAAAATATCTTAGTATTTGAGGGATTTTACTTCACTTCTGGTTTTATTCATTCTCATCTTAACGTTTATTAAGCAGGGATGATAAATAGCACTTTAAGATTTTAGAAAAACAGTCTTAATTCTACTGAAGTGTTTTTTCAACTTCTTAGGGTATTTATGCCAGCTGATTAAATTTTCAAATAATAAAGTATCAAATCATGAAATCACACACTAGCTTCCATCTGTGCTATTGATTGGGTTTTTTGGCTCATAAATTTTCCTGTTTGATTCTTGGACCAACAATTCTTTAAACCAACTGATCATGAACGATTTTTCTTGATAAGGATACTCCTCAAAAGTTTGATACTGAACATTATATGATGAATGACTCTTTAGACAATAGGCTGGACATAAAATATTTATTTTTAGAAATATTGCTCAAAAATACAACAATATAATGGCTTTGTACATTCCTTTAACAACACCTTACAAACACACATGTGAGAATTGAAGTGTAATTAAATCAGTGCATTTCAGTATCATATGCAACATTCTGCTTTTCCCGTGTGATTGTCTCTTGAAATTTACCAGGAGCTATTGGATTCTGTTTTGCATGATTCAATGCAAGCCTAAATAAGGAATGTCGAACAATACACTTTAACTGAATCTTACAAGTTGAATCAAATTACAAAAGGTTTGATCTACAGATGCTAACAGTCCCTGGTTTAGGATGTAAGATGATTCTTTATTTGTCATTCACACCTTTTATCAGCAACTTGTCGACACACTTGTATATGTTCATGGATCTTTTGTTTATTTTTGATGGGATCTTCCATGAAATATTTTATCATCAACCTGGTTATATATGGCTATAAATGATAGGAAAGACAATTACAATAATATTGACAGATGCTATAATCAAAATTTTTACAGGTTCTAACCAGTTGTTTCTCCTCTTCAGAGAGGTCCCGGCTACTTGGCTCTATTATAAACAAAACATATTAATAACTGAGCACAAATCCTTATCGGGAACGAGGCTTATTCAATACCACTGGAATGACAATGGGGCTGGAGATGATGGGCCTGGGAACAAGGTTGATTAAGACATCACCAACAAGGCAAGGTATGTGTATTTAGTATTGAGGATTCCAAAAAAACCAAAGTAATTCCCTTTATCAATAGACAATGGTGCTAACCAACAACAGTCTTGTAAAACAGAAAACCACTAACAGGAACGCCAAAGGCCAAAATCTGGAATATTGAAAACAGCAGGTTAGGCTTTATATAAACCAACACGAAGTTTGTAGTAATAGATAAACAAACAAACGACAAAAATATATTAAAAATAGAGTTTGCTACACTCTATGAGTGTAAACAAAAATCTTTCCCTATCAATGAACATTTGTTACCAGAAATTTCCAAGATTGCTTTGGAATTTGTTCAGTCTTGTTTACACTGGTTGACTTGCAACGACGAAAATTTGATAAATCTTCACAAAATTTTAATCAAATATACATGTTACGTATTTACTTATTTTACTAACACTATATCTTGTAGCATACTACTACTTGGTAAGACACAATTTACCTGTTTTATAAAGATTCGAGGCCGGCTTTCTCCAAAATGAACACAATCTATAGACAGCCATATTGATTGTCATCGTGATTAGTCGGATAACTCGGGTTATGTCGGATATACCTCGCGAAGCCGAATATTGCGCGGTTGCAACCACTGATGAGTTGCAACCACTGAGCTAGTTCAGTGGATAAAGTTTTAAATACTTTGTACCATGCACGAAATATGTTTTAGGCTTATGATGTATACCGGGTCATGTTTTCTACTGCGGTGTGCTGTCGGGACCACATCGTAGTGATCGTACGCAGAAATGTAGGGACATATATCTACCTCCTCCGCAGGCCCTCTTCGGGCAAATATGGTGGGCGGTGATATTTTGCGGGTAGAAAATAAGAAATTTAGACATACCCTACATCACCATCTAAAAGTGGCCCTGTACACAGTATACGAGACTACATTTCACTTAAAAGGTTGCTGCAAGTATTATTGCGGCTAACAGCTCACATGATGCAACATGTCATAGCGCATAGGATCAATTTGAATTTCCGTGGATATATCGGCCCCTGTCTCCCACTTTTACTGGTGTCTCTACAGGTTACAAACGGGATTAACTTATTCTTATACTGAATTAACATAACCTGTACCTTCAGGCATTCTTCCGGCTGCTCTCAGTTTTAAAATCAAGAGGAAAACCTTTGTAAGAACGATATACTCTTGAAGCTGATAAAAATATCGTTGTTTGAACTATTATGATATCATATTACGGAAGTGTAGTAGATGTATCCATGGGAACTTGCAATAGAAATGAAACGAAATGAAAATAAAACGTAATTTACATTGGCTATTGATGTCGACGCAAGAACATCCTTCCTTTGTGACACAGAAGAATGAACTCATTTTACTTTCAGAAAATGTGTTCGTTGCTCGGAATTACCGCTGTTTTTATAGCCACAATGAAATCGGAATCCTCTAAAATAGTTACTTTCTTACGATATGTAAGTGGCTTTGGTATACTTTGCCTAATTTATGACATTTTTGCTTATTTTATTGTGAGATGGCTAACAGAGAACATTCTAAGACGTATGTTTGAAGCATTTACTTATTTATTGAAAGTGTTGTTCCTTGATCTATGGACATCTTGGCCGAGAAAAGGGCGAGAGTCGTGAAATCGCGAACGTCATGAACGTATATGTTCAGTGTTTCATACAGACATGAGACAGTACTGCAACGTCTGTTCATATCACGTCAAAGCACAGTATTTTTATATATGGACTATTTTAGTTGTGTCGAATTCACATGAAGATCTACGTTGACGTCACCAATGTCTATGAAGAGCGATAAGCTAACAGATTCACTACGTTGACGTCACCAATGTCTATGAAGAGCGATAAGCTAACAGATTCACTACGTTGACGTCACCAATGTCTATGAAGAGCGATAAGCTAACAGATTCACTATGTTGACGTCGTTCTCATCTGGTGTGGTTAAAACGACTCTCCCGACCAAGAGCTGCAGCAATTCTTTCTCGGAAACTATCGACACTCTCTCGTGTTGCCCCTTCGCTACCAGTGCTCTTAATTCTTCGAACTCTAGACGCAATGATTTCAGAGGTTTCTGACGAAGATATGTCGACACTTGCCGGAGGGACAACAGGTGTCACCCGTGACTTATGGTTGGAATTATTCACTGTTGGCTTATTTAAGTGTCTATTGCACGGAAACGGTCGTGTTACTTCCGGATTTTGTTGAAGAGAGAGTAATTGCATTCTGGTATCACTTAAAGCTTGCGTTAGTTCAAGTCTTTCTTCACATTCACGTCGTACCGTATCTTTCAACGTGATCATCTAAGAAAAAAACATTTTATATAAAAACTGGACATGGCGCAGAATCTTTCGTTTAATAACAATAAATACTCTTAGGGTACCTTACCTCATCATTTTTAGCTTTTAATTGCTTTTCCATGACTTTAAGTTGTGTTTTAGTATCATGTAAACTTTTCTGTAACGCTTCATATCTATTCTTTGCATCAGTCTCCTTTTGGCCACTTTCAGTCTTCAACTGCAACATTTCGACATTCTTTCTCATATCCAGAATTTCATTCTGATATTTCTGTGTTTCCTGAGCATTTCTTGTCTAAATATTCAACAAAATGCTGGTTGATCCAAGGAACAGCCGGACAGATCATTACTACCTTTGTAAAAATGGTTCATTTGAAGAGTATCAGTTACCTTGGTTGTTGACAACGAGTTTTTCAGTTGGTTTATTTCATCTTTATAACCACGACAAATATTTGTTTCATGTACCAGCTTTTATTGCAAGATAAAAAATTTCGTGAACAACAGAACCACAAATACCTTTGAAATAAACCTTCCACATACTTTGTCACTCAAATTCTTTATTTCAAGTTCCATAATACCAATTTCTTCTAAATGTTTTAAATTAAATGCACTAATTTCCTAAAGATAAAGACTCAGTCAATTTTGCAAAAATGCAGTGGCTGCAGTCTACAATTGTAGTTGCATGTTAAATTACTAGCCTTTTCATATTCTTCTTTTAAGCTACGTTGCGATCCTTCAAGGTCAACCTCGACTTTTCGTTTCATTTCATGCAATTCTTTTTGAAGCTATAAAAAGAGAATATAACTTGTTGTGTGCTTATAATAACGCAATCAAACAACGTGACCACAGTGACAGTCCTCATGTTAATTCTGCTTACTGCACTGCATGTGCTTTCCGAAGCTTCCAGTTTCTTTGAATAACTTTCTCTCAGTTGTTCAATACGATTGTGATGCGAAATGATCGTTTGTTCTCTACAATTGTGAATAATTTTGTTAAACTAACTGCATGGGAAGACAAGCCTCAAATATTAAGTAATATATTATTATCAGTTTTCATTGCATCTATTACTTACCTTTCTATCTTAAGTTTTCCTGACTCACTTCTCAGCTTGGAAACGGTTTCTTCCAAATTCTACAAGAGTCCAACCATGCAGTCAAATACAACAATAAATACAGCAAAATATTACTATATAATCTAGGTTTATTTTTAACCTGCAATTGCACATCTTTATCAGTTACTTTCTCTTGAACTTTCTTTTCAGCTGCGGATATCTCATTCATTAATTTTTCTAAGGATATACATAAATCTTTTGATTTTTTTAGTTCTTCATCCTTTGCCATTAATAATTCTTTGGATTTGAAATGTTCTTCTTGTTTTTCTTTTTTTATTGTTTCTAAGTTATCCATTACATCCTTTGCTTCTCTTGATTTCTGGCTACAGAAGAAACAAAGTCTATAAAGTAACTTGAATAACTTTAGACAAAGGAAAACTACAACTTGAAGTTTGCTTACATCAAGCAACTTTCAATGGTCTTATTTTTTTCTTTTAAAGTCTTATTCACTTCTTCTAACTGATTTACATGTTTTTCATAAACATCAACTTTCTGTTTCTGCTCAATACATTTTGTTTGAAAATCAAGCAACTTAGTGTCAGCACCACGTAAGTTATCTACTTCATTTTGAAAGTTTAATAATTGTTCAGTCAGCATCTTCCATTTCATTTCTGTATCTTGTTTTTCTTGCATAACCTAAAATATAAAAATGCTAGGTTTTCTAGGTTACATAAAGTATGCCCTATATTCTATCTAAGAGAGATTTACATATTTTTTATTTCATGCACATTCTTGGGAGAGCCAAATACCTGTGCTACATTAATTGAAGCTATTTTAATACATATTTCCTTAGCCTAATGAAGGCAGTTTTTTATACTATATTTTTTCAATTTCAACCTTCTTTTGAAGAATTCCAGATGCTCTTTTAACTTTTGCAGCGATGTGCAGAACAGCATCATTTGATATCACTTTATATTCACAAACATCTTTTCTCAAACTAATCAAACACTCTTTTTGGTGTCTGATGAATGTTTTGTATTTTTGTAAGGTTGATGACAGATGAGAATTGTGAGCAGACAGTTTATCAGACTTGCTTTGTTCTTCTTTAATGCTACTTTCATATTGGCGTTTCTGTAAATACATATCATTTATTAACTTTGCTTTCATTTTGAGATCAGATTTGAAGAGTTCAAGTCTAAAGAAGGAAAATACATATTGATATGAAATAGTTTCAAATGTTATGATTATATACTGAATTATTACCAGTATATGGCTTTTCAAAATCTTTTATTCTGATTGGTCCATATCTGGACCAGTATCCTGTATGGTCTCATGCAGTTCAGCCATATAATAAACAGATTATTGACCTCGCTTTTCGGTCTATACTGTGAAATATCAGACCTAGGTTTTTGGTACAAACTTCACTCCTTCATCCCTCGTCCATACTAAAAAGCCTTGGTCTGATGTTGTTAAAAGCAGGTCCTATGGTCCCTGCACCCTGACACTTACTGCTGCTCTTGGTCTTTGAGTTTCTGGGACTGTTTAAAATATTCACCATCCATTGTTTCCATTTTTTCCTTTAACAGTTTCTCTCTTTCAACACTTCCTTTATAAAACTCCATCTGCCTCTCTGCCTCAGCTAATTTTTCTTGTAAAGCTTTCATTTCATTGTGGATTAAGTAACTAACTCCACAGAATTTACACACTGTTTCATCTCGTTTCATTTGTTGAATTTCCTCAGGCAAGGGATGCTGTGGTACAGCAAAACTTGTAGCTTCTAGATTTGTCATGTTTTCAGATGAATTTGAAGCAAATTAACAAGTATACTTAATATGTACAACTGCATACTCGTTCTTCATGGATAAACCCCTTCGAAACCCAATCTTCCTTTGACGTAAGAAACAGCGTTATCGCCCATTAAAACCAAAAGCCTTCAAAATATAAACGTTTCATCTAACATTTTTACAAATAAACGTGTGTATTCTTTTTAATTTTTTATAAAATATTCAGCGTCTGTTCCTAGGATACCGAAGACATTGCAGCCTCGTACCCATGGCCTTTGCTTTGCTACACCGTTGCGGTATCACGGGGGGTGATATATAAATAATGAAATACAAATTAAAAAAATATCTTTCAGTATTTTCTGATGGAAAACCCACAAATTCAAGCTCAAAAAGGTACAGAAACTGGCGATGCTTTTAATGGTATGGAAGCAAACGATAGTTCTACCGCTATAAATCCTCAAAGAAGTAGATTTCCTTATTGTATAGTGTGGACTCCAATCCCAGTTTTGACGTAAGTTACATTATTTTAATTTTTAATATATTTATTAATATACTGTACATAAAAAAGTTGGGTTCATATTAGACGTTGTTGAATTTAATGTAACAACTGTAGCCTATCGGTTATCACTTTTATTAACAGATAAAATAGTTTTGTCATTTGCCAGGTAGAATAGCGTTTCTAATTATGTTTTGTGAAATATTTTTAATAATACTCCCTCAACGTTTTTATGTACCATGTTTTTGGCAGTAAATGTGAATTGTATAACGTGCTGTTCTAGATGGTTATTTCCATTTATCGGACATATGGGAATAGCAATGTCCTCTGGAGTAATTCGAGACTTTGCTGGACCTTACTATGTTTCAGTAAGTATACTATTTTGATACATAAAATTAGGTCTACACTCCACAGTGTTGCCTGTGTTGGTAATTTTGACAAAAGTTGGTATATAACACAAAACAATATTTTTAGGAAGATTCCATGGCTTTTGGAAGACCTACAAAGTAATAAATTTTGAAATATATTGAGAAATGTAATTTATAATTTATTTTAATAACATATCTATGTATACTTCAAACATTGTAGATATTGGAAACTTAATCCAATGTTTGTGAAGAATTCAAATACATCCTGGGATTTTGCCATATCTGAGGCATCAGAAGTTTATAAACATAGAATGGTAAAACAGGCTTAAACAGCAGAATATTGTTTAAATAGCATGCATTCATGATCAAAATTTAAGTACATATATTGCATAAGGAGTATCCATTTTATTACAGCACAATCTCTTTTGCGATAACTGCCATTCTCATGTTGCTATGGCTCTTAATATTATGAACTATAATGGCTCATCATCATGGAACATGGTTAGCTTGTGTTTCTGGCTTCTTGTATATGGAAAATATATCAGGTTGATATTTTTATATATCATTTCTAATTTTAGGTACTGTACATAATTTCTGTTGGATTATGTCATTAGTATTTGATTCCTAATTCTAAATTTTAGTGTTGGATCATTCTTAAAGACATGGCTTCCATTCCTTATCCTTGCAGTGGTAATTATTCTTATAGTCACATTAGCTGGTTCACATTAAGAATTTTTGTCTTCTACAAAAATTTTTATCTTCTACAAAAATTTTTAAATGTAATCTGGGTTCAAATACATAGGTAGACACATAAAACTGGAATTGGCAAGTAATTGTTTGTTTAATGCTTATCCTAGTATGTAGATATATGTATGTATGCAATTTTTCTTCACGACCATGCACTATTAGTGACAGTTTGAATTAACAATCTTCCAGTATTTGGAACAAGAGTTTCAAAAGAATAGTTATTATTTGAAACCATAGAAAAGCCTTGATATATTTAGAAATTTGTAGCATTTAAACACATTGGTGTTTAACATAATATAGTTTAAATGTATATTGCATCTCATCACACACTATCTGATGATTGTTAAAAGTTATTTGCTAATGAAAGTCAACAATTCTCAGTACAACTGTACAAACCATTAAAAACAGAACAATGAGGTATTATTGTGGTACGTAGCATACATTTTAATAGTATATAGTTTTTATAGTTGTTTAATTATAAGCAACCACAGTGAAATTTTGAATTTTTTACTTGAACAAGTTTTAACGAGAGTCCACAGCATTTGATATGATACCAACAATCACAATCATCACATTGAACCCATGAGATGATATTGCTATCTGGTTTCATACATTTTGATGCAGAACAAGCATCATTGTTTGGTTGCAAATCTTCTGTTGATCTTGGTCTTTTCTTCTCTAAAATGGAAAACAACTCTAGGGTCTAGGGTCTCTTCTGGAATATCAATAAGGCTACAATAAGGGATTGTTATGTTGCCAAAGGCAAAGGATATGGTAAATGCTATGTATGGTTCTAAGTAAACTCTTCAAAACACTCCATAGGCATAATTATGGGGTCTATTAACTCTTCATAACACTCCATAGGCATATGGAGGCCAAGGCCTCTGAATTATTAAGGAGGCCTCTGGATTGTTATGGAGGTCTATGGGGGCATGTGGAGGCTTATGGAGGACTACGGAGACCTATAGATGCATATGGAGGTCTGTAGAGTATTAAGGAGGTCTATGGAGTGCCACAGAGGGATATGAGGGGATATTATGCTGGGCTATGCTGCTCTAGTAAGATTAGGAAACATGATACACTTCAAGAGTGGCCACTTAAAGTAACTATTCATGAAGGAATGCACTAAATATTTTGTTGCTAATAAAACAAAATAGTTTTAGATCAGCCATACCTGGTTTAATCAAACTTTTGTATTTGTTTTCACAAGCAGCATGACGTGAAGGAAATTCTTCTGAATATTTGGGGGGGAAGAAATCTTCGTCTGTTTCATTTTCGTTCGTGAAACAAGAGGCTGCCATTGAAGCATCTTCCTTCAACACATTATAGTCATCACTATTGTCAAAACTAAGAACCCTTCTTATATCAATAGTGCCATTTGTAGATAGGAAAGAAGATGTTGCTGGAGTATCCAAGATATCCTGTGAAATGTTTGTTTCCTTTTGGTTGTTGTGAATTTCATAATTTTTCCAATCAATTCCCTCCTCACAATGAAAACTTTCAAACTATATAAAGGATAAAATCATAGGACAATGACCAATCAAAAATGGTTACTTATTCCCCCATTATAATACACATTTTTGTCAGATGACTATGATCAGAAGTTCATTAAAAAATACAGTAATTACCAAAAATCTGAATTCTGAATTTAGTTGTTTATAGCAATTGCCAGTTTGCAGCAATGCTCCTTGTACATGACCGAAGGTGATCACATCTCCAGGTTTTAACAAAGCCTCACTGGGTATTTTAATATCATTCACAAATGTGCCATTAAGACTGACATCATAGATTTTAAAAACATCACCAAACTGAGTCTGTGACTTGGAAATTCTTGCATGAATTCTTGAGATCAATGCTTTGTGTTTGGATGATGCAATAAAGAAGTCAACATTACGTTTTGCCCTTCCGATGACTGTAATATTTTGTTGCAAACTATATGGTAAGGAACAAAATCATTTATATATATATATTATATTATATTATTTATATATATTGTCAGAGATGCATACTACTTTACTAGTATGTACGTGTGTAACACTCACACAAAAACGTCAGCAACGTGTTTCATTGTTGCGCGATCACCTATTCTTCGCAAACGATAGTAAATTTTTCTTCCCTCCATGTGTAAAAAGCCAGGTTGTTTTCAATTTTCAAAAGTTTCTTTCATATTATTCACACCCTCTTTAAATTTCCCGCCAACCCAAAAATGGTGTTTGCGCTAATTTGCGCAATGTGCTCCCCAGGAATTTACCCCTCGCACGCCCCCTGACGGCTGACACTGTTCGTAATTTCTTAAATTACATTTTTTCAGCCATTATATATTTTATAATTTTGGTTGTATTTTTCGTGTTAAGATCCACCGAAATTATTTTGAAAAGAGCCATGTTGTTAGCGAAACGTTTGTTGCCCGGTATTCATTATTCCAGGTAAGAAAAATCTCTTTCAACATGATTTATAACCGAAACTAATTAAATTTTTGCCGAGTTGATTTTATAAAATTAATTGAACTGAACTGAGAAAAACTAAACATATTCGTACAATAAATAGAGTTCTATTTATTTTTTTAAATCTTGTGGTCTAAATCTCTTTAAAGAATCAAGTTTTTAGTGTAGAAATTTAGGTTTGATGAGAGCCATTCACAAGTTATGTAAATTTATAGCTCTGAAAGGTGGGGTTTCAAATGAAATGTAAACAGGTTGTGAAATCATATTATGTTATGATGCCATGCAGCTTATAATATTCCAATGCTTTTAGGCAATGTTGCAAGCATTTTATTTGATTGACTAACCATGGTGAACATGGACAAGCCAGACCACCATGTTGATTTGCCTGAAAGCTAATTGACATGTGTAATACGGTAGAGGTTTTAACCTCATTGGGCCTACTGCATGTTTTTTGTAACTGTGATATTGATCAGAGAATAAAAAATAATTCTTCTTAAAAGTTTCCTGACATGAAAACAAATTTGTAGTAGAAAATATGTTGCAAATTGTTTATTTTGAGATTTCTTACTTTACATTTATATCTATATTAGGGTGATGTCGAGATTATGTCATCATTCCTTGCCAGTCAATGAACCCTCCACAGATCTGACAAATCCCAGTATCAGAACCAATCTCTTAGATGAACTTCACAATGTTGAGAAAGATGAGCTTGAGATTCCTTGTGTTGTTGGGGGTGAAAAAATATTCACTGGAAATATTGCTTATCAAGTAACAGTAAGTTTATTGTTGTATACCTACAATATTTTGGCAGTTATCCTAACCTATCTTTACTCAGCATATTGTTTCCATTGTCTACTAGCCTTACAGACATCAAAACAGGATTGCAAAAATTCACCTTGCTGATGAGGTGTGTTAAAAATTTCTTCCATAATTTTTAGACAACCCTTAAATATCACTGCATGTTTTCACAACTTAATTGCATATACATTTCTAGACAGTTATTAAAAAAGCAATCAATGAATCCTTGGCTGTCAGGAACAATTGGGAGAATATGCCTCAGAAGGAAAGGTGTGGAATGACCAGGAAAGCTTAAATACCAAATAAGCTGAGGAAATTAAGCTTATTTATTTCACAATCATGTATATATTCCTGTTTCTGTTCAATTAAAGGTCAATGTTGTAATTTATCTTTAAAGGTCAGCAATCTTTCAAAAAGCTGCAGACTTGTTAACAACAAAGTATCGGTTGCCTTTATTGGCTGCAACAATGGCAGGACAGGTAAACTCCAACATTTCGTTTAGCTTATGCCATGTACGACTAAATGTGTATATAAGGTGCATTTCTTATTGACGCATAGATATAAATATATATGATTGTGGCCATGTTGTGATGTCCACATTTTTATTTAGGCCAAAGTTGCAATCCAGGCAGACATTGACTGTATTGCAGAACTAGCTGACTTTCTAAGGTTCAACTCGTATTATGCCCAGGTATAAACTATTGTAATATCTGATTTATCAGTCAGTAATGGTTTGAATAAATTAGCTTGTAGGTACACCAAGTAAGTATTATTAATATTGCAAAGCTTTCAGTCTGTCATCCCAGTATACTATGCCCTCTATGTGCCTATACTATACTATAATGCCTTAGTGTAATATAGTGTGTATTGTGCAAAAGTGTAATACTATGTGCCTATACTGTATCTTTTTCTGTCCTGATGTATAAATTCACCTCACCCATCATATGATAACCCATTGCACTGATGAAGATCATAGTTTAACAGACTGAAAGCTTTGCAATATTAAATACTTACATGGTGTGTCTAAAAGCTAATTTACTTATTGATGTCACCATTCAAACTTACAAGAATATTATTACAGTAATGATTTATATACACTATGGTATCCAAAACAAATAGAAATACAACTTTATTTATTTTTAACATAATTGTTTTAGGGAATTTTGGACCAAGTTGAAATTATTCAAACAGATGGAGTGACAAACAGTATCATGCCCAGAGGTTTAGAGGTAAAATTCTTGTGCAGAATATTCATTAACATTGTACAGTATAATGTCATCTTCAGTAACATTGTACAGTATAATGTTATCTACTGTACAATTTTCGACTTTATTACAAGATGACTTTGTAATAAAGTCAAAAATTGTACAGTATAAATTAGCATAAATCATATTATTGTCATAGCTGCTTAAACCAGTGAAATGAAAATAATGTTATTTACTATAGTTCACTGTTTCTAACAGGGTGTCTACTCTAGCTAGAAACATCTATGTAGTGTTTTGTTTGGATTTTTTGGTTGTAATAATTTTGTTTACTTCTATTTTTGTAAGGGATTTGTCGTGGCAATCAGTCCTTTCAATTTCACAGCTATTGGGGGTAACCTTGCTACAGGTCCAGCAATGCTAGGCAATGTTGTTCTGTGGAAACCAGCTCTCACAACAACAAGAGCAGCATGGTTGGTTCATCAAATATTAGAAGAAGCTGGTGTACCCAAAGGTATGAAGGAAGAAGATAGAAGATCGAAAGAAGATCATTGGATATGGTATAAATATATTGCTCTTTTTTTTAAGGTGTGATTAACTTTCTTCCGGCTCCTGGTTCAATGTTTGGTAAAACTGTGACATCTTCCCCAGACCTTGCAGGTCTAACCTTTGTTGGCAGTGGGCCGTAAGTATATATACAACTCTGAACTTTTATAACTTCTTCAAACTATTTAAGGGTATGTATTATAATAGTGATCTAACTTTTTCAGAACTTTCAAATCCTTGTGGAAACAAGTAGGAAACAACATCGATATATTTAAGTATGTTTTTATGCCAACCATGGCTTTGTTCCCAACTATATGGTTAACTGTAGCCCTATTGCTTTGTCCTGGCATTGCCCATTAACCCTTGGCAAAATGGTTGAGTGGTTTATCATTTTAATATACGTATGTGTGAAGTAAATAGAACCAATGAACGATCGGCAATTAAAACATTATTATCCCCAACCGCAAAATTTGTGTTGAGTTTACAGATAGATCGTAATTCTTACAGTAATAAATTAATTTCAATTTTTTTTCAAATATATAATTGATCATATCCTGATGTTGTACATGCCCTTATTCCTTTAGAACATATCCTCGTCTTTCTGGCGGTACGTGAATTTTTATTGTTTGGTATTTCACTAGCTGGTTGCTGTAATAATAACTTTAAATATATCTATTTTTACTGTAGAATGTGGAGGGAAAAATTTTCATTTTGTTCATGAGACAGCAGATGTAGGTATGTTATATCCCCCAGTTGCACTGTATCAGCAAACGTCATACACATGCTAGTCAATTGCTTCAATGTGGTGCTTATAGATTCTGTTGTAAATTGCACAATACGAGCAGCGTTTGAATATTGTGGTCAAAAATGCTCTGCTTGTGGAAGACTGTATGTTCCGGATGTACTTTGGCCTCAAGTAAGTCAAATTATCTATACGCCTGTATTCTAAATGATCACGCACGAATCGAGGTAGCATTCTGAAGGTAAACTGATGTATTTGGTATATCTATATCCAAAGTTGTCACTCAAATATTACCATTATTTGCACTCAAATATTGCCATTATTTGGGGAATATATTCTATATTTCTCATCTTCGGTCACACGACTTTTGGGGACTACAGTACATGCAGGCGCATATATGTAACCAGGAATGAAAATCAGTGATATAATATGTAGATACAAAATGCAAATTTACAATAAGATTATCAAGTTATAAACTGTTAGACATTAAACCTAGAACTGCAAAGTGATGGACACCATGATGTACGTAATAGTGATGATCATCCACTGACGATTGTTGTCTGGTCCTCTTATAGATAAAAGAAAAGTTGATCAACGAACATAAAAAAATAAAGATGGGTGAGGTAAACGGGCATTTTTTAGATCGTAAATCGTAATACAGAGGCTTAATATATATCCAGACGTCGTACCTATTCCTCCAGTGCCATCACACACTGTAATAACAAGCGGAACATATTGACCATGCATTGTGTTATTGCATCTTGTGATGAAAATTCTTGATATGAACCATTACTTCTACAACGACAACAAGGTCGTAAATATTTCTCATGAATGAAACGCTATTACATGTGCACTGTAATACGAAACATAAGAAAGAATATTGACCTTTGTGTTGCTGCATGGTTGTGAAATAAAATATCATAAAATTCAGTTAAATTAAGATATTTGCTGAAGCACGTATATGAGATATATATAAACAATTCTCTATTCATTAATATTTGAAATATTGTTTCGATAGCCTTCACAGTTCTCAAACTTCCTATCTGCTGTTATTGATGAACAGGTATTAATTTAACACATTATGGTTTATAATAAACATTGATTTTTTGCATATTTCCTGTACCTTTTCACAGCCTAAAACTTACCGTATTTCAGAGAAGAATGATCATTTTTACGATTGAAATCTATATCACTATTTTTATTAAATAATATGTATTTTCTTATTTCAGGCCTTTAGATCAATTAAAGGATTTATTGATTATGCAAGGGAAAGTGACGTCGTTACAATCGTTGCTGGTGGAACATGTGACCAAAGGTAATAAACAAATGATTAATGTTAAATTTATGTTTCAAAATACACAAAGTCTTATTCGGTGGTATTTTTTGAATTAAGTGTTGGATACTACATCGAACCAACAATTGTAAAAACAACCGACCCTCACAACAAATTAATGAGCGAGGTAATCGAATTATTATCGTTATTCTTATTTATTCCCCATCTGAACAGGCGCAAAACTAAAATCTCTTTAGGAAATCTTTGGACCAGTCCTTCCAATATTTGTTTATCCTGCAAAAGATTATAAAGAAACTCTAAAACTGGTATGTATTTTTATTCCTATCGTGTAAATATCGTTGAAAGTTTTCATATATTTAAATCTTTAGGAATTATGACAAACACCAAGGCGCTATTATTTATAATGTATAGTTACTTGCCGTTCAGGGGCGGCGAAACATGAGGGGTACGTGAAAAATTTCTTACAAAAAATTTTAATTTAGGTCAACGACACTTCAGACTTTGGGCTCACTGGTGCCGTTTTTAGTAAAGATATGTAAGTTGACATACAGTAACTGTACAATGCCGACACAATACCTCTCTACAGGGTGTCCCAAAAAAAAGTCCCCGCTATTGAAATGAAGCTTTTGTTGGAATTTGAATGCATGATCAACGCAGTAGTGTGTAAATAGCATATTTATTAGGTTGAGGCATTCAAATAAAGCGTCTTGCTTTCAATTGGGTTTATCATAATATTAAGGCAATCAGATTCGAACAAAGGCTTGATTTCAATAGAGGGGACATTTTTTTGGGACACCCTGTATATTACGATTAATTAAAGCAGTAATGAAGAACACAATGCGTGGTGTACCTACAAGAAATGTAAAAATTTGTTTTTAATGATATTTCGATAATTTTTTTAGCAACGTTGTAAATGAAGCTCGAGTAATTTTGAGGCAAGCTGCTGGTAACTTGTATATCAATGATAAAGCAACTGGATCTGTCGTTGCCCAGCAACCATTTGGTGGAAGCAGAATGTCAGGTTTGTTCTACTTTCATATTCTCTGGTGGCATGAATTTTTAAAAATTATTCGTCAATGCAGTGATCTGAATGGGACGGATTTAAGACTTATATCTCCTCCTTTGCGTCGTTTCGAAAGTCTTTGTCAATGTTGTGTGTTAAATAAGTTGCGAGCTCACCTATTGGAATTAGTTAACGTGCAATCATGCACCACCCAACTTGTCAAAGTGTTTAACTACATCGGATCCCTATTAGATTCTAGAAAGCAAACTAATGTTATCTTCTTGGACATGTCAAAAACCTTAACTGGTTTTCTAACTGTCTACAAAATCAGTGTCTTCGGGAGTGCATCAAGGCAGTATGCTATGTCCAATCCAATACCTCCTTTACATAAGTGAACTTCCTGATGACACCAAGATCTTTCGCTGCGTCGATTCCACCTCTGATGCTGCACTAGGCCAAACAGATCTGAATAGCCTTGAAAAATGATCTTCATTCAGTGGTCTTGTTTTGAATCAACTCAAAAGCAAGTGCCTTCGCGTAACAACTAACAAGGAAATTCAGTTGGGTTTCTAGTGGTCTGACACGGACAAAGCACGTGTTAAAAAGTTGCGCTAAAGCAAAAAAGTTACTTTGTTTCGTCAGAAGAGGTACATGGTGCAGAAATCACCAACCTTAAGGATCCCCGCGGTATACTGTATCTCACGATTGTTCGCCGCCCGGCTCTTGGCTACGCGAGTCAGGTTTGGTCCTCTCAGACCAACGGTTTTAATAAAACGAAAGGAAGGCGTCTAAAGAAGAACGTCGAAATTCCAACCCGAGCTACACGATAATCTAGAGTTGTTTCGTCCACAAACTTGCAGCACCACCACCTTTCAGAAAACCTGTATTCAAACAAGTTTACGATAGCCAAACATGTTGTTAAATACATTTAAAAGACTGCTACGGAATTATTATTTAGAAGCGTAAATAGGGCCACAGTAATTGGTTTTCGGCTATTGTGATAACTTTATCATGTGGCGAAGTCTAAATAAATACTAAATCTTATCATACCAGTTTTGTCACATCAAATCACACTTTTATCAATGCTCCAAATAGTGCGTCATCTTTTCATTAAATTAAAGCTCTCTGTTTTTAGGAACTAACGACAAACCTGGATCCTATCTAAATATATTACCTTGGATGTCGCCGTTGACGGTGAAAGAAAACAATTTACCTTTAGTGGACTGGAAATACGAATATATGAAGTGAGAATAAGAGAAGTAATGTTTGACTCAACTGTCGGGTTTTAAATCAGTGGCATCAGAACATTTTGTTTTGCCAGGCTGAATTTTAAAAAAGTTGATCGTTTTTCCTAACCGGCTGTGGAAATGGAGTAAAAATGATCAACCATATAAACTACAAACCAATCGATATTATAGGTTTGACGCACTACGAACAAACACAAACATTGCCTGTAAAGTTTTAATATAATTTTCTATATATTTAAATCACAGCCATTAGAAATATCACCCAGCTCATGTATGTGTAGTCCATGTGCACCTGGCTGTAGTTTATGTAGAGTACCATCAATTATACATTTTTTTTATCAACCTAAAAATAATAACCATAAAACCATGAGTTGCAGATAATGATAATAGAGATATTCCTGTAATCACACCTAAAATCATCATGCTTACTTGAACAAACTGTATTACACCTTGAACGTTATTTTCACCGGACATAATTGCAACAGCGGCTCCAATATGGAATGTACTCCTATCTATTGAAATATACTTGCAGTATAAAATGCAGTTGATTATAGATATTATAGAGACGATTCAACTTGTACAGCTTCATAGCAGGAGTTTTGTCATAAACAATTATTACCTTGTGTTGCACCATGGCCACGCAATATCGCTTTTCTTCCTGTTTGCTCAAGGATCTGTTGTATCAAACCAGAAGGCAAGTTTGTTTCTACTGTTACTTGTTCATCATGTAAATTAATGTTGAAAGATTCAACTCCTGTAATAATGGGATACATTGGATATATATATATATATATATATATATATATATATATATATATATATATATATATATATATATATATATATATATATATATATATATATATATATATATATATTTATCCATACATAGGCACAATAAGACATTTTCACATCCTCTTTGACATCTGCATCAACAATCCAAAACAGTCTAATATCACAGTTGTGGTGTCAATTATACGGTTACAGGTCACACAAAAGTGGGAAACATTAAGACTTGAGAAAGACTTAATTATAAACAAGCTTTAGTAGGCTAGCTCTTGCAAGTTAGTCCTGCATAATATTATATATAACATATTATCTAATTAATAAAAATTATCAATGGCATAATTATATCATACTCATGTTAATTATAACCATCATGGGTGTAAATAGCTGCACACCCTCATATCATGCAAGATAAAGTCCACAACAATACTTTATATCATTGGCTTAGGTACTTGTAATTATATTATATTATATATTATATATTATTATAAATTAAAAGTGCAAATTAGAATTTTACACTACATATTAGCACCAGCATATAAAATTACACATATGATTTATACCTTTAATAGTGACAACTATACATTGACTTTCAGTAGGAACAGGAACCATTGTTCCAGTTGACAAGCATGAAGGGCAACAGTCAAAACGTGGAGGAAATAAACGACCTGTATATAAATGTAAAAAATTATAAAAATCAAATATTATGTATAGTGAGTTAACTACCATTTATGTTAATTAACATACCAGCTAGTATTAGTAAAAATGCAGCGCAGTTCATTTGTGTGTGTGTGTTTACATTTATGTATCTATATAATAAACTTTATAAATGGAATTGAAAAATAAATTATCAAAACATCATAGGCTTATCAAGATTACTATACATCAGCTTTACAAGAATGTAAAACCTAAAATAGTTAAACAACAAGGGCTCCAATGTATGGAAGGGCTTAGAATGGATGGCACTAGATCTTTAAATTTATGGTAAATAATTGTGCCATACACAGAATTTCATCATGATTTCATTCAGACAATTTTAGGGACAGAACTCCAAGAAGTGCACAGTCTCATTGAAGACTGTTAAACAAATTATTAAACTTTAAATATACTCACTTATAGTTTCTAGTTTACCATCAGCACTCAATGACTGTTTAGGTGATAATGGTTTATAGTAACCATGGTAAATTCCTTGTCTATCATGTAGCGGGAACTTTTGTTGTACCTCTTTATCACAGGATGAGCATAGGTTTGTAGAGTGAACACAGTCCCTGCAGTGTATTCTGGTTTCTTGGATGAAGCATTTGGAGCAAATGCTGGAAAGAACTGCTGTACAAGATAACCATGTTTCAAAGATTTTTTGTCGAGATGACTCCCAATTAGTTGACAAATTGGTCATCCTCTTTTTCCAGTTGTATTTACTTTGTTGCTGATCATCATTTAACAATTGTGCACACTCTTCAATTATGTTGTTCAGGATATCATCTACATAAAAAATATATAAATCAAACCATAGAGTGTACTGTAAATGCTATATAATATATGTAATATGAATGCTGAACGCAGATATACCTGGGGTCTCTGTTTGTTGATCATTAGTTAAACTATCAAATTCATCTTGAGTTACTATATCGTCATCACATGCAAATGTGTCTACATAAAAATATAAATGTTTCAGATTATTGTTAAATAGTTTCTTAAAGAAGTACAAAAGCAAAACACAACACTGAACCCAGTTTACTGACCGTCTGCACTGTTATTGTCACATTCAGCATTATTTTTCCGACGATTTATTCGTTTTCGTGGACGCTTGGCCTTGGGTCGCACAGGTATGGGTCTTCCACAACCATCAAGGAATCTAACTTTGTTTTGTACTCTTTTCCTTGTCCTAGGTCCACGATAATTTTTACCGCTTTTGAGAAGCTTCTCGATTTTTGATGCGATACCCGCTTGTGATATATCACTTGTTTTAAACCGAACAGTTCGAGATTTACCTATGCTAGAGCTATCACATGCACTCTCTGAACTGTCCGCCATGTTTCCTTTAACTCAGTACAAAATTGAACCTGGCGCACGCGCAGAAGCCGTGTCTTTAAAACAGGCAAAAAAAATAAGAAATTTCAACCGCTCTTCACCGCAATTTCGGCTCTCTTCACCGCAATTTCCACCGCTTTTCACCCACTGAGCTATATAATAATTCCTGGAGGACCGGCTCCTGGCCAGAAAGTGAAGCAAAAAACATGGCGGATTTCGGCGTTTGCTGACGCCACATGGTCCCCTTTGCCCATGGTAATTACCACTGACATACCGCGATACAAAGTCAAAAACGTGTCCATCACCCTCCCGATTTTTATGAAAATATTTTCGGTTTTCGGTATTGTTTTCGGCATATATTTTCTCCGCATTTCATCTAAAGTCTCTTTTTCACTGTTCAACAAGTTATATGGAGAAGTGGTTTCTTGCTCTACTTATGATGCTGTGAATGGCCTAATTCATCTATCGGGATATTAATTTTTACCTCAGGTAAGCCGGTTTTCACAACATTTTCGTTTTTCGCCTTTGGTATAGACTATAGACAACTACCAAAGCGTCTGTTGCAGTAATTCCTTTGAAATTAATGTTAAAAACGGCAAATATGCTTCAGCCTTTTTGATCAATGGTACATGACTTAGTTACGCTATGAAAAGCTATATTTTATGAAAAAGGATCAATAGCTGATCTTTTAAGTTTTGGCTATGTTGTTTTTTTATTAGAACTCTTATGGGATTTGAAAATGTCAGGCACTGGAGCTTTCACTCATATTTAATGCCAATTCATGAGTATTTTCATTCAAACAATTAAGATAAATCAATATTCAATCCTCCCAGTAAATCTACTAGTCTCTCTATTGATCCTTAGTCTATTTTAGATGAATTTAAAACATTAAACATGATGACTGTGTGAGTGCTGATACAAAATATTTCACTGTTAGATTTCAACAGTGTTTGTTAAAAGTCCAGTATGTTATCTTGTTTGCCAAGTCATGGCTTAATAGACTTTCTTGGCATCTTGCACCTTGTTAATCAAGCTAAAGCTTGATTCAAGCTTGTTAATTTGCAATGATTTCTACTCCTCTCTGGTTCTGTCCTCTGGGTGTACTCTGTTGAGTACAGTTAAACTTGGTCTGATCTCTCTTTTTTAGGATAAAGAGGTTATGGAATTTGGGGATGGCTTTTTGCAAATTATTGGAACATTAAACTGTTGATTTTACCATGTTGACTTTGTTAGTTATAGTTACAATAGTTATCTGAATGAAAAATAAATTTATACAGACATGCATTGACTGAGCAGTTTGTTTTCAATTTGCTGCAACTTTTATAATTTTCTGGACAGTTTTACCCTCCCTACCATTACAAGGAATATTATCACAGGGTTAATCAGGAATTGAAGGTTAATAGATTATAGACTAATGGAGGAATGAATAGGCTCAGTTGCATTTTCATTAATTCATAAGACATTTGTTGATAGCACAACTAGTACCATAATCTTCTTGGTACCATATATAATCAAATTTTTGTTATTTACCATAGCCTTTCTTTGCATTATTTGGAATATGATTCCACTCAAATTCTTGAGTCAAGCAGGGAACCATTTGAAAGTGCATTACTTGGGATACAGTACTTAAGATATGGGTAACTTATAGCTATAATGACCTAAATGAAAATATCCTATGCGAATATATCTTGAAATACTATTACTAATCAGCCACCCAGCATTTTGCATGAGGTTTGGCCTTTGTTTCCTTGAGTTATGCATGGGCTGATATGCATAAGCATGATGTTCTAAGGAAAACATCACATAACCACATATTTTCTGCCGGTAACCTTTAGTCGGCGATTGATATCCGAAAGATAATCGAAATTTCCGACAAGACTCGAAAAATATTCAAGTATTTTAAAAATTTTACACAGAAAATACATGTATGTATGAATAATGAAAATAAATAAATAAAATAACCTGTCAGCTAATCGTATAAAAATCCTTCGTCCACAATTTTTTTTGCGTTTTAATATTTATTATTTCTGGCATTGGCAAAACAGCGTCAACGACTTGTATATAACTGAAATAAACGCCTTATTGCAAGCCTTTGTAGCAGAAAAATAAATCGAAAAATACAAAACAACAAGGTTTCACGGCAAAAACAAAAATATTCATACAAAACCAGGGGGGAGCATTCTCTTGTAGCGGGCTCATATTTGAGCCTGGTCAGTGGTAATTACCATGGGCAAAGGGGACCATGTGGCGTCAGCAAAGCTTCTGCGCAAGCGCAGAAGGGCGAAGTCCGCCATGTTTTTTGCTTCACTTTTTCAGAAAAAAACATTAGGAGCCGGTCCTCCAGGAATTATTATATAGCTCAGTGTTTTCACCGCAATTTCCACCGGTCTTCACCGCAATTTCCACGGCTCTTCACCGCAATTTCCACCGCTCTTCACCGCAATTTCCTTTCGCTTCTACGCATGTGCGAGCTTTGTTTATATTTTTCGTTTTGGTGTGAATCCATTTCATTTGCACAACATGAAGTATTCCAAAAACTAAATTAAAATGGCGGACGCATCCAGAGTGAAGAGTGGAGCTTTATAAAACCATTCAACAATTGTCTTTTAAAAGACAACCAAATAAATATTTTGAAAAACAACTCCTGGAAGATATCTCCTGTAAGTTTGTCGATTTTATCTAAGTTTGAGATACTGTGTATAATTATTTTTACAGTGATTGTTGGATGATTATTAAATTTGGATAAAAAATTATACTCAGATAATGATTTTGTTTATAAAATACCTTCGTACTCTGTTCTAATATTGCAGGATTCAGATTTATGAGCAAGATAATCATGCTTCCATGGTCAAAGTAGCTCTTCTGAGTGTGTTTCATCATCGACATCAATGCCATGTGGGTCAACATCACTGAATGAAACTGCTTCAATACGAAAGCTTACAAGTGAAGATATAGATAGGAGAGGATTTTGATGGCGAGTATGGTTATCGAATGATTGAACTTTCAAACCTAGCAAGTGCATTTCAGTCCTTGTATAATTGGGAATTAGGCGGAGAGTTGAAAGTTACCGATGATGAGTCTCGTAGATATGGAAATAGCACAGTCATTGTTAAGTCAGATATTGCAGAGATTGCTGTGAGTTATGATAGCACATGGTCTAAGCGCGAGGGTTCACTGCAAACTTTGGAATTGATTTTGTTATTTCGGTTGACACAGGTGAGGTTCTTGACTATAGTTTTGAATCCAAATTATTGAAGTTTGACATGTATGCATTATTGATAATTGGTGATAAAGTTGCCAACCTTAGTATAAATTAATATATGCTAATCACTGAGTAGCATGTACCAGGGTTGGTAGATTTTATGAATAAATAAGCCAAATTTATTAACATAACATTCGTTTCCTTTGTTTAAAACAAAGGAATCAAAGTACCGCCAATAACAATGTTGGCTTATTTATTCAGAAACGTACCAACCCTGGCATGTACGCGCACAGAACACAAATGTTGGGCTACCTATCGTATTACATGATGTTTCACCATTCGTTCTCTCACTTCTCTGAGCAAGAAAAAAAAAGTCCTGAAAATTCAACCACATTCACCACAAAGAAAAACCACGCCTTGTGTTTTAATAAGTCACTGTTGGTATCTTTTTCTTGATTTACTCAACTATATGGATCGCTTCTGACACTTCACCCTCGCAAAATTTCGTAGATGCTTTAATATTTGTGCATGGTGAGACTGAAGTGAAGACTTCTGAAAATCAGACAATTAATTGATAATTGTCATGTAATTTCCTGGTATAACATCCCAACATATACATTGTAGTTAAAATATAATAACAATATCAACCTCAAATTCAACTAATATTTTGTATGCAATCAAGCAAAATTTGGAAATGCTGGTTGTTAATTTTACTGCAATTATTACAAAAGATATGATTACAATCCTTTATCATTACCCAATCCTGTCAGAATTGCTATCACATGTCAATGCAATATAATTTTTGTAAACAATCATTATTTAATTATTGTTTTCAGCATAAATATGCCTTAAGAGGCCTTCTCCAGACAATATTTATTGCAAGCTATATGATATTTGCTCCAATATTTGGCTATATTTGTGAAAGATACAGTTGCAAGCTCATTATGATCTATTGCCTCGTTATCTGGTCCTTAACAACATTTCTTAGCACACTACTTAATAAACACCTATGTAAGCTTTTACTGATTTCATACAGTGAGTTAGAAGTCAGATATGTTAAAAACAGAAGGAAAATGGTAGGTTAATGAATAGTTTGGTATGTTCTTGGTTCAAAAGTATCTTCCGCATTTAGTGGTTGCAATAATTTTATAATAGAGAAAACACAGGGTATGTAAACATGTGAAATAAACATGTTATTACTTGATGTGTTTCAGGTAACTCCAATCTTGGGTGTGCTTCTTATCATCTTGGGCTTTATATCTGTTGTTTGAACCTGTCTAGGGGCAAATTGAAAAGAGTCAGGGTGATATTGTTGCAGACAAGGATGTTATCATTCGTCGTTCATGGTTGAATGATGCGAAACATATGTTACGCTGGTAGGTGATTTTTAACAACAGATGTTGCTTACTGCAGGATGAACTGTTTAGAACTGATAGAATTATCCAGTGTAAATATAGTTAGTTTGTGTAGGTTTCCTGCTGTAGTAACGCTGAATCAATAAGAGATGATCCAGTATGCCATTCCTTGTTATTCCCTTGATCCTAGCTTCAAAATATATTGTTCTTTCTTATGTAAGTTAAACATGTATATCTGAAATTAAACATATATTTAATATTTCCGTAAAGACATTTCTATCATATAAGTGTTAGCAATTGTCTTGTTTCTTTGTAGATACAGAAAGAGCCACAGCATCGGCAGTCCTTATATTGCGGGTTTGGTATGTAATAAACAATTTGTTTTACCTAAAGTTATGAATCACCAACACGCCCACTGAATCTAATTATGACGTCACTTTCGGTCCGCAGGGCTTATTTCGCTACTTCCTTACGCTTTGACTTTTGACTTCCGGTTTTTAAATGGGCGTGGTCAGACACTCCCACTTAATCTAATTATGACATCACTTTCGGACCGCGGGGCTTATTTCGCTTCTTCCTTACGCTTTGACTTTTGACTTCCGGGTTTTCGATAGGCATGGTCAGACACGCCCACTTAATCTAATTATGACGTCACTTCCGGTATGCGGGGCTTATTTCGCTACTTCCTTACGCTTTGACTTTTGACTTCCGATTTTTCGATGGGCGTGGTCAGACACGCCCACTTAATCTAATTATGACGTCACCTCCAGTATGCGGGGCTTATTTCGCTACTTCTTTACGCTTTGACTTTTGACTTCCGATTTTTCGATGGGCGTGGTCACACACGCCCACTTAATCTAATTATGACGTCACTTCCAGTATGCGGGGCTTATTTCACTACGTCCTTATGCTTTGACTTTTGACTTCCGGTTTTTCGATATGCGTATTCAGACACGCCCACTTAATCTGATTATGACGTCACTTCCGGTGGGCGGGGCTTATTTCGCTACTTTCTTACGCTTTGACTTTTGACTTCCAGTTTTTCAATAAGCATGATCAGACATGCTCACTTAATCTGATTATGACGTCATTTCCAGTGGGCAGGGCTTATTTCGCTACTTCCTTACGCTTTGACTTTTGACTTCCGGTTTTTTGATGGGCGTGGTCAGACACGCCCACTTAATCTAATTATGACATCACTTCCCGTATGCGGGGCTTATTTCGCTACTTCCTTACGCTTTGACTTTTGACTTCTGGTTTTTTGATGGGCGTGGTCAGACACGCCCACTTAATCTAATTGTGACGTAACTTCCAGTGGGCGGGAAATATTTCGCTACTTCCTTACGCTTTGACTTTTGACTTCCGGTTTTTTGATGGGCGTGGTCAGACACGCCCACTTAATCTAATTATGACATCACTTCCCGTATGCGGGGCTTATTTCGCTACTTCCTTACGCTTTGACTTTTGACTTCTGGTTTTTCGATGAACGTGGTCAGACACGCCCACTTAATCTAATTATGACGTAACTTCCTGTGGGCGGGAAATATTTCGCTACTTTCTTACGCTTTGACTTTTGACTTCCAGTTTTTCAATAGGCATGATCAGACACGCTCACTTAATCTGATTATGATGTCATTTCCAGTGGGCGGGGCTTATTTCGCTACTTCCTTACGCTTTGACTTTTGACTTCCGGTTTTTTGATGGGCGTGGTCAGACACGCCCACTTAATCTAATTATGAAGTCACTTCCCGTATGCGGGGCTTATTTCGCTACTTCCTTACGCTTTGACTTTTGACTTCCGCTTTTTTGATGGGCGTGGTCAGACACGCCCACTTAATCTAATTGTGACGTAACTTCCGGTGGGCGGGGCTTATTTAACTACTTCCTTACGCTTTGACTTTTGACTTCCGGTTTTTCGATAGGCGTGGTCAGACACGCCCACTTAATCTAATTATGATGTCACTTCCGGTGGGCGGGGCTTAGAATGCTCATTGATTTGCGGTCATTGTATGAAACCTTGCTGGTTGGTTCATGTCCTTGCCATGGCTTCACAAAAGTGCCAGGACATACTGGTAGTTTCTACCACATTGTTTGTTGCCATCGCGTAAGTATAGAAATATTTAACCTGCAATGCAACTCTACTTTTGAGACGTGTAAATTACGAAAGTACAACTTATATTTTGTATTGTTCTCTCAACATATCGAACATCTTCACTGACACTAATTAACATCTCTCAAAAGCAGAATTGCATAGCAAGTTGCGAGAAAAATTGCACCCTGTAACAGGGCATTTATCATCTTGTTTTCTTAGACAACCGTAGCTCTAGTCTGAGACGTATACAGTGATATACCATTTAGAGCATTTATAAAATTTACATTTATAGAATTTTTACTCTGGGTGTTCTAAAAAATAATTCTTTTGGGTGTCCTTTCCTTTCAGGTAACCGCAGCTTCAAAGTTTCTGACTTTACAGGAGTCAGTAAGAGATGTCGCCGATCTCTATTTATCATTTAAGCATATTCCTCTTGTTTTTCTTTGCGACACAGCTTGTGGGTTTGTCAGGCACTTAGAGTGCCGGGTCAGTAAAGAAATGACTGAATAGCTATGGAAAGATAACAGAGGGTGTTTTGAGGTACCATTGTTGGATAGCGATATTGCATGACTTGACTATTTTTAAAGGTTTCAAAACAATTAATATGCTGATGAAATACTCAAATAGTAATCCTCATCTGATTCTGTTATTTCTGTATACCTTCTAACTTTATCCTCAACTCGTTTTCGAGAGTGTCCAAGCTTTCGCAACCTTTGTCCGATATTGTTGTTGCTGGATTGTTGATTTCTTCCATATTACTCTCATTGGGGGCATCATCCCGAATTCCACTAGCTTATGAGTAATATTGTTAGAACAACGATTACATTCACGATACAAAAAAAGCCTAAACTTCGACCAAAAAAGAATTGCATAGAAACTTTATTTAAAACTTTCTTACCATACATTATCATATGTTGCGTGAATGGCATCAGTTTCCCCAGAAATATTCGGTATGCTCTTTTCTGGCAAACGTGTTTCCTTTTAATCGTTTGCTCCAAGGTGCATTCCCTGTCTTTGCCGAAGTATATCCCTATTGTCCCCGGCTCCCGTACAAGTGTACTTTGCAATTCTTTAAAATTCCTATTAAAACAACAAACATTTTGTGAAATGCAGTCAAAAGACCGCGTTAGACTCCAAAACTGTATGTGTTACTCACTGTATGTGAAATATCGACAAAACTGTCGACAGCAGTTGACAGTAGCGCAATGCCTGGAACCTTCATCCCTTCGATGTTCTTGACAGTAACTTTAGGGTGCAGCCATGTAAGAATCTTAAAAGAGATCAGCAAAATCTGTAAATGTTATATCCAAGGAAATCGAACACTGTGTATATGGCGCCATTTAATACCTTATTTCATTCGGAATTTTTTTTATGTAAATAGAAAAATGAAAGAAAACAAACCATGTCTTTTTTCTTGGCAATCTTTTCAATGATGTTAGCTTTTAGCCTTTGCATTGTTGAATGTATACTGACTGTCTGCACCTTTAATAACTTGCGGTATGCAAACAATACATAATCTTTGGTGTTCGCTTGGTTACCACACGAGAAACGTAACTAAAATGAGAAACATAAGTCATGTAAAAATGAACTCTATTATTGAAAACTAGTCCGATCTATTTTTTGCGAGTTATTTGAGTTTCACATACCAGAGCATTTGCGACCAAAATCCTGAATCAAAGCACATGCCGCAGCCATCTTGCTTTTGGAGGTAAGGGGCCACGCTGCTCTTGTTCAATTCTCACATTGAAAAATAAAAACAAAAAGCAAACCAAAGTGTGCTACGCTTGCTACGCTTGCTACGCTTGCTACTACTGCTACGACTGCTCCGCTTGCTACGCTTGCTACGCTTGCTACGCTTGCTACGCTTGCTACGCTTGCTACGCTTGCTACGCTTGCTACGCCTGCTACGACTGCTACGACTGCTACGACTGCTACGACTGCTACGCTTGCTACGACTGCTACGCTTGCAACGACTGCTACGCTTGCTACGACTGCGACGCTTGCCACGACTGCTACGCTTGCCACGACTGCGACGCTTGCCACGACTGCCACGACTGCCACGCTTGCCACGCTTGCCACGCTTGCCACGCTTGCCACGCTTGCCACGCTTGCCACGCTTGCCACGCTTGCCACGCTTGCCACGCTTGCCACGCTTGCCACGCTTGCCACGCTTGCCACGCTTGCCACGCTTGCCACGCTTGCCACGCTTGCCACGCTTGCCACGCTTGCCACGCTTGCCACGCTTGCCACGCTTGCCACGCTTGCCACGCTTGCCACGCTTGCCACGCTTGCCACGCTTGCCACGCTTGCCACGCTTGCCACGCTTGCCACGCTTGCCACGCTTGCCACGCTTGCCACGCTTGCCACGCTTGCCACGCTTGCCACGCTTGCCACGCTTGCCACGCTTGCCACGCTTGCCACGCTTGCCACGCTTGCCACGCTTGCCACGCTTGCCACGCTTGCCACGCTTGCCACGCTTGCCACGCTTGCCACGCTTGCCACGCTTGCCACGCTTGCCACGCTTGCCACGCTTGCCACGCTTGCCACGCTTGCCACGCTTGCCACGCTTGCCACGCTTGCCACGCTTGCCACGCTTGCCACGCTTGCCACGCTTGCCACGCTTGCCACGCTTGCCACGCTTGCCACGCTTGCCACGCTTGCCACGCTTGCCACGCTTGCCACGCTTGCCACGCTTGCCACGCTTGCCACGCTTGCCACGCTTGCCACGCTTGCCACGCTTGCCACGCTTGCCACGCTTGCCACGACTGCCACGACTGCCACGACTGCCACGACTGCCACGACTGCCACGACTGCCACGACTGCCACGACTGCCACGCTTGCCACGACTGCCACGCTTGCCACGCTTGCCACGCTTGCCACGCTTGCCACGCTTGCCACGCTTGCCACTCTTGCTACTCTTGCTACGACTGCTACGACTGCTACGACTGCTACGACTGCTACGCTTGCTACGCTTGCTACGCTTGCTACGCTTGCTACGCTTGCTACGCTTGCTACGCTTGCTACGCTTGCTACGCTTGCTACGCTTGCTACGCTTGCTACGCTTGCTACGCTTGCTACGCTTGCTACGCTTGCTACGCTTGCTACGCTTGCTACGCTTGCTACGCTTGCTACGCTTGCTACGCTTGCTACGCTTGCCACGCTTGCTACGCTTGCTACGGCTGCTATGCTTGCTACGCTTGCTACGACTGCTACGCTTGTTACGACTGCTACGCTTGCTACGCTTGCTCAGGGGCGTAACTTGACCCTAAAAGTTGGGGGGGGGTGTGAAGCAAATTTGCCCTACCAAAGGGCGTGACCTGCAACAAATACGAGGAAAAGGGCGTGGCAACCAAATGCAATTATAGCTCTTTTTGATAGGCTGTGAGACAGTTATATATTTATTACGCAAACCCAGCTGCATAAAACTGAAAGCGAGATTTTGATATATATTTCGGAAATTATTGAAATCTACGAGGCGCCACCATGGTTGGCGCCGAGAGAAAGATTTTCGAAAATTCGGTCCTGTAGATCGTCGGAAACGGCCTTCTCAGACTGGCAACTTTCTCTCGAATTGTAAGTCGCACCCATGCCTAATTTTCAAGACTTCCCGCACCCGAACTGATTTTCAAGAAGTATTCATATGGTTTTTTTTATCAATTTGGGCAAAAATTGTCCAGCCTGAACCCAGCGGTCTGCCCTGCAAATTCCCAACAAATTGCCCTACCAAAACACTGTTTTCAACAATTGGGGGGTGTCACACCCCCCCACACCCCCCCAACAGTTACGCCCCTGCGCTTGCTACGACTGCTACGCTTGCTACCACTGCTACGCTTGCTACGACTGCTACGCTTGCTACTCTCGCTGCGACTGCTACGCTTGCTACGACTGCTACGCTTGCTACGCTTGCTACGACTGCTACGCTTGCTAGACTTGCTACGCTTGCTACGACTGCTACGCTTGCTAGGCTTGCTACGCTTGCTACGACTGCTATGCTTGCTAGGCTTGCTACGCCCGCTAGGACTGCTACGTTTGCTACGCTTGCAAGGCTTGCTACGACGGCTGCGCTTGCTACACTCGCTATGTTAGTGCTGTATAAACATTTACGCCTATCTTATAGTATTTAAAACCCGGCAATAAACAAGTGTGACAAAACAGTCTGACAAAATATTTGCAGCGAAGATTCATTTTGAACGACCTCTTGTATAATTCAATTTTTCATAATTAGCATCTAATAATTATTAACAAGTGTTAGACCAATCACAAAAGACTTTCTGAGCACTGTGAGCTGACTCGTGGTCGGACACGCCCACCTAATCTAATCATGACGTCACATCCGGTTGGCGGGGCTTATTTCGCTACCTTCTTACGCTTTGACTTTCAACTTCTGATTTTTTGTGGGCGTGGTCGGAAACGCCCACTGAATGTAACTATGACGTCACTTCTGGTAGGTGGGGCTTATTTCGCTACTTCCTTATGCTTTTACTTTCAACTTCCGATTTTTTGTGGGCTTGGTTAGACACACCCACTTAATCTAAATATGACGTCACTTCCCGTAGTGTCAGGGCTTATTTCGCTACTTCCTTACGCTATGACTTTCAACTTCCGATTTTTTGCGGGCGTGATCAGACACGCCCACTGAATCTAATTATGACATCACTTCTAGTAGGCGGGGCTTATTTTGCTACTTTTTTACGCTTTTCAGAGAATCACTTTTTTCCCGAGATTCATTCTTGGAAGGATTCACTTTTTTCTCAAGATTCATTTTGGATTGAGTTTTTTCTCCACATTCAGATTCGGAAGAACTTTTTTCTCGAGATTCATTTTCGGAAGGATTCAATTTTTTCTTGAGATTCATTTTCAGTTTCACTTTTTTCTCCAGATTCATTTTCAGATTCGAATTTTTTCTCGAGATTCATTTTGGATTCAGTTTTTTTCTCCAATTCAGATTCGGAATTACTTTTTTATCCAGATTCATGCTCGGGAGGATTCACTTTTTTCTCGAGATTCATTTTTAGATTCACTTTTTTTCTCCAGATTCAATTTGGGATTCAATTTTTTCTCGAGATTCATTTTTAGTTTCACTTTTTTCTACACATTCAGATTCGGAATTACTTTTTTATCAAGATTCATTCTTAGAAGGATTCACTTTTTTCTCCACATTTAGATTCGGAATCATTTTTTTCACGAGATTCATTCTTGGAGGGATTTACTTTTTTCTCGAGATTCCTTTTTGTTTTCACTTTTTTTCTTCAGATTCAAATTGGGATTCACTTTTTTCTCGAGATTCATTTTCGGAAGGATTCAATTTTTCACGAGATTCATTTTGAATTCAGTTTTTTTCTCCACATTCAGATTCAGAATCACTTTTTTCTCGAGATTCATTCTCGGAAGGATTCACTTTCTCGAGATTCATTTTTGGATTCACTTTTTCCCGAGATTCATTTTTGGATTCACTTTTTCTCGAGATTCATTTTTGGATTCACTTTTTTCTTGAGATTCATTCTCGGAAGGATTCACTTTTTTCTCGAGATTCATTTTTG